ACCCTAACACCCTAACACCCTAACACCCTAACACCCTAACACCCTAACACCCTAACACCCTAACACCCTAACACCCTAACACCCTAACACCCTAACACCCTAACACCCTAACACCCTAACACCCTAACACCCTAACACCCTAACACCCTAACACCCTAACACCCTAACACCCTAACACCCTAACACCCTAACACCCTAACACCCTACACCTACACCTAACACCCTAACACCCTAACACCCTAACACCCTAACACCCTAACACCCTAACACCCTAACACCCTAACACCCTAACACCCTAACACCCTAACACCCTAACACCCTAACACCCTAACACCCTAACACCCTAACACCCTAACACCCCCCTAACACCCTAACACCCTAACACCCTAACACCCTAACACCCTAACACCCTAACACCCTAACACCCTAACACCCTAACACCCTAACACCCTAACACCCTAACCCTAACACCCTAACCACCCTAACACCCTAACACCCTAACACCCTAACACCCTAACACCCTAACACCCTAACACCCTAACACCCTAACACCCTAACACCCTAACACCCTAACACCCTAACACCCTAACACCCTAACACCCTAACACCCTAACACCCTAACACCCTAACACCCTAACACCCTAACACCCTAACACCCTAACACCCTAACACCCTAACACCCTAACACCCTAACACCCTAACACCTAACACCCTAACACCCTAACACCCTAACACCCTAACACCCTAACACCCTAACACCCTAACACCCTAACACCCTAACACCCTAACACCCTAACACCCTAACACCCTAACACCCTAACACCCTAACACCCTAACACCCTAACACCCTAACACCCTAACACCCTAACACCCTAACACCCTAACACACCCTAACACCCTAACACCCTAACACCCTAACACCCACCCTAACACCCTAACACCCTAACACCCTAACACCCTAACACCCTAACACCCTAACACCCTAACACCCTAACACCCTAACACCCTAACACCCTAACCCTAACACCCTAACACCCTAACACCCTAACACCCTAACACCCTAACACCCTAACACCCTAACACCCTAACACCCTAACACCCTAACACCCTAACACCCTAACACCCTAACACCCTAACACCCTAACACCCTAACACCCTAACACCCTAACACCCTAACACCCTAACACCCTAACACCCTAACACCCTAACACCCTAACACCCTAACACCCTAACACCCTAACACCCTAACACCCTAACACCCTAACACCCTAACACCCTAACACCCTAACACCCTAACACCCTAACACCCTAACACCCTAACACCCTAACACCCTAACACCCTAACACCCTAACACCCTACACCCTAACACCCTAACACCCTAACACCCTAACACCCTAACACCCTAACACCCTAACACCCTAACACCCTAACACCCTAACACCCTAACACCCTAACACCCTAACACCCTAACACCCTAACACCCTAACACCCTAACACCCTAACACCCTAACACCCTAACACCCTAACACCCTAACACCCTAACACCCTAACACCCTAACACCCTAACACCCTAACACCCTAACACCCTAACACCCTAACACCCTAACACCCTAACACCCTACCCTAACACCCTAACACCCTAACACCCTAACACCCTAACACCCTAACACCCTAACACCCTAACACCCTAACACCCCTAACACCCTAACACCCTAACACCCTACCCTAACACCCTAACACCCTAACACCCTAACACCCTAACACCCTAACACCCTAACACCCTAACACCCTAACACCCTAACACCCTAACACCCACACCCTAACACCCTAACACCCTAACACCCTAACACCCTAACACCCTAACACCCTAACACCCTAACACCCTAACACCCTAACACCCTAACACCCTAACACCCTAACACCCTAACACCCTAACACCCTAACACCCTAACACCCTAACACCCTAACACCCTAACACCCTAACACCCTAACACCCTAACACCCTAACACCCTAACACCCTAACACCCTAACACCCTAACACCCTAACACCCTAACACCCTAACACCCTAACACCCTAACACCCTAACACCCTAACACCCTAACACCCTAACACCCTAACACCCTAACACCCTAACACCCTAACACCCTAACACCCTAACACCCTAACACCCTAACACCCTAACACCCTAACACCCTAACACCCTAACACCCTTAACACCCTAACACCCTAACACCCTAACACCCTAACACCCTAACACCCTAACACCCTAACACCCTAACACCCTAACACCCTAACACCCTAACACCCTAACACCCTAACACCCTAACACCCTAACACCCTAACACCCTAACACCCTAACACCCTAACACCCTAACACCCTAACACCCTAACACCCTAACACCCTAACACCCTAACACCCTAACACCCTAACACCCTAACACCCTAACACCCTAACACCCTAACACCCTAACACCCTAACACCCTAACACCCTAACACCCTAACACCCTAACACCCTAACACCCTAACACCCTAACACCCTAACACCCTAACACCCTAACACCCTAACACCCTAACACCCTAACACCCTAACACCCTAACACCCTAACACCCTAACACCCTAACACCCTAACACCCTAACACCCTAACACCCTAACACCCTAACACCCTAACACCCTAACACCCTAACACCCTAACACCCTAACACCCTAACACCCTAACACCCTAACACCCTAACACCCTAACACCCTAACACCCTAACACCCTAACACCCTAACACCCTAACACCCTAACACCCTAACACCCTAACACCCTAACACCCTAACACCCTAACACCCTAACACCCTAACACCCTAACACCCTAACACCCTAACACCCTAACACCCTAACACCCTAACACCCTAACACCCTAACACCCTAACACCCTAACACCCTAACACCCTAACACCCTAACACCCTAACACCCTAACACCCTAACACCCTAACACCCTAACACCCTAACACCCTAACACCCTAACACCCTAACACCCTAACACCCATTATAATGAAATCACTTTTTATATCGGTAAAGCTTTTGGGCGGAAAATACATAGCTATAGAATTTATTAATAATTTTTGTTTTTGCAAGACTTCTACTAATTCAGTATTTCTTATCAATTTTCTATAAATTTAAATCATTATAAATTTTATGGTAAGATGAAACTTCCTCTTTATTAAGTATAATGCAAATAATTGATAAAAGTTGAGTTAAAATTAAAAATTTGAACTAATTAATGATTATAAGCTTGCCCATAAATAATCTTAAAAATATAAGATGTGTGAGTATTTAAGGCAAATTCAATTTTATTGATTATTAAAATCACTAATTTTGAAGAGAATATAGGCAATTATATCACAATAAATAAAGATTAAATTTAGGCACTCTTTCAATTTTGAATAGCATACATTTAATTTCGATAATTTAATAAAGAGCATTATCCAGTAAAAATGCGTTCCATTAAGCCACTATTAGCATAAATAAATTATAATTAAGCATATTTAACAATTAAAATTGGGATAAGATGTTTGTCTTAAAGTAGAAGAAAGAGAGCATATGGAATTATTTTCAGAATCTTCTTTTTGCGCTAAAAAATATAAAATTGATTTTTTTGATTAAGAATCGAGAATAAAAATATAATGACTTTCAAATAAAATCAATCTCAGTGCTCATATTTTAATTTCCAAACAAAAAAAGCTTATTTACAGGCCCTGCTTTGATTTTTTGTATCTTTTTCACTTTTATTGAGTATTTTTAATCCTAAACTTAAAAGAATTTCAAGTATAAAATGGTTAATGCACATAAAAAATTTATAATAATATATCTGATCTACTATATAAATCTAAACATTATTTAAACAATAAAATTTGTTGAAGATAATTATTATAGCTAATTATTCAATGTCATTCCATATTTTATAATGCTTTCAATAAAAATTGCTTATTCTTTTGTAGTCACCAAAAATCTGTTTCGATTTTTAAGTTCAATCCAAATTCAAAATTTAAACCTCAAAATAAAACATTATTACTCCAAGGGTCTCACATTTAATTTCTTGCTTAATCTCTTTTATACCTAATTTAGAGCCTAAATTTCGGCAGTAGTTAGCATTATTCTATTTTTACATAAAAATTGAAAATATAGTTTTTGGTCTCTGCATTTGGATATAAATTTTTTTATTGGTGTTTGTTGAAAAATTTCAGCAAATAAGTAATGGTTTATAAATATGATTATTATAGCTTTGCTATTTCAGGCTTTGCTTATTTCGGTGGATGGGACTGATGGAGTGAGTGGACAATATATTTCAGGCTTAGCTTATTATTACTTATCGAGAAGCCCACTGAGATTCCCTAATAAACATCTCCACTGGAACTCCTTTCTCCTGCTGCTTTTGTAAACAACAGAACCAAGATTTCTCTTGCCAGACAAATGGAATGTTTGCTGCCGGTAGTTGGGTGAGCCATGTGGCGTACATCAACAAAAGTTGCTCGCCTTTAAAAATTTAAAAGGTTGAATTTTCTAATAGACTCGGTATTTAGGTGAGTTGCGCGACCATGTTGTAAGCAAATGTTGCCAGGTTGAATTTTTCTTGTCGACTCTCAGCCAGGACGTAATTCCTAGTTTCACACTGGGGAATAGTCCTGATTGGCCAGAATGAGCACTGACTCTACTGAGAGACCTTTTTCAAACTCTCAGACCTATTTCTCTCTAACTCCCCCCCTCCGTGAGTGAACAAAACCATTAGAAAAATCGCTATTTTTTGCCCAAAAACCCACCCTCCATGAGTGAACAAAAATTTTTTTAATAGAAAAATTTTTTATGGAAAAAAAAATTGATATATAAGTGATAATTAGTATAATGAAATCTAGAGCTAATTCTGTTTAATTTTAAACGAATTGCTTTTTAAAACATAAATTTTATAAATTAAATTAATATTTGCTTTTCAATTTTTGCGAATTAGGATTTTTTTAAATTTCGAAAAAAAATATTTTTTATAAAATTTATATATAAATTTTTTTAAAAAAAAAAATTAACCCCCCTCCGTGAGTGAACAAAATTTTTTTGTTCACTCACGGAGGGGGGGGGAGTAAGGCAAAAAACTGGATTTGGAGTAAGCTTTGTCGGCCAACCCGACATTGCGCTTCACCAAACCAGGAAAAACTAGCCAGATAAACATTCCCGAACGCAATCTGCCTTTCTCAAGGTCCCTACGCACACTGTGAAATCCCAACTACATTCAAGAGGATGGGGTTGGCTTGCCATATTATTTTATTTTTATACCAGTCCATTTCAGGTATCTCGATCGATCCTTCAGTTTTAAACCAAGGATACTTATTCCCCCTTAGTAAGAGAAAAATTTTGTTTTTTAAAAAAATATATCCTTGGAACAACATGTATTTTAATATATCTAATAATAAAACTAAATCTCAAGCAAAAAAATTAAATCTTAGACAGATAACTCTCTTAAAACTAAATAAGATTAGTCATTCAAACATTTTCAAAATTTGGATTTTTAAAAACATAAGAGAAATGAAACAAAATAAACCCCTTTTGGTTATAGAGCCCCTAAATATGGGCTATGAGTTAGCAGGTTCAATAGAAGGTGGAACAGTTCTTCATTTAAGAGGAAGCTTTGACAATGATGATCCGGCTTCAAATATAATCATGATAGATGGAGTAGTTTGTGAAGTCATAGAATTTCACGCAAGAAGGGATTATATGCAATGCACAACACCACCCTCAAAGTGAGTCTATGCCATTTGATCAGGACTTTTTTCCTAGTGATACATTTCCTCAGGAAAATCAGGCCGATTTTTTCCTTATGCTCTGAAAAGTCATCAATTTCGATCAAATGCCTCACTCACAATAAGAAATTTAAGACAAAATATCGTAGAAAAATGACTCAAATCAGAAATGTCCAGAATAAAACAGCATCATCCTCAAAGCATCCGAATGGAGCAACGGTTCCGATTACAGGAAAATACCATGGAGACAATTTTTCTACAAGCAGTTCTGTGGTAATGCAGTTTACATATACAAAATACAGTACCCCAGTTGTATTTTACATGAACCCAGTTGAAGCAGCTCCCGGAGATGAAGTAAGTTTTGTGGGGAGATGGATGACAACTTCCTGGGATCAGTTCGACAACGCAAAAGCAGGCACCCAAAACATGCTGATGTTTATATTAGACTCAAGCCAAACCTTTGGGAGTTGGGATACAATGAACTTAACTGCTGTCTTAGGGGACAATGACCAAGGTGATCTTAACACCACCATTACACTTAATGGGGCATATGGAACCGCATTTAACCGCTGGACTGGAACTCAGTATGACCTAAATGGGAACCCTTATAATTTTAGAGCTCTTGCAAGAATTGACTCAGTCTCAGCAAGCAGCGGAAGCTCTGCAGGAGGCCAAGAGCTTACTATCAATGGTGAAGGTTTTCCCTTAAATGCTTCGTGGGTAAGGATCGAAGTGGATGGGAGTAATTGTGAAATCTCATCACTTGCATTTGAGCAAATAACGTGCACGACAACAGCTGCTACAAGAACGGAAAGCCAAACTATATTTGAAGGCGGTGCTGGTTTAAAGAGGCAAGTCTGGTATGACCAATCGACAGCGTCTTTAGACTTCTCAAGCTTGAACGCAGTCACTCCTGATTTTACATTTAGTGTGGCTTCAGCACAGATCCCAAGAGATGAGGACGTCAACATCAGAGACAAAATGACTGGACTCTTTAGAGCTCCTGCTACTGGGACTTATAAATTTTTCCTATCCTCTGACGATTATGCGCAAGTTTTCTTAGGAACGAGTGCTGATCCAGCAACTGCAGTTTCTGTTCTTAAGTTCCAAAGTTACACTTCGCTAAGAGACCAGTTTACGAAAGCAAGCCAGAGCGATGAAATTTCTTTACCCAATAGGATAAATAAATATCTAATTTTTGGTAAAAATTAACTATTTATTTTTTTATATCTAAAATTTATAAATAAATAATCTTATAAATTATGGCTATTCCGAAATCCAAATATTTTTTAAATACTTCAGAACAAGAAATTTGTTAACTGGTAGGGGAAAATTAGTTGAAAATACAGATTACTATTTTGAAGTAAGACACACTCAAGGAAGTGGATCCAGCCATTTAGATTTAGGTGTCTTAATTTCAGGCTCTACCCTACCTAATACAATGCCATATGTCCAAAAACTGCAAATTATTCCTGCAGATCCGGTATACGAAGTTCAAACGCTCAAATTATTTGGCTCATCAACAGGTCCTACTGGCGGCCAACTTCGACTTGTATATGGAACTACAGTAAGAGATCCAATTAACTGGGATGCAACATCAGGAATGTGGAAGTGCAGTGACATCCTCAATCAAACCAGCTATTTAGGACTTTCAGGCTCACTTTCATGTGTGGGATTCTGGGCTAGCAACACTTCATTAGCTTATAATATTACATTTAACTACTTGGTCTCTGATAAGAGATACAAGTTCTCAGCTGACACCTCAGTTATTGAGCCAACAAACAGCATTTCTATCACAAACGTCAAATATCCAGGAACGACTACACTAGCAGGAACCTTCAAGCTAGGGTTCAGAGGTGCAGAGTCTAACTGGATTAATATTACTACATCGACAGCTGCCATAGAATTTTACTTAAATCAGCAAATTTCTTATTTCCAGAACCAATTAGTAGTTTATGGAACTGTTGGCTTTCCTTTCAATACTCTTCTAGCTTTGCCTTGGTTTATTTTCAATGGGACGTATTTTGATGGGATCACTGTTGCAGATACCAATTTTACTGGTGGAGTTATTGAAGGCTCAAGTGACCCTCCAAACATTAATATTACCCTTGATAAAGTTTATTTGCCAACTGATGGAGCTTTTTGGCCTGTTATCCCATCGGACTTCTTGAGGACAACTGAATCTGCGCCTCAAATCCGTGTTTTTGTCAATAAAACAGCTGTCATTTGCAGAGGGGACTGTAGCTACAACTATTTGTCATACCCTAGCTTTCCAAAAATAGCAAGTTTTAGTCAATCATCAGGCACTCTTACAATTGTAGGCGAAAGCTTCCCTACAGATGCAACTCAGATATCAGTTACTGTAGGGTTTTCTGCTTGCATTGACATTTCTGTCAGCAATGACGCTGGTCGGGCCTGACTAGGTCTGCCTGGCTCTAAGGCTCTACTGCTCTATCTTTACCAATCATTGTAAAACATTTTTAAATATGTATTGATTATAAAATCATTTTTTAATTGGCTGAAATAACATCTTTTTTGCTTATTCGATGAAAAACTAATAGTTTATAATGATTTTGTTAACTTATTATAATGGTAATATGATATATTGTTAATATTAAATGCTCTTACACTTATATTGGCATTTTATTCTTTTATACTATATAAATCACTGAATTACGTTATAGACTTTTAAAAAATTAATCATATTGGCAGCAATATATAATAGATGCAGGCCTCTTAAAGTATTATCCTTTAGACATGATGATCTTACAGGCTATTTCACTTGAATCTAATATATCATCGCACAATTTATTAAATTGTAACTCAAAAGACCTACAATTTATTTTGGCAGAGTCAAACTGCCAGATAGAGACTGTCAGTAGAGCTAGGTAGACTAAGTCAGATTTTACCGTGACGCTACTCAAATCACCTGTACTCTTCAAGATGGCGTTGCAGGCAGCTACCAGCCAGTCGTTAAAATTACAGATCAAGGGATCATTCCAATAGACTCTACATTTACAAGTACAATTGACTCCTTACCTACAATAACTTCAATTTCCCCATCATCTGGAAGTACCCAAGGAGGGACAACAGTCACTATTTCAGGTACTGGCTTTTTTGACTCACTAACAAATTCTGCCTATCAGCAATATGTGACAATTGAAGGTGCTAAATGCACTGTAATTAGCACTTCTTTGACCCAAATTAAATGCGCCGCAGGCCCACAAGCTAGTTCTAGCTCAGACGTGGCTGTAACTGTAAATGGACAGTTAGCAACTTATTTTTCAAGCTTCTATGACTCAAGCAGCACCCCTACCGTTACTTCTATTAGCCCATCTTACGCCAGTACAACATTTAAGACAGAAATTACCCTTCAAGGAACTTTATTTTCTTCTAGCACAAGTGACATTTCTGTTACAATTGGAGACCAAGTTTGCATGGTGGTAAGCTCAACCTCAACTCAAATTGTTTGTCATTTACTGGGAGGTCCTCCAGGCACTTATACAATAACTGTATCAGTTTCTCCTTATGGCATAGCTAAATTTGATGCATCAATTACTAACAGCTTTGACCTCAAATTTGATGTGGTTTCAATCAGTCCAACTTCAGGCTCAGTCCAAGGTGGAACAACTCTGACTATAAACGGCTATGGGTTTTCAAGCGTTTCGAGCTCTTTGATAATTACAATTGGAAATGAAGACCATGAATGTGGAAACTTAAATGTGGTATCGTCAGAAGTTATAACTTGTAGCACTCCATCCTATACAAGTGATATGAATCTTGATACCGCTTATACGGTGACTGTTATTGGAAGAGTTCAAATGGAAAGTATATGTAAGGGGACTTGCTCATTTTCGTGGTCAAATTCAGTGACTCCAGTGGTCTCTTCAATTTCTCCTAATAGTGGTGCCTATGGCGATACGATTACTTTGGTAGGCTCTGTATTTGGGACTGACTCAACTAAAGAGTGAGCTCAGACACAAGATCCAATGCTTGAAACCCAATTTATAGACATTGATTTTCAATCAAAAATTGATACTCTCAGTACCACTTCAAATTCTAGCAAATTTAATATAAGCTTTTCGATTTTATACTTTCTTATAGAAAGTGTGTAAGCACCCATATTTAGATTTTTAAAAATAAACTCCTCCAAGTAAAAAATAGAAAGATATGATTTATTTTTATATAAATTAATAATTGAGCAAGAGCCCCCCTAGTTAAATCGGAACAAAACATAAAGTTTTCAATTTTTTTAAGGCTTTAGCTCCACTTTAAATTCTAACTCCCCCCCTCCCCCCCTCCGTGAGTGAACAAAACCATTAGAAAAATCGATATTTTTTGCCCAAAAAACACACCCTCCGTGAGTGAATAAAAATTTTTTTTTAATAGAAAAATTTTTTATGGAAAAAAAATTTGATATATAAATGATAATTAGTATAATGAAATCTAGAGCTACTTCTATTTAATTTTGAACGAATTGCTTTTTAAAACATAAATTTTATAAATTAAATTAATATTTGCTTTCCAATTTTTGCAATTAGGATTTTTTTAAATTTTGGAAAAAAATATTTTTTATATAAATTTTTTTTAAAAAAAAAAATTAACCCCCCTCCGTTAGTAAACAAAATTTTTTTTGTTCACACTCACGGAAGGGGGGGAGTAAGAATTTTTTTCAATAAGAAAATTATATATATTAAAAATTCTTAACGGAAAAAGTTAAGTCTAATATTATTAAACTGTTTTTTTAGAATTTTGAGAGGCTTATTGGAAAAAAATGAATATGGGATCTTGAGTTTATGTGGGCCCCAACTAAAGTCAACTTATCATTTGGAGGTGTAGAAGCAACTGTTACCTCATGTAGCGATACTGAAATTGTGGCAACTGTCCCAGCTGTCAAAGGGGTCCACCCTACTTTGGCTCTTTCAATTGACGGCCAAGGACTTTCCGATATGTCATCACTTGTGTTCAACAATAATGTGTTTGTCTCAGATGTCAATCCAAAGACAATTTCTCAAGGAGGAGAAGATATTACCATATCGGGTTCTGGCTTCGATACTGGAATGGCTTTTACTTTTGGCTCAGTGGCTTGCACAGTAACTGGGATCACCAACTCTCAAGCGAGCTGTAAGGCTGGGCCTTATTCTGCAGCTAGTACTGCGCAAAATCTCGTTATTTCTGGAACAGGCTCATATGAGTGTTCAGACAGTTCTAAATGTTCAATTTCATATTCTTCAGCATTTACCCCAATTTTAGGGTCTTCAACCTCTGGATTCTTAACGATTCCATTCACCGCCCCATCAGGAAATGGAGTGGTCGACCAAACTACAGTCCAGGTATATCTTGGCAGCTACCCATGCACAGTCACTTCTGTTTCAGCAAGCCAAATCGTTTGCACTCCGACTTCGCCAGCTGGGACTTATACGATATCGCTTCATGTTGATGGGTACGGATACTCAACTGGGTCGTTGAGCTCTCAAATTGCCCTTTCTATTGCAAATGTGAATGCATCTCCGTCCTCATATGAAGGTGGCCAATCTGTAACCTTGACTGGTACTGGACTGAGTGATAACTTAAAAGTATACTTATGTGGGTTCCAATGCAACGTTGAAACGGCGACTGGAGATTTATTAACATGTTTGTCTCCTAACTCCTTCTCCATGTAAACCATAAATTTAATAGTTAATGTTTTTATATTAAAAATGATTAATCTTGTCTCATAGGAAATGAGTAAGATAGTTACAACCTACTCGCAAAACTCTTTTAATTTAGCAAATGATCCTACCCAGCTAAGCGATTTTACAGTATTTTCTAGTGTTTCATCAGGCGCTGCAAACGCTTTTGACGGAAATGTGAATACTTATTATAGAGATACTACTCATACCTATGCATATGTCGGAGTTGATGCAGGATTAGGACGCTATATTCAACTTTCCCAAGTTACTCTTATTGGAGGAGGTAATGGCAATTACTACTACACTAATTTAATAGGCACTACTGTTCAAGGCTCTAACGACAACTCAACGTGGGACAATTTATACAACTATACAACAGTTACGGATTATACTAACAAATGGGTCGTCCCTGTAAATAATCAAGACTCTGATGATTACCCTGTATATACATATAGATATTACCGCCTCTATCAAGAATATGCAGGAAACAACTATTATATCAATGAAGTTTCTATATTTGGGTTTATTGGACTGTCTGAGACTGATACAGATATCACTTGTGACTTAACAACCAACTACCCTTCAACTTCAAGCAGACTCCTATCAGGGTCTTCAAGCTCTTATGCCTCGGCGATTCAATATAAAGGCTCCATCACCCCATACATCACTGACTTCTCTCCAAAATTCGGGACAAGCCTTGGAGGAGACACTATAACATTTACAGGCTCATTTGGAGCTTCAACAGCTGTTTCTGATGTGACCATTACTATTGATGAGGTCTCTTGTAGCGTTACTTCAGTCACCAGCACCCAAATCCAATGCACAACTTCTCCTAGGCCAAATTATGTTTCGCCTTCGCTTTCTATCGCAATTGCGGGGGTTGGCTATGTGGTGACTCATGGCAAAACTTTCCTTTATGCAGAACGGTGGAGTGCATACACAACTTGGGGTGGCGAAGTGCCTCCATTTGAAGGTGAAGCTGTTTCTATCCCTGTAGGCATGAACATTTTGCTAGATATAGCCACTCCTCATCTAACGCTAATTGTAATCGAAGGAGGTCTTATAGTAGAAGATGTCCCAGGACTCAGTATCGATGCAGACTATATTTATATACAAGGCGGACTTTTTCAAATAGGTACAGAAGCAGAGCCATTCCAAAATAAATTCACAATAACAATCCATGGAGACAGAAGCTCTGCTTTATTGCCTTACTATGGCAGTCAGTTTATTGCAGTCAGAGGCGGAGTTTTAGATATCCACGGAGTCGCAAGAACTCCAGCATGGACCTTTATAGATGGAACAATTGCTCCAGACGACACTACATTTAAAGTTGCCGAAACAGTGGACTGGGCCGCAGGCGAAGTAATTGCAATCGCTTCTACGTCTTATGACCACAATGAATCTGAAATGATGACTATTGCTTCAGTCAGCGGAAAACAAATCACTGTAACCAGTCCTTTTGTATATAAGCATTATGGAGTTATTGAAACTTATGGCTCTGATACTATGGATATGAGGGCTGAAGTGGGTTTATTGACAAGAAATATTTTAATCCAAGCAGGTCCTGAAGGCATCTCCCAAGAATGTGGCGTCCATGTTATGCTTTTTGCTCCTGGTGATGAGTCTTGTATTGGAAGAATTGAATATGCAGAGTTTTATCATGCTGGTCAGGCTTATAGACTAGGAAGATATCCTATCCACTTCCATATGATTGGAAAAGTCAGCTTGTCCTATGTGCGAGGAAACTCAATCCACCATACTTTCAACAGAGCCATTACAACCCACGGTGTCCATTATCAGACCCTTGAAAACAACGTAGTGTTCAGAAATAAAGGACATGCTTATTTTGTGGAAGATGGCATTGAAACCATGAATAAGTTCATCCACAACCTAGGAATCAGCACTATTGCATCATTTTCTTTGCTGAACAGTGACCAAGAGCCATCTACTTTTTGGATCACTAACCCTAATAATATTTTCTTGAATAATCATGCAGCAGGCTCAGATAAGTTTGGATACTGGTTTGAGCCACCTGAGAATCCTAGCGGGCCTTCGGCTACTACTCTTATATGTCCTCCATATCTCCCTCTAGGGCAATTTGCAAACAATACAGCCCACTCTAATGGAAAATACGGCTTCAGAATTTGGCTTGGCCACATACCTCTTGCAAATCCTTGCTCTCCAGGCAGAGATAAAACCTTACGTGACCCATTCTCAGTTAACACCCCGGTTACTGCTTATTATTACAATTATACAGGCTGGAAAAATAACCAAGACGGTGCTATTGCTGAAGATATAGGAGATGTCAGATTTATCGGCTTTAAAGTGGCAGATCATCATAAAAATGGCATTGAAATTTCCTATTCAGAGTTCTCTACCCCTTACAAAACAGCCAGAATCCATGACGCTGTGATTATCGGCAAGTCTGGGAACACTGATAACGACGTCTCCGGCGCAATTGGACTGACAACGCCACAGACTGATGGACTTTTAATAGAAAATGTGAGGTTCTATAACTTTGACGACGACATGTTCCCTCTGGGAGATGAGTCACACTCAGACAATGTTCAGTCAAGAGATTGGGGTGGGGTCATGCACAAGTTTTCTGGGCTTACATTTACTAACTCCCATAAGAGAATTTCGTGGAATGTCCCATACAGAGGAATCTTCCACTTCCTTGACGATTCTTATAATGGTGTAGCAGGGTCTTATGTGACTGCATATTGGCCTCATTTAATAACCCCTGAGTGTGTGTATGAAAAAGAACTATACAACGCTATATCTTGTGACTCTACTGTGGCTGTAAAAAGAGTCTTGTTCTATAACCTTGTCTCAGATGGACTTTTCGCATTCCAGAATTTGAATATAAGAAGAACATCAGGAGAGCAACTCCCAACAGAATACGTAGAAGTTACAGTCAATGGGACAAATACTACTGTGACTGAGCCAACCTGGGGAGTCTTGCCAATGACTAAATCATGTCAGAAAAAGGATCCACTTACTCCTCCCTTATAAATTGAGACTAATATCCTATAAACTCCTTTAAATTGAGTAATTTTAATTTTTAAGTGCAAATAATAATTTTATTGAGTAGCTTAAATGATCAATTTAATGTTAACAAAATCAAAAATTTAGCTATGAATTGCTCTATTTTTTAATAGATAAATTAATTTTTTACCCAAAATTTCTAAATTTTTTTGAAAAAAAGTTTCCTCCTTTAAATTAAAAAAATATTTTAAATTACAATTTAAAGGAGGGGAGCTAAAGGATGGGGTATCCCAGTTGTCACTGGCTATAACTATACACTGTTCTGGGGAAGAGGATATCCTTTAGACTTTACTCAAATGGACATCAGGATTGAACAATTTGACTATGATGAAGCTGACAAATGGGTTATAATAAGCATGAACTTCACAGACCACCGTGAAATGTTCAATCTGACCCGCGGAACTCTCCCATCATCTGTAAACACTTCCGCATCTGGCTTTGTTGATCCTACAAAAATGAAAAATACTACCCATTTCAACGTCGCTACAGATACTTCAGGAACATTTTACTGGGACAATTCAACAGATAACAGAAGAATCGATATCCTCATTAACGGAGTTAACGACAATTTATATCAATATGGGCCTATACACCTTCTTGCTTCAAGATGCTTTGGGGACCATTGTAGTGATTTATCCACAACTGACGACAGCTTAACGAACTTAACAGTTGTCTATTGGAGCGACCCTACAATTTGGCGCAGTGGAGTATTGCCGACAGCTGGTCAAAATGTTTATGTTTTAAATACCTGGCACTTAATGCTGGACATTGACACTCCTGTATTTCACTATGTTGAAATTAACGGGCTTCTAGAATTTGACAGAACCAAAAACGTATCATTGAGCTCTGAATGGATCTTCGTAAGGGGTGGAAAAGTGAAAGCAGGAAGCGAGGAATATAGCGCTTTCCCGAGGATGGCGCGGAATGGCGCCATCCTCGGGAAAGCCAGGAAGGCATCCACACGGGAACTGGGAGTTCCACGTGTGGATGCCATTTTGACATGTGGAAGTTTGGATCCCACATGTCAAAAATGGCATCCACACGTGGAACTCCCAGTTCCCGTGTGGATGCTTAGTTGACTTTCCCGAGGATGGCGCCATTCCGCGCCATCCTCGGGAAAGCGCTATATCCTATCCCTCCTAACATTTTCCACACAATCACTCTTCATGGCAATCCAAACTCTGAAGAATTCGCTTTTTCCAATGACGTTGAAGGTGGCAATAAAGTATTCGCCATCACTGGAGAAGTCCAAATGCACGGTTACCCTAAGACTGCATATTCTTTGCTGGCTCAAAATGCATACCCAGGCGACTCATTCATTTTTGTTGATAGTGTTGATTGGAGTATTGGAGACGAAATTGCAATTGCTCCATCTGGATTTGATAAGACAGAAGACGAGGTCTTTGTGATTACAGACATAATTGGGGCTTCTGCTCAGTACACTATTCCGGCTATGAACAATTCCAGGATGCTTGTAGATTTTGCAACTGATCCTGACTGGCAAAAAGTTAACAATCTTCGAACTGCAGGAAAAAATCCAGCCAGCACTGACCAAAGCTTGTCCCAGCAGTCAGTTCCAGGCTCTTCTACAGGAATTACCAAGATTGTCCTAAACGGCACGCTTAAATACTACCACTCTGGAGTCCAAATGCTGATCCAAGGTGTCACAGTTGATACTAGAACTGAAGTAGGCGTTCTCAGCAGAAATGTAAAAATCCAAGGTGACGGCTACATTGGTTGGGGCTGCACATCAATTGTGAGTGATTTCTACGATGTTTTAACTACAAGTGGCACTCCTGCCTACAGGTATGGCAGAGTCAATATGACAAATGTCGAATTTTCAAAATGCGGCCAAGAAGACACCTATAAGGCTTCCATAAGATTTGAGCTTGGTGGAAAAATCGCATCACGAGTCCACAACTCAGTCTTCCGCGATTCTTATACATATGCAGCCTTTTTCCATGAAGCTAACAATATTGAGTTCTCTAGCAACTTCATGTATAAGACCATTTGGAAAGGAATCGTGGGATCTGATATCAAGAATGTATCGATTACAGATAACGTGCTTATAAAGACAGCAAATAGAGGCTTTTTGAGCAATACTTTAGACGTCCCTGCAGGGTTCTTTATATGCGCAGATAGTCCTGTATGTAGTAATGTGTCAACGATTGGAAACAGAGTCGCCGCATCTGATAGTATAGCTTTTGTGCTTGGAGGCCAAGACTGTGATACTAATGTAATCACTCATTACATCTCAGACAACGTTGCCCATTCTTCAGACTATGGCTATATGCTTAGTGGCCAAAATGACGTAACTTGTATAAGTGCAAATGGTCTTAAGGCTTGGTTCTGTGGGCAAGGTGTAGGCTCTCAAGGTGGCACAATGAACAGGTTCCAGTTATCAGGACTTGTCCTTGTAGAAAATCAAATGGGTATTGCAATGAGAGGCCAACATGAAGATGATATGGTCTCATATATAAACACAATTACTGACAGTTTACTTGTGGGAAGAACTCAGCAAAGCTACTGTGACCCTAATAACTGTATATCAAGTGATTGTGCTGACAGAGGAGGGATTGTAACAGGTGTCCACGATATTAAGATCATCCCTCTATCTTATGATGAGAAAATCATACTTCCACTTTCTAATGCCAAAAAGCCTGAATGCGGCTATGGCCACTGGGAATACTCAGATTCAACCTTCGTGAACTTTATTAAAACAGGATGTGGAAGGGATTATGCAATCAGTGGGAATGACCAAGTCCCTAACCTGCCTCAGCCTAACTTGTTCTCAAAATCCACATTTATCAATGTAGACAAAGGTTCAATTGCTTATATGCCATCTCCTGATAAGAGTTTGATTGGTGTTGGCTTTTGTGGAGATTGGGTATGTACAGGGGCTAATAACAATTTAATCCAAGATATTGATGGAACTATTACAGGTGGCTCTATAGGAGGGGCTGTAATTCCTTTAGTTCCAGGCATTGCAAATATAAACATATGCAAGCCATATACCCAAGGTCAAGTTTATATTTGCCCATATGATACAGCCTCAGGAGAAGTCTATGAATATGTCATTATTGAGTCGCAAGACACGGATAAATGGAACAGAACGTTTTCACCATTGAATATAACTTCAGTTGACATCGGAAATGGCTATGCATTCAAGAGCTACAACTATGGAGCATTTAGAAATGACCTAAATGAGTATGAAGATATGACTTGGGAAGCTTTCTATAGAGACGGTTTGCATTTAAGTAGGTTTGGGTCAATCATTTATACAGGGCAGTATTATAATTTAACAACGACTGGTACTCCGCCGACTAAATTTTCAATTATAACTGAGGCTTCAATAGATCAGTCTAGAGGATTCGTCATGACTCTTAAATATGACAGCCCAGTCATTGTCGATGTCTATGTTAATGGTACAAAAGTAGACGGGATTGAATATAACGGTGCTGCAACTACTCCAGTGTGCCAACTAGCTGACAAAACAGGAACAAATAGATGGTTTCACGAAAATAACACTATCCAGTGGGTCCAAAAAGGTCATGCAAATGTCACTCTGGTTCAGACAAGCTCTGTAAGACTGACCATGGAACTCGATATGACACTGACAGAGTTCTATACTGACAATACTCGTGCTACCTTAGTCGATAAGCTTGCAGCAGTCCTTGGCATCCCATCCTATAGAATAAGAATCGCAAGTGTCAAGCAAGGCTCAGTTATCCTTAATATGTTCATTAGACCGAACGATACCTTGGTAGGTCAAACAGACTCAACCGGCGCTAAAACCTCAGACAAAGAATTAGCAAGCATTAACGCACTTGTTACCCAGCTCGCATCTAATGGAAAACTTACCCAAGCTCTTGGAAAAGATGTATTAAGTGTAGACTCCCAGACGTCTATCGTCAATGATACAGCAACAACTGCAATAAGCACTGGGGGAACTGGAAGCACTGATGGGGGACAAAGCACTGGTGGCAATTCTGATGGTGGAAATACTAATGGTGGAAATACAGATAATGGAGGTGGAAGCACTGATAATGGAGGAGGGTCAAACCTTATATTTAGAGGCACTTTTAATGAGGCTGTGAGCGACTGGGTTATTGGACTCCTAGTTGGTATTATTTTAGTCATCATGGCAGTAGGGTCAATCTTTATTTACGCATTTAGCAAAAGAAAGAGACTATTCCTTGAAGAGTTACCTTCTGCTAAGGTCATCCCAATCTTAGAAGAAGTCGATGAGCAGCATGCAGTCTCTTTTGACTCTCCTAAGAAGGAAGCATTTGAATTCGAAGCAGGAGATGTTCGTGATATGCATAGAATCTTTACAAAAGATGAAGAAGCCAAACAAGCGGACCAAGAAGTGGCATACACAATTGAAGCAGAGGAAAGAAAGCCTGCTAGACATGCATCCCTCGTGGATGTTTAGTCTCAAGTAATTAAACTTATTTGCTTAATCTAATTATAAATCATGCTTACAAATAGGCATAATGCTGATTTAGGAAGTGAGCTTCTATAAAATAAAACCCATTAATTTGATGTGCTATTGCCTTTAAAGTATCAGTATGTAGCTATTTATAGAGTATCTATTGGTTTATCGTCAAAAACCTAGCTCTTTAAATTATTTTAAATGTCGGGATTTGTGATGATTATTTTTATTATTAATGCTTACTCCCCCCTCTGTGAGTGGGCGGCAAAAAAAATATTGTTCGCTCAATTTTTTTTTGAAAAAAATATTATAAAAAATAATTATAAAACCAAAGATTTTGAAGCTGCAGCTTGGGGAGACTGTGTAAAATTGCACGTACTTGAACTACTGTGGAGTTTATAGGCAGAGAATCATTTGAATAAGAAGGATAATTAGCGAATGCCTCTATGCTATCAACACAGATCGATGCTTTCTTAGCATGTAGTTATTTTTCTTTTCAACTCAACCATGGAACCATGGGTAGGCAGTATTTGAGCTATAATTAACTATTAAGCTGCATATAAAATAATAACTTTGTTTTAACCTCTGATCAAATGCACATTTATTTGCATATAACAAACTAATATTGGCGAATATTTATAAATTCTTTCTCGATGTCTGTATGCAAGCAAAAATTTTGGCTCACTCATGAATGCTGCTTCAGCCAAGTGTCATTCATAATAAACCTTTATTAAATTCCTGACTCCCCCCTCGTGTGAGTGAACAAAACCATTGGATTAATCCCCTATTTTTTGCCTGAAAAAACACCCTCCGTGAGCGAACAAAAATGTTTTTATGAAAAAATAACTTTGATATATAAGTGATAATTAAATAATGAAATTTCTAGCTAATTCTGTTTAATTTTAAACAATTGCGTTTTAAAGCATAAATTTTGCAAATTAAATTAATATTTACTTTCCAAATTTCGCAAATTGGAATTTTTTTAGATTTCGAAAAAAAAATTCACTATAAAATTCATAAATAAATTTTTAGCTCACCTCCTTAAACACATCAAATTTTTTTTGTTCGCTCGCCAAGGAGGGAGTAATGAAACAGGAAAACGAAAATGGGTTGTCCAAATTATAGATATGAAATGCTAAATTGATTTTATCAGTTTCCGATGATGACATGATATCTTTAATTACTATAAAATAAATTACATTAAACTTAATAATCAATTAATAAAGAAAAGGTTTTAAATAATTGCTTAAACTTTATGTGCCGCCACAACTCTTTTTGCTCTGTCTTTTGTTTTTTCTTCCTCTTCTTTTGGAATTGATGTATCTATATCAGCGATCTTCCCATTTCCTTTCAGTCCAGGAGTCGCAGTCTGTATTTCATCAATCAAATCGTCGCTTTCCAGTTCATTATTCTGTCTAAACTTTTTCCTTTTATACTTTTCGTAAAATTCAACCACTTTTATCGCTATATAAGCATACAGAGCTGCTTTAACGACAGATGTAAAACAAATATTGACTATATACCCAACCCCTACGTTGAGAACCCAAGTTCTGCTAACTGATTCATTAAACTGAATGGCAAAGAGGACAATGCTCCAGCAAAAATAAATCATAAAGCCCCATGCTAAAATGAGCCCTACTATTCGTTTAATTTTATTCTGCCGCTTAATTCTCTTGTATTGCATTTCAGTCATTTGGTCTTCAACCAGCTTTTCTTTTACTCCCCCCCTCCGTGAGTGAACAAAAAATTTTGTTCACTCACGGAGGGGGGTTTAATTTTTTTTTTTTTAAAAAAATTTGTATAAAAAAAATATTTTTTTTCGAAATTTAAAAAAATCCTAATTTGCAAAAATAGGAAAGCAAATATTAATTTAATTTATAAAATTTATGTTTTAAATAGCAAATCATTTAAAATTAAACAGAATTAGCTCTAGATTTCATTATATTAATTATCATTTATATATCAAAATTTTTTTCTTCTATTACAAAAAATTTTTGTTCACTCACGGAGGGTGGGTTTTTTGGGCAAAAAATGGCGATTTTTCTAATGGTTTTTGTTCACTCACGGAGGGGGGGGAGAGTTAGAAGAAAATTAAGAAGGGTAGTTATGATAATCATAAATAGAGAAGACCAAACCATAATCCAGAAATCGGTCCAGCTGTAATTGACTGATGAATTATCATCATTATTCGATATTGTGCTATTTGTTGGACTAGACGAGTTGTAGTACACGTTTTCGCTTGATTAGATTAAGTCCTTATCTGTCTAGGAGAGTGGCTGACATAATCTATCAGGGGATCGGAGATAGGGCACAACCCCTAATCCTTCTTTAGTCCCATTCCTCTTTGCATCCAGAAGTGTGGAGTTTTGGCATATGAACTCTGATTTCCTTTAATATAGTGCAGGGTAAAAAATCGCCGGGGCATAAATTGCAGAACCTGACTTTCTTGACAAAAAAAAAACACGAGGGTAAAGAAGAAGGACAGGCCATTCTATTAGCGTATTTTCTCTCTTGAAGAATCAGAATTTTGATAAAACATGCCCATGAAAAACATTTGTCCTAAAAGTGCAAGGAAAAATAATGTGATCCTGCTGAGACTGGTCAGATATGGATCTCTTACCAAATAGATACTGAAAAGTTCATGCTTTTTTGCAAAATACCAGATTAATTTCTTAAATCGAGCATTTTCATCTGTATCCTCAGTGCTTCTATTGAGGCTATCCTCAGAAAAGCTATAAACAAATACTTCTTTTGGAGTAACAAAAGATGCGCTTTTCTGTTCTTTATATTCTCGATCTGATTTTTTCCAAGGCCAGCATGATTTTTTGGATGGCTTCTTAGGACTTTCATCTCCAATTTTCCCTGAATCCCCCCCTTTAAATTAGAACAAAATATAGGTAAAATTTTCAATTTTTTGGTAAATTAATCCTCCTTTAAATTGGAACAAAATTTTTGTTCCAATTTAAAGTGAGGGGAGTGAGGAATTTCCAAATTTAGTTGCTACTTTATTAATCTTCTTTGGTGTCCCCTTCAGTTTTATTCTTCTGTTTTCCTCTTCCTTTTCTATTTTTCTATCTCTATTTATAGCTAAAACCCCTAAAATTCCATATATAATCAAAGTTGCGATACAAAAATACAAGCCAGCCGCATTTGTGGCATTCAGCGATAGCCATGCATTAGCATTGAAAGTATCTCCAATATTGGAATTTACTATGGATGAACTAGCTGCATTAAGTACTGTAAAGGTTGTAAGGTGGCTGCAGCTACAAGTCACACTTTGTGAATCACTTTTGTATTTAATACATCCTTCTGTGCTTCAGTTCATTGATTTTGTGTCCAAAAAGACACATTGAGGAGTATAGTTAGAATATTTCGCATTCCAAACAGGGATTTGAATCAAGATCCGTGAGGATGTAGAATTGACGCTAATTTTTTCTCGGGATTTATGACCGTATATACTTATATCTACAACTGAGGATGATATACTATTGGGGTCATTTGGGCAGTCGAGAACCATCATTGCGATGTCCACAATTGTTTCATTTGTCGCGTCTGCAAGCATTGCTGTAAAATCGTCTGGAAAGAGCACTGAAGCATTTCTGCCAGTTGAGTTAAGCTGATATCCATTTAAATCATTTGCTTTCATTACTGCCATAGTGACCCCTATATTCGTCATTTTTGATTCCTTGTTTTCGTTCAATACCATCTGTGAAAGGGTAGCACTTTGGATCTTATTTGTAGACTGTACTGCAGCTGCAAGTTCTCGATTCTTAACAACAAGAGTTGTGGAGTTATATTGATAGACTTGGTCAATCACTTTAAAATAGTCATTAATTTGCTGCTCATAAAGGGCTTGAGAGCTTGAAATACTATTAAAGATCTCATCAATAATTAGAAAAACTTTATTTTCTAGAGAGCTGATATGCAAATAAGGGTTAGCAGATACCACACCTAATAAGCAGGAAAAAACAGAAATGGACTGGCTATCAAATTGGCTAATTTCTATTAAAAAATCAATTGATTCTATAGTGAATTGGACAACATTTTGTCACAGCTGCAGGTCTGAAGGAGAAGGCTCTCTATATTTTCCTTTTAAGTAATAATCTCGATTGAGAATTGAGTTACATAGCGTAGATATGATCCAAGGGAACACTTGCGGGTTTGAAGTTTCTGCGTTTGCAAAGTCCTTGTAGCTTATAAAAAGCTCTGTCTGGTTAAAGATAAGATTCTGTGAAATACTGATTGAGCTTGTTTTTCTTGTGTAAGCTCCTAAACTGTCATAAATAACTATAAAAACTTCTAGTTCGTTTCCTAAATAAGGAAACGTAGAATAATGTGTTGAGCTCTGATTTTTGAAATTCAAGTAGATGTCGCTGTTTTCAGCGACGTATCCATAAGAATAATAAAGTGGATAATTGCTTTCGTCGTCAACCCATTCAAGGGCTTCCATCTTGAAAAAAGTTTTCAGCTCAATGCCGGATGTCGGGGTTACGTTAAAAGTTCCTGAATATGGAGGAGAGTTCGAGTAAAATTTGTATTCAAAATATGAATTTAATTTACCATCTGAGACACTTAAGAGAAGGGTATAGCTCTGCCCAGGACTTAAGGAATCTGGGCTTATGGAAAGAAATAGCTGACCCTGAGGAGTTAAGAATTCAACGTTTTCGCTTCCAGGGATACTTCATGTATAGGAATAAGATTTTTTTGAGTCACTAGTAATTGAGGCTTCAAATCTTAATGGAGAGTTTAGCGAGAATATATCTGGCTGAGATCCAGTCAGAGGATTAGTTATACTAACCGCAGGAATTTCATAGCTCAAAGTGCTCAGTGTTATGATTTTTTGAGATTGTACAAACTCATTGCTCAAATGTCTATTATACCCTTTATCAAACAAATTCTGTGAGAAGACCGAACTTAGTTGCCTCCTGGAACCTAGTTCGAGTAGACATGTCAGTGTAAATTCATATATTTGTCCTTGAGCTAATGAATCTGCAGGTAAAGTCAAGTTTGGCAAAGTTGGGTCAGAAATAACAGAACTGCAGTCAGTGGAATTCTCAAAAGAGCAAGCCCACTCAAATTCAAGAGGCTTTCTTTCGTTAGGATCATAGCTAAGACTAGCGTTAATAAAAATAGGATGGCGCGTGTCTGCGCTGCCACTTGCTCGCGAAAATTCGATGTATGGGTTAGCAGCTTTTATTGTGATATCAAGCGTGCTTCTGCCTTGCAAATTTGAAGATGAGTCAAATGCTTCTATTGAAAATGTTGCGTTTAAGCGAGGAGAAAGACTTCTTTGAGGAAGATTTAAAGTTGCTTGGGCTGTTTGGCTGCCCCAAAGACTATTTTCGTCTATTTTTGAATAATTACCAACAGCACTTAACAGCTTTCACGTGAAATTTGCGCCTTGAAGTAAGCTGCAAGATGAGATTGAGCCAATCGCGTATTCTGCATAATCAGTATATAGTGTTTGATAGTCAATTGCTCTGTCAAAATTCATAGAAATTTCATCAGAAACTGCCTCTACTACTAGAGAAGTAGTATCCTCATTTCCAAATCTATTTTTTACAGTCAGCGAAATAGTGATTTTTGCAGTTGATAGATCAGTTTTTGGTATGGTAAATCCTGTTGCTTCTTTTAGGAAGTCTGTATTATAGTTCAGCAAAGCAGGGATGCTTGGCTCTGATGTTATGTTTCATTTATAATATAAGCTTGACTTGATATGTCCTGTAGACTTATGCCCTGAAATCGAAAGATCCTCACAATTGTAGAGAACAGTGTTTGGGGCATCAATTTTGGCTGATGGGTATAGTGAAGGAACAGAGTAGTCTAAATCGATATTTAAATCATATAAAAAGTGCCCACACTCTGCGTTTTTTCCTTTTAATGCTCCTTTGATGATTTCTATTGGCTCATTTTCAATAGTGAATTCATCACCAAGGTCTATTATTATCTTTGTGGCTTCTAAATTAAAATAGTGCCTATTAGTTATTTTTCGAGGTGCTCTTATATATTAAACAAAGATTTAATTATAATATTAATAAGCATAATTTTTGGTGTGATAGCTATTAATTCTTTTTCGAAATAATTTTAAAGCAGATATTAATTTAATTTTGGAAAATTTCTATTTTAAAATGCAAACTGTTTAAAGTTAAGCAGAATTATAACCCGAGCATCCTTTTGGCTCTAATTGTAGTAGAGATTTTCTTTATAATAACTATCACTTATATATCAAATAATCATTTGGACAAATTTGATTCTGAATTCTGAATTTTTAGGCACAAGCACATTAGCCGACCTGGTAAAATAGAAAGCTGGCCACCAGTATGGAGCGTGTACTTGCACCTAAAAATGCACAAGGCACGACCAAATTTGTCCAAAGGGCAATAGTTTTTTATGAAAGAACTTTACACTAAAAAAATTGCTTTACCCAAAAATAAGGATTTTTCCAATGGTTTTGTTTGCTCACTGAGGGTAGGAGTTATAAAATCCATCTAATAATAACATAAATATCTATTTCCGAACTTTGATAGGACATTTGTTGGAAAGATCTTCTCACAGTCCAGATTTGTAGTATCGATAGGTATGCCAAGCTCAAAAATTATTCTCACAAAAGTTGACGTAAAATATGCTTTTATTTCAGTTGGTTGTAAGTACCTGAAGCAAGCTATGCAATTCCCATTGAGTAATTGATAATCTTTTGGACATGCACAAGATTCAGAAACAGGGTCATACTCAAAAGTATCGCTGCAAGTACATGGAGGTGTGTTAATAGCGTTTATTTTGCACTCGATGCACTTGGCAAATTCGTAGCTAGAAAAGCTGTAGCACAGTGGATTTTCATGCAAACTGCATGAGTTGCCTCTAGCACAACCAATACTACAGCTTTGGTCACATGCTTTACAGCTCTTATCAGCACTATCATAATACTCATTCGACATACAATTTATAAGTCCTTCCCCATCCCCAGTGCAAAAAGGGTAGCCACAAGTAGATGACCATATAGGAATTGATTCTGCGCCAAAATTGCGAATTTTTAAGGAATAAATGCACCCACTAAAAGACAGCTGAGAATTTCATGTCCCTAAGCCAAACTTATATTCATAATTTTCTTTATAAATTGCATCGCCATGAGTCCATGAGTCAACTTTGTCTACGTTCACAAAAAGGCTGGCTTTTGATATGTATGCTGAATAAGAATAAGATAGAACCACCCTTTGCCAATTATTATAGGTATAGCTCGAACTTTGCAAGCAGTATTTGACTGTTGAGCTGTCATATTCGTTTGTTACGTTATAGCAAGCTTCAAAAGAGTAGCCTGAAGAAGTCTGATAGCATTGTATAAGCAAAAGATATGAGTCAGTAGTATACACAGCAAGAATTGCTCCATTAATATCTTGAGGACTAATCATTGTCCACAAGTCAATGTTTTGACTTAAGCCGAGAGTTATCCTATCTGACGGATCGGCTTCTGGCGGCTTAATTGAAGCAAGAGAGTTTTCTCGGAACCAAAGTCCTCTATTAGGAAGAGTTCATGGATTATCTGAGCCATAATCAGGGTAATAACGACTATCACTACCTAAACTTATAGGGTAAGCACTTATTGAATCATATTGAGGGTTTAAAATTTGATTGAACTTATAAGAGATATAAAGCGCTGATGATTGGAGCTCGCATACTGATTGATTATTTATATAGCCTAATGGGCAGTTCAATACACAGAAGCCATTATATAGTTTATATTCAGACTTGCAGGCTGTGCATTGGCTCATCTGCAATCCATTGCATGAGGTGCACAATGAAAAGCAAGGATTTTTGCATTCAAGTTTTTCATAGTCGAAATCATGTCCATTTAGACAGACGCAATTCTTTACACCATCTCAATATGTAGCAGTGTAACAAGTATCACAAGAAGATGTATAAAAACTAGAGCATTGTTGGCATGCATTGGCTTTGCATAAACTACAATTATCGCCATTTATACAGCCATATTGGCATGAACTTAGGCAGGATTTGCAGCTTCCCGATCCTGTATCTAAATAAAAGTTCCAATCACAAGTTCCTAGGCACTTTCCAGTACCTGTGCAATAATCACAACCAGTACAAGTTTTTAAAAATAAAATAGCAAGGTCCGTAGAGCTTACATCATAGGAGTAATATAAAATTCGATACATGAAGCCATGGAAGGGATTTGAATAGACACCTCCTTGTAAGCTTGCGCCATAAATCGCTTTAGATGACATGTCACTAAAAAATCCGTTTGTTATCCTAGTAAGCCCCTTGCAAGAGTCATAAATGCAAAGATTGTAGAAGGTCGATCCTCGGATAAATCGAATGATTAGAGTAAAAATAATCCAGACATCTTTCTCAATTGGATAGTTATTTTCTAAGACATCATAGGTTGTTTCGGCTGAAGAGGAGCTGGAGTCAGGAGTATTCAATCGAATAGAAATTCATGGCCAAAAACCTACTATGTAAAGTATAAGGCTAAATTCCGCAGAGCTGTCACTATTTCATTTATGAATAAGTGTTTGAGAGTTAGAATCGGCTGTCCTGATCCAGAACGAATGACTATGATCTAAATCAAAGACGATATCACTAGTTGTGGTCAAATAGCAATCATTGCTTCCTGTAAAATAAAACCCTCTATCATAACTTGGAATCGGATTTAATTCTGGGTATAGTTTGCTTGGGATTATAATTAATATTATTTAAGATCTGTGTTTACTTGTTTAACTTCACGCTCAATATAAATCTTTGGTAATAGCTAGATCAGCTGCAGACGAATCTCTTGGGCGTCAGCATTTACCAGATACAGCTCTATCTCATCTCTCAGCCTGGTTCTTAAAACTGTCTGTGAACCTTGGAAATACACATTTGCTTGGAGTTAAGCCATAAGTTGTAGATCAATGATCATAATATATTGGAGCTCCTGCTAAAGAGTCCAATGTAAAATCATAGATATTTCTTCAATTTATTCCACCTGTGCAGCTTCCGCTTTGAGCAGAATATTGCTCCGGGCAGTGATTAACGCACACCCCCTTGTGGGCATATAAGCCTAGATTTGTATTGCAAGCTTCGCAGGTGTAAAATAATGAATCTGAACACTTAGTACACCCATAAACACAAGTAAATGTCAGGCACTCGCTTGAGCTAAATCCATTGCAGTATTTACAACTAGCGCTATAGCACAAACTGCATCGATCTGTATATAGGCAAGTCTGAGAGCAAGAAGAACCGCAGCTCGCGCATCAATTACTATATAAGAAACTGCCAAGCAGACAACTGGAGAAGCAGCTACTTGAAGCTATGCAATCTAGCAAAAAAAGTTGAGGATCTGTAATAAAAACTGAATAAACTGAAATTTCTGCAATCCAACCGTCAAACCCAACCAAAGTTTCGCTATTAAATCCTATTATGAATGGTTTTTCAGGGTCCCATCAAAATTTCCCTCCTGGACTATTAGCAGATTGCACTGAATTAAATACCCCATTTTGGTAAAGGGAAAGAGAATATGCACCTGAGGAATGAGCCATTGCAAATGTAAACGAGCTTCAAGCTGACCTGGGGTCATTGATCGAAAAGGGGAGTTCATATTGTGAATTATATCCCTGATCTCCAACTGCATTAAACATATAGGATATTGTAGTTGATGATAAAGTGATAGACCATTCATAACTTACAAAGTCTTTCGATTTGGAAAATACTACATCTTGATCCAGGTTAGTATTTGGATTTCTTCACGTTCAAAATGAAATAGTATGCTGAATATTCAATATAAAATTCGTTGAGGACCAGCTGTTTGGTGGCATCTGCATATATGACTTAGTTGGGTCAAAATAATACCCACTATTTTTCGTCGGATATGGATCATTATTGTCATAGTTTGGATAAAATTGATAGGGACTATTTCCGCAAATTAATGTCATGCTATCACTGAGAATGTTGAAATATCCTTCAATTTTATTAAAAGGTATATCAAAAAGCAAACTTGACAACAAAATGCAATCTCAAGAAGTCGTAAGAGTCGCAATATATCCAGTTGGGCATTCCTTTAAACACTGGCCGTTATGATAATTGTATGTCGACTGGCAAATTGTGCAACTATCAAAATATGTATCTGTGCAGGTAGCACAGCCTAAATAGCAGTTTTGAAGGACTCGATTAGGAAGTAAAGAAGACGCCTGAGAAGCTATTGGTTCTTGAGAATAACCAATAATGTATTCTGAAATATTCATCCTAGAAGCTAATTCCTGGGAATTTGTGCTGGCTAGAACAATAAAGGCTAATAAAACTAATACTCCAGGAAACATTTTATACTGAATAAAATGCCAGCTAAATATCTGTAACCACTTAAAAAGATATTATGGTTTTAAGCTATTTTAAGATTTTTAACTAATTTGACTGGCAGCTTTAATATACATAAAAATGGCGACTGGAGAGCCAGCCCTTTTCCTCAACACCTGTAGCCGGATATTCCGGGGACCTTGTGGAAGGGGAGAAGGCGCTCGGAATGTGTATCCGCCGGGTTTTAAACTTGGCACAGTGGAGCGCAATGTCGAATTTGGTCGACCGCAACTCATTCTTTCACCAAGGGTTTTACCTCAAGGAGGAAGGGTCTTCCAAGTTGGAAAGGGGAAGCTCAGCAGCATCAGAAGTCTTCTTTTGATCAATCGGGCAACTCCCTAGCGCGATACTGGGCGTTGCGTCCCGGGCTTGGATTTCCTTTCTGGCCGACAGCCCTACCAGAAAATTTGTTTTTCAAATTTTCGGAATGGGCAACCTCGTGCTCGCAGCCTCAAGCAAGGCCGCAGAATTCCTAAATCTGCCCACTCAAGACTGGAGCAAGGTTGTAGCTTGCAAGGAGGAGACGGCCAACAGAACAGGCTAGCTGTAAAATCAGAGTCCTGTAGGCGGAAGTCGCAAAGCGAGGAAACCTCGAGGGGGTCTGGGTGACTGCGTTAACAAGTAACAGCTTAGCAAATCTCTGTTTAAGAATTAAGACTGGCAGCTTTATCTTGAAAATTGATGAAAAGTGGCAGCTTTTTATGTTGAGATTTCTTTATAATAAGTATAAAACTAAATAGAGTCTTATATTTGTCCTTCAATTTTGAATATCAGGATAGCTAAATATTAAAGTTTGCGATAAACTGTAGTCTATCGGATTCTAGCCATTGATGATGCTTATTTTTATAAAATTATTATTTTGATTATCATAAAATGCATTAATATGATGGAGACAACCACCTAGCCTCTTGTGTGGAAGCCAAGAGGAGCTAAATTGAGATATAAGTGAGTTGTTAATGTATTCATTTAAGAGAGTTTTCTTGTGCCACAGATCCCTTATAGGAAGTATAGGACTTTTCTTTAGATATGGAACTGGAAAGAGCACATTTAGCTATCGTCATTAGGATTATACATAATATCCTCTAATAAAGAATAAAGGGAAGGCAGGTGCCCATGAGTATAGCTGTGAGTTATGCCTCAGGGTTCATTGGCTATAAACAAACCATCATCTGCTAAATATGATTCAGCCTAAGATAGGTAGATGCTACCAGTCTTTCGCTAATATTAAGGACGAACTCATGTTGAATTCCCCGTGTTTCTAAATAATGATAAATTTTATTTTTAATTATCGCGTAAAAGCTTTATTAAACTTGATTAATAATTTTATTAGTTTTGTATGATTTTGACAGCCAAATTATTTTTAAGTTTATATATGATATTTTAGGAATAGTTTTCACAAAGTTTACAACCTCTAAAATCGAATAGAACCCTCAAATAAATGCTGCTAAAAACTAGCCTTCAATAAGGATGATTTGAAAAGATTATATGAAAAATAAAAAGTAGAGCAATCTATCTTTCATTCAATTGATATAAGCTTTATAATAAAGGTAGTGCCATCAGTACAACTCATACACCTACATGGATTTCTCTATGGACAAAGGCCACATAGATGGCTGAAACGCTTTGACATTCATTTTTGGGAAGTAAGCTAAATGCCCACGCAGCTTAGGGTCAAATTCTTTATTAATTTTATATTTAACTAAATGATAGCATAAAACTCAACCGCTTTTTGAAGGAAGCAATTTTTCATGCAAATATGACTTCAAATTTATATTTTTATCAATTTTATCATTTACCTTTAGATTTTGGCACTTTTCAAAAAAATAAAGCTTTTATTTTTTATTACAATGAATTATTTTGCTTTAGATCCTTATGAGAATTTACAATCATTACTTTATATTCAAATAATCATGCCGCTGAAAGACAATTCTAACCTATGTCTATTAATTTTTACCATTCCCTTAATTAAATTAATCAAAAAGATATAATGGAAGAAATATAAATTTTATTTTTCGATAAACTAAATAAATTAATTTTTTCAGTTATTTTATTGATAATAAAGCTTTTGGTTTCTATGAATCATCTTCAATTAACTTTAACTTTCTATAATTGGACTTTAAGAATCTCTCCTGCACCTTCATATCTAAATCAAACTTATAGTAGTATTTGCACTCTATATCTGCATAATGATAATAAATAGACCCTCTAAAATAAGTCGCTGAAAATTGCCCATTGCTTCTTTTTTGAGACATAGCACCATTCGCAATTTTATTTCAATTAAATTCATTCCAATATTCGCTTTCATAAATTCCAGTGTTAATAACAAATAAATAAACCCTGTATCTTGCAGTAAACATTACTTTATCCCATTCAAATATTTCGTTCTCTTTATAAACTTTTATATAATTTCCCAAATTAATGTCATATCTATATATGCATTTATGCAAAAAACCACTTATTAAGATTCCATTTATAAATGGTGCACATACACAGAAATCCGATTTTTTAGGCAAATTCATCAATACCATTCATCTTTTTCGTGAAAAATCATACTTCTGTACTAGTAAATTGTGTCGATTTCTTTTTGTGAAGCCTCCGAATATATAAATAGCATTTTGATAATAGAGAGCTCCTGGGTCTTGCCGTGGAATTAATTTGCCAAGGCGTTTTATTCGAAAAGTGGCTAAATCAATGATGCGGGCAACTCCAGAGCTTGTCTTTCTTGGGCCTCCAAAAATGAAAAGTCTATTGTCAGGGAGCAAAACGAGGACGGAATGGACGCCAAAGTCTCGGTCTGTACTGAGCTCTTTGAATTTATCTTCTTGTGTCTCAATATTATACGTGTAGAAAGAGCACATACCTGCCCAAAATCTAGAAATCTGATATAAAAATGGACTATTATAAAATGTGCTCATTTTTTTGATATTTTCGAATTTTTTATCAATGGCATTTATATCCCTGAGAAAAATTATGTATTTTTTGACATATAATCGATAATGATTTATTGACTCCACATTTTTGCTCAGGGCAGATTTTCAAGAGGAATTGGTATTGAATCTATGAATCCATATAGTAAAGTAGGCGATAAATGGTTTTATTTCATCTTTTATCTGAGATTTTATATGGTTTTCGTAATAAATAATATCATCAGACGTTGACATGGTTATGCATTTTCCAATTCCTTCAATTATTATATTCAGTTTTTTCTTAAATAGTCTCATTTTTTTGCTTACTCCATAAAAAATTCTCTCTATATCTTCCTTAGTAATTCTCATTTTTTATAATAAAACGCTATTTAAATGCCCCCAAATTCATTAATTGAGAATTTTATTAATAAAATAATTTTTAAAAGGGCGGATTTTCTTTTAATTATAGCCATTAGTTATATATCATTAAAAATAGTTTAATGGTGGTAGATTAAATAGATTTTATTAGCCATTAATTTAATTAGGGTTATTTAACTTTTCGTTTTTAGAAGATTATTATAAGCATTAAATTGTAAAAATCTTATAAAATTACTCAAAATATAACTTATATTTAATCAATAAGATTTATAAGTCTGTAAAATTTTGGACGGCCACGTAGAAGTCGTATTTTAATGTAATTTTAATTGTAATTCTAATTTATAAGTCTGTGTTACTTTATATATAGCTTCTTCAAATAAAAAATTAGGATTTTACATATTTTGTGCAATTTAATAAAATGGATATTAGTCCCGCTTGCATTGATCCAAAGCAAAATAGAAAAAGGAAGCACAACGATGATGAGGAAATAGTTGAAAAAGTATCACCATTTACATTGCATACTTACTCAAAAATAGTGTAAATTCTCAAAAACCTAGATATCAGCGGAATTAACTTACAATTCTCTCCTATATATAATCAAAATAATGTATATATTTCAGTATATGCCAGCTGAGCATGTATTACTATTACAAATTCGATTTAAAAAAGAAGAAATTAAAGCAAATTGAAATCAATTATTTGCTTTTAGCATCTGAAAAGAACTAATCTGTAAATTTTATTATAAATATCATTGATTTATATATATTAAATTAATATATCGCTGCTAAAATTTCCTTCAATCCCCTCTTCCAGACTTCTAGCTCGTTTTTTAGGGATTTCTATATCCACCCTGTCAGAGCTGATCGAGGAATTTCATTTCAGCAGCTTATCTACTGGGCTGCCTTCAAGCTCTTTATCGAATATTCTGAGACCTAAATCTCCAATTTTTTTAGGGGGCTTGCTTGTAAATGAGCTATCGTCCAATTTATTTGAAGGCAAATTCGGTTCTAAAGGTTTGGATTTTACGCTTTTTTCTGTACTTTTTTTATTTCCAGGCACATTTTCGTTTAGTGGAGGCTGCTGAGGCTTTAAATTGTCCATGTCTTCTAATTCAGTTACTTGGGCGTCAGGAGGAATCTGGGGTTTTGTGTATAAACTTTTGATTCGGTCTGAAATTGAGCCTGGTTTTATTAATGATTTTATCATTAATGATTCTCTTATGTCAGGCTTTGGGGTTGGAGCAGGCTTTTCTGGCTTGGGCTTGGGTTTTTTGTTAGATTTTTTGCCTTCTTTAGGAGATCTTTTTTTAGAAGCAGGAGGTTCAGATGATGGAGGAGATTTAGAGCCTTTGGGAGAGGCAGGAGGTCCAGAAAATTTAGGAGACTTAGGGGATGACGGCTTTCGTTTTTTTGGCTCTGACCTATCTATAGGGTCGTCTGTAAGATCGATGAATTGAGTTTTGCTCATATAGTTTTAAATAATTAAATCCCCTTTTTAGAGGTAAAATTAAAAACATTAAAATCCATGTGTGCTAAAGTATAGTCATTAATATAATTGATCATAAATTAGAGGGAGTAATAAGCTTGATTCTGATTAACTGCACTCTAAAAATATGTTTATTTAGCTTTATCTATTTCAATTAAAATTCTTCCTCTGAAAATTAAAGAATAATTTAAATCACAGTTCAAAATATCATCTTTCAGCCTAATAAGATAAATCTTTAAATCCACAGGCTGCTTCTTTATACAATATCCCATTATTATATTTTTATCAATATGATAAAATCAAGCACACAAACTTTTGGTCTTCTTGACTGTCTCTGCTTATACTGCAACAGAAAAAATGCCAAATATATATGCCCTCAATGCAAAATCCCATATTGTTCTCTCAGATGTTATCAGTCTCACAATTTAGAATGCACAGAAAATTTCTACCAAGAACAAGTCCTCAATGGACTCAAAAACAAAAAGCCATCCAAAGAAGAAATCTCAAAATTCCACAAAATTTTAGCCTCAGTAAACGAACAAGGAAAAGACCTCGATTTAGAGTGCCTGACTGAAGAACAAGAAAAAAGATTAGAAATCATTGAAAGCCAGATAGACGAAAAGCAAGAAAATATTGAGTTAACGCAGGCAGAGATCCAGTGCTTTGAAAATGATATTAAGAACGGAAACTTGCTTAAATATATAGAAGAATGGAAGCCTTGATGGCTGGAAGAAAATCCTCAAAATCCTGATATCGCTGAGATTACTGCAGATTCATGGAAATCAATTTATAATAGTCTGCCACCGATTACTGCTCTTTGCAAAAGCCCTTCGAATGAGATTGTTTTTCATATTGCAAATGCCTTGTGGAGCTTTGCTTATGTTTGAAGATCCTATAATGGGGATACAGAATATAATGAAAGTGATATGTGCAGCCTTTTATTAGAAATTTCAGATGTGCTTAGTGGGGAAATCCATCATGAAATTTCAAGTTTGGAGACTTCTGTATACAAAGCAATAGAAAATGCTATGATTCATGATAATGAAGTCGCGAAAAGGCTCAATTTAGCCATTATATATGATTTATTTTTGATTTTTAAACACAAGTCTCATATTGTGAAATGTCTTCTCAGTTTATATGAATTTTTTGGACTTGAACAAATTTCTCAATTTATGAAGGGCAGAAAAGGCAACAAGAAAATTCAGAATATAAGGAAAAAACTATTCTTTTATCTTTCCTTTATTAAATCTAATATCCCTCTTTGCTAGCAAGCAAAATTTTTCGAACCTAGTCGGATTATTTTTTTTTAAACAATTTTTCCAAATTTTTATTAATAAAAATTTAATTTAATTTATGAAGTCTCTTTGAATGCAAGTTTAATAAATTAGATATAAATTTTGCTACTGAAATTGCTGTTCAAATCATACAACTATTTTAGCTTGCTCACAGGATCAGGAGTAAGAGCAATGAAAAGCTAATCGAAATAGCTGATCAGCTTTTAGCTATTTATAATTCAAAAAAAGCAATATTACACTAAAATAACTGCAAAAATTAGAAAAAATTAATAATTTATTATATTAAGTGGCGCTTACAATTTCTTTCTTTTCTATTTTTTGGTTCGTCATATTTTCAATATACTGTTCATATGCGATTTTTCTCTGTGAATATCCAATATTCACCCTTTTAATCACATATTTCCTAAATATCAGTGCTTTTTCTTCCTTTGGAAGCTCAGCTAGCATCACGCTTATATCGAAAGCATTCTTAGATCTCCCTCTATCTCTCCTTTTTTCGAATTTTTTGTTATTTTTATCTTGGTTACGAAAGAAAGGCACTTGATATTTCTCAACAATCTTCATCTGAGCCATCGAAAACTTTGTAGCCTTGTCCAGCTCAATTGCCAGCTGCAATAAAGGATGCAAATATTCTTGATCATTTTTTATTTCAGGCCATTCAGGCTCTTCTTCATCGTTTTCTATTGGTTTTTCTATTATCGAATCGACTTGAGGGATGTCTGCAGGTGGAGGAGAAGGGGGAGGCATGATTTTTCCTCTAAAAATTTCGTTTAAATCTTCAAGACATCTGGATGCAAAGTCAGGGACATCATAAGAACAAGCTGAAATCGCTGAGTGGATTTTCTTTAAAGGCTCAGGGCTTATTTCGACTTCTGCTGGCCTCTTGAAGGGTTTTATTTCTTCTTGTTCTTCAACGTTGTAAACTCTTGTGCATCTTCGAATGTCTTCTTCTTTTAAGACTCTAAGAAAACTGGCTGGGAGAGAGTTGAGATCTAGGGAAGATTTTTTGATTGCCATTGGGAAATAAAAATTATACCCCCTGGGATAATTATACGTTTTTGCATAAATAAAATGCATTTTATATTAAAATTTAAATTGGGATTGCCCTGTTTTCGATAGAAAATAATAAATAATTTGTTGGGTATTAAAATATTAGTGAAAACTGTATTTATATTTGAATAGAATTTGGAAGTTCCCATCAATTTCATGCTGCGTATTTAATAATCAATTTTTTACCTTGACAGAATTAATTAAATATCGTTTAAAAATAGCTCAATTTTAGAGATGAGAGCCAAAGCATTCTAAAAGCGAAAGATTAATTGAAATTTTTACAAATTTTACTATAAAATTTTTAAATAACTTAATATTTGTCATTGTGAATAAAACAATAATGTATAATAATCAAATAAAATTATTAATCAGCTTGATTTTAGACTAATTTACTTTTAATTATTTTTAACTGTTTTTTGTTTCTAAAATAAAATATAATAGGGAATAAAGTTAGAAAACGGATAATCTAATCTTTTGAGTTAAAAATTGAAATAAGATAGAAAACTTTTAAGAATTATAAAAAGGTTTCAGTGTCAATAAGACACAATTTGAGTCTAGAAGCATTACCAGCTTTTAAAAAATATAAAAATTATCCAAAAATTTTTAATTTACCTTAAAATACCATGCCTTCTTCAGAGTAATCTAGAGTTTGATAAGCCTATAATTATTCGATATCTAAATTTATAAATTTACTTATAAACTTTTTAAAAATCCCTTTTAGAATTTAATAGTTCAATTTACAGATTTTTTATCGATGAAGACAGTTTAGGAAAAATATTGTCAATTATTATATGATTAGCCTTTTAAGAGCGAATCTTCTTTAATTTTGTAATTGTTACCTTTGGATCTCCTTTCTGGATGCTCATAACTTGCATCCATTCTTGTGTTGCTGCACAGCATGGCATTAGAACGTGAATAAAATCGCTAAACGGGTTATCTGGGATTCTAAGGACTTTTCGAAGCAATTTTCGATTTATTGAACCTCCAAAGCACCCTAAAAGCATTACTAGTGTACAAGCTCTAAAAGCAGCTTCTTTATTACTTGGCTCAGCCAATTTTGCTGAGAAGACTTGCATACAATGATAGCCGCAAGGGATGCATAAAGCCCAGAAAAACATGTAGTAGTTTTCGCTGCAGTCAAATACTTCGTATTTCCACCCTACCATTAATATAAATATGATATGAAAGTTTTTTTCTTATTAAATCAACATCAAAATGGAAAAGAATAAAGAGGTTTCATTTGTGAAGAAAAATCAAAGAATAAGAAGGATTTAAAGCCTAATAACTACTTATAAAGAATTTTTAACATAAAACATTAAGTTCAAAATGTTTTGGAATTTTTTATTTTGCAGTAAAGCGCTGTCTTTATATTTATATTACTTATGAAAAAGCCGCTTAAATTCCTGAAGAATTATCTCATCCGTATCCCCCCTTCGTCTGCTCGACAATTTTTATATGGCCTTACAAAGAGTTCTCCTGCTAGACTAGGGTCTGTAATTACTACCTTGTAGTTGAGTGGGTCGCTACCGACTTCAAAAGAATTTATTACCATTGAAAATTCAAAATATAGAATTTTTAGGCCAACTCTCGACCAAAATGGAAAACCTAAGCCTAGGGCTTAATTTAATAATGGTTATCACCCCACAAAGGGGTCAATTTGCCTCTTATTAGCCTAGGGCTTAACTCCTAGTTCAACGCTGGGAAACAGTCTCGATTGGCCAGGAGATATACTTTGGCGTGCTTGAGATCCCTTCCCAACCCAGGCTCCATTCCCAACTGATACAAATTCTTGGCATTGGAGGAAAGCATGCGGTCGGCTAATCCGAGATTGTGCTTCACAAACCAAGAAAAGCCAGTCGAATACAAATTACCGATCACCATCCATTCTTCCTCGAGGGCTCTACAGACCTGTGGGATACTCTCTACAGGAGTTAAAAGGATGTGCTGCTTCGTCTGCGATTTTAATATATATTTTGCAGTAAAGCATATCACACATTAACGATATTTGAGTTCATAATCCTAGAACTATGCTTCAGATTGAATTATTAAGCCTATTTTTGGCTGCTTAAATTCAAGTTATGAAGAAAATTAAAGAATTATGATCAACTATTCACAAGTCAAGCCAATTATTTTTTGAATTTCTTCCAAGTGTTTTAAGATTGCTTTGAAGGTAAAGTTTTGCATGCTAATAAGCTAGGCCTAGTTATGCAAGAAAAATTAATTACAGCTATTTCAGATGGTTGAATTTAGAGAAAAGTAAAATAATTTGGTAGGCTTTTGGCTTACTCCTCACTATAACAAATATTTTATACAAAACATTTATATAAACGCATTTTTTGCTCATCTTGATGGAGTTTTTTTTCTAAGAGATAGTTTTCTAGCTATTAAATCGGTACTAAGAATCCTAAAAGTTAGAAAGCAAAATATGGATCAAAAATCTTTGACTCCCCCCCCCCCCTCCGTGAGCGAACAAAACCATTAGAAAAATCGCCATTTTTTGACCAAAAACCCACCCTCCGTGAGTGAACAAAAATTTTTTTAATAGAAAAAATTTTAATGGAAAAAAATTTTGATATATAAGTGATAATTAGTATAATGAAATCTAGAGCTAATTCTGTTTAATTTTAAACAAATTGCGTTTTAAAACATAAATTTTGCAAATTAAATTAATATTTGCTTCCCAATTTTTGCAAATTAGGATTTTTTTAAAATTTCGAAAAAAATATTTTTTATAAAATTTATATATAAATTTTTTTTAAAAAAAAAAAATTAACCCCCCTCCCGTGAGCGAACAAAATTTTTTTGTTCGCTCACGGAGGGGGGGGGGGGAGTTAGCAACTTGAGAAGACTGACAGAGCCAGATAACTGAGAAAACTGCTTCAAAAAGTAGCAATCTTGATCAGGAGTGAAAATCTCTACTTATACAGTGGTGGCTAGTCGAATTAAAAATAACTAAAATAAGACTTTTGTGACTGATAATCCTTTAGTGACTTTGACAACAGAAGAATAGCTTGAGGAAGCGGCAGCTGCCACCTTAAATGGTGCTTTTAAGCTGGTAAAATCAATTCCTACAAGGCAAATTAAAGAATTGACTGCTTTTTAGAAACTTTATAAGATGAGCAAACTTATCTTAAAAAATAAAAGGTTAAAGGCAAGATAGGTAGAGTCCTGTGACTGAAAATGCAGGGGTGATTACTAATTGAGAAGCAGGAGAGATTGGAAGACTGTTGCATTATAGAAGAAAAAACATTAATTAAATTCAAGAGAATTAAATTAAAGCCTTATCAAAGAGGCCTTTAATTAATTGATCCTTGAATTAAGCTGATACTAATGCTAGCCCCACTTCTTGCTATTGCGTTAAGCCATACTAAAAAATTCGATCTCTTTTATCTATTTTCTCGCACTTTAAATTTTAAATATTTTTATCTTTTTAGTGAGGATTTTTCTCAATATTAAATTTGTGTTTTGTAAATCCATTTCCAGCAGTGTTTTTAATTTTTTTAAACATTCTCTTGTTTATAATATTTTTCTCTGATTTTTTGTATATAATCGTTCAATGAGTATATTGCAAAATTAAAAATTATTTCAAAATTTTTAAAATCAAATGCATTTGCACTTATTATTGGGTATAATAGCTTCACATAAAAATGTAAAACATCTTTGAAGTTTTGCTTGGAATTTAGGATTTTCTAAATTTTATAATATTTTTGATGCTTTGAAATCGTTTGCTAATACCAAAGCAGCACGGCATGAAAATCATTTTATTGATATAATCTTGCAAATTTCTTATAAATATCTAAAAGAGTGATTAAAAATTGGGACTCTTGATAGCATCATTACCATCATCATTTATTAGGTCTAATACAGCCCATGTGGGTTTTTCCCAATTAGTCAACTTAAAATAGTTCTATTTCATCTTAAGTCCTCCACTATTTGCTGCTACTTCTTTTACATCAGCCAATGTTTTTAGCAAAGCTTCTCTCCACGCTTATTCCTAAGTATTTCTCAATGAAATAGCTTTATTACTGCATCTACACATCACTCTTGCTTCTCTCCAAGCTTTTATTGGATTTTTCTCATCCATCTATGCCTTTCTCCAAGTTAGCACCTGTATTTTCTGCTCTTTTTCATTTCCGCCTTTATCTTCTTTTTCATCTTCAACTTCAGCTCCTCCCTTCTTTTTCATCCTCTCTTTTTGCTGCTCCCTTAGGATCATCTCAATCATCTAAAGTCCTTGATAAACTAAGGAGTCCACCGTGATCCTTCTCTTTTCCCAGGTGCTCAATTTTCTCTTCCTTCTTCATCTTCACCCCTTTCTTTCTAGATGCTTTAATTAATCCGGAAGTTTAACCTCAGGCTCTTCAAGGGTCACTTCTTCTAATTCAGTCATTAATTCTGGAAAATCTTTGTGATTCTAGTATTTTGTTTCTTCCCTTATACTCATTTTTATCTTGCATGCTCTATCCATCACCTGGATTACTCTTTTTCAATACAGTAGATATACCTTATGCAAGCTATTTCCTTGTGTAGCCTATTAGACCTTCTTGCCATACCCACTCTCGCCTTCATCTTCATCGCTCCTTTAAGTCTCAGCTCATTTTTACTCCGGCTCATCCAATAGCAAATTTTTTTTACTATCTTAGGCAAAATACCTCAAATTTCCTTCCCGTCTACTTAATCATTGACCAAATTCCAAAACAGATTTGATGAGTCAGGCCTTCTTGGCATTTTTAGACTCGATTAATAAAAAATTAAATGCTTCATAGCAAAATCGATTGCTAAACCTTATTTTAACTAGTCTAAGCTTATAAAATTGCTATCATCAGTCTAAAAATTAAATTAATGTCTGAAGCCGAAACACTTTATTTTCTAGATATAATTCATAAATTTGCTAGAAAATAAACAATATTTTTAAAGTTTTTATATTATTAGTCTTTTTGCATAAGAAATTTATAAGGGTTTCTGAGATTAATCTTCTTTGGGTAAAAGAAAAATCAACACAAATTAAATTTTTATATAAAAAAGGGGAAATATGAAAAAATCAGAGAAGACTCGAGCGCATGCAATATATATAGATTTAAAAATTCTCTCGACAATCAGTCCATATAATAGAATAATTTTGATACAATACTTACAATTTAAAGCACCAAGACTAATTTTTCTAAATACAATAGTAAAAGATGACAGGAATATTAGACCAATTAGCTGCAAGACTGAACACCAAAAATCAAGATCTTAAATTAGAACATTGAAGCAGAAGAATAAATAGGAATTTGACCCACTACTCTCTCGGTTTACAATACAAAGTCTGAACTTCTTTGAAAAATTAAATCCATAGCTTGTATTCATAAGGAAATCCTCTTTTCATTATACAAGGCAAAAAAACTTACTCCCTACCTGAGCGAAATAAAAAATTTTATGAAAAAAAAAAATTATATAAATGATAATTATGATAATAAAAATCTCTAGCTGATTATGGTTTATTTTAAGCAGCTTGCATTTTAAAACACAAATTTTGCAGATTAAATTAATTTAAAAAAAAAGCTCAGTGAGCGAACAAAATTTTTTTTGTGTTTGCTTACAAATGGGAGTTAACTGATCTAGAAAATAGTTGTTATCATCTTCTAAAGAGAATTATTGAAGATATTCACAATATTTCTATTATAAGCAAATTAAATGCATTGGAATATGGAGATTTAATACCTTGTGAGCTTTTTAAGTTTTTTTAAAAGCTTCATTGCTATATAAGAATTAAAATCAGATAGCTTTATCAGAAAATATTGTAAATTAATTCTGTTTTTCTTTAAATCCCCTTCACAACAAAGAAATCTATTAGAGAAGACTATATGATTTTTTTATAAAGAATTATTAAAAAAAATCCCTTTGGCTACAAATTGAAAAATTTTGCTCCTAAATCAAGGGGAGTAAGGAAAAGAATAAAAGAAAGGGCTTCGTTTTGAAAAATTGTTAAAAAGCATAATGAACTTTCCTATATTAAAATTCAAGAAAAGCTTTTTTGTTAACCCCAGAAGGAAACATAAATACTGTCTATCTGGTATACAAAGCATTTTTACTATATGGCTGCTTCATCTCCACTTAAATTAGAAATAGAGGCAGATAAGTATGAGATAAGCACAAGATAAAATGCATAAGCATAAAATAACAGAAAATGAGGCATAATTAAATAGAAAAACCTAAAAACTAAGAATTTATAGGATCTGAAAAAGATTGGCAAGCTTAGGCTTTCTAGCCAGTCAAGTTCCAGGTTATAAAAAATATAGATGAATTAGCCATAAGATTTGCTCTTTTTAATAGATAATGCTTAATTTTTAATATGTTTAAGCTGAAAAATTAATTGTAAAGGCAAAGTTAAAGATAAAGCTTAGTTAAGTAAGGTTAAGATAAAAGCCAAAAGTGCACTTGCGCCCATCATAACTGCACTGCTGTCACTGCTTGAGGATCCAGAAGTCTTAAATGTAATGCTTTGCAAAGGAGTAGTTGAGGTATATTCAATGCAAGAAGGTGTTACTGGGTAACTATTGCAAGCAGTGAAGTAGCAAGCATAAGAAGTCCCTGCGGACAAACCTGAAACTGTAAGAGTTTCACTGGTGGTTGCAACACTGGCTACATTTGCTGAAGGAACTTTCTCAGTAGTTGCATCTAATCCATTAGTAACTTGCCATGCATAAGTAATGCGGCCTGTAAGGTCGTTATCTGTGCAAGAAACATATATGGTTCCAGCCTGTGATGAAGCTGCAGTGAAGGTTGCAGAGGTATCAGTGTTTGCAGTCTTTGCAGGAGCAGTGGACCATGATGGAGCTGTTCCAGTTGTGACAGCTGTGGATGTTCCAAGGGCTGTTGAGGTTAATGCTAATGCGCTAGAGAAGTCTGAAGTTGCTTGGGCCTGATTAGTATTGAGATTAGAAATCATGCCTGAAGAAGTATAGGCTGGATATCTGCTATCAGAAAGCACATTATAAACAAATGTTGTTGTAGTGGTAGAGCCAGAAGAGCTTTGTAGCATTCTTCTTGATGAACTTACATAAGTAAGCCATGAAGGGTTGACACCCATATTTTTAGCTAACACTTTAGCAATACCGCTGCTTGAAGTTGAAGGAACAGATCCAGAGAAAGTGACAGAGGTGCTATAGTATTGTGCTGCTGCATCTGTAGTAAAGTTATAAGTATTTAGAGGATAAGCAGCTGTGTTGTTGGTCAATCTTGTAGCAATATAAGCTGAAAAAGTATAGCTTGTTCCTGCCATCAGCCAATTCAAATCAATAGTAGCTCCAGCTGTAGTGATAACCTGTGAAGAAGCCCAGTAGTCACTGCAATGCTCTGAATGAATTCTTTTGAAAAATGCATTAATATCAGTATCTTTAGTTGTATCGATATCAGTTTCTGTACTTAGGTATTGTTCGGACAATTGCTCCTGAAGGCTTTGAATACTCTTAGATGGTGTCACAAGATCAGAAACCAGGGATGACAGGCCAGCAAAATTAAGAACATGAGAGCCTTGGCATCCAAGTCCCCAATACAAAACTCCTGCAATTGTTGATGTGACTGCAACTTTAACTTCAGAAGCACTTACCTTAGTGATCGATAGTCCAGGAGTGGCTGCCACAATGGAAGGATAGCTTGTTGAAACAGTTACTGTCTGCTTGTTAGGTGCTGCAAAAGCAGCAGCGTCAGTTCCTCCCAAAGTAAAGCTAACAGTTGGTGATGTGGTTGAGGCTGTATAGGTAGAGCCAACATTAACTTGGAAGTAAAGAGTATTGACACCATAGTCAAAAGTAAGAGAATTCGGGGTGACTGTAAATCCTGCGACTGAGAATGTAGGGGTTACTGTTAACTGGGAAGCAGGGGCATTTGCAAGATATACTTTGATTGGAATGCTGGTTCAGTATTGGTAGAGGGTTGGTAAAGTGTCGACAGTGACAGTTGCAGTAGACAAGGAGCTGCAGACTTCAATCATTGTACTCAATGGAGCGACATATAAAGAATTAGTAACTCCATCTTGAAGTTTTTCAGTAGGTGTTCCCCAGTCGATGTAATAAATTCCAGTTGCTGCACTGCTTGTAGCGGCTACTCTGAAATTGAACTGAGAATTCATCTGGAAAATAGTGTAGGCATGGAAAGTTGATGAATATTTGAGGGTTGAGCTATCAGGGTAATTTGCATTTGAAATTGGGCTCACTTTATACGATTTTGACTTCATAGGCCAGCTATTGCTATCAAGAATCGACACATAGTATGATCAGTGCTTTGTGTACCAGGCAATAATGAAATTTTTGAAGAGGAAGCAGTGGCTAGGCGATCGAATACCCAGAGCCATGAGCCTACAAGTGTACTCCAATAAAGGCTGAGTTAAGGTTAGGCCAGCTTTCTGCGTAAATCTGAGTTTTACTGTTTTGGTTGATTGCAATAGAAAACTTATTACTGTATTGGTCAAATTTAGACGAGCTAAAAGTGGAATAATCAGATATATCCCACCCAGCGGTTCTTGATATGCCTGATTCAGGGTTATAGAAACCTGTCAGTTGGAGTTGAATTCTGGAGGTTGTTGCAGTAGCTGTGGTCAATGAGCTTGGGAAGGCAAGGGTGACGTTGCTTCCTGAGACTGAACATGAGGTTGCAGAGCTTAAAGTATTGCTTGTTGTGGTGCTGGTAGATGAGGATGATTCGTCATAGTAGACAGACTTGCAAGGAACTGTGCTTCCGTTTCTTAATTTATTGTTGAATTGCGATGGGAAATAGATTGAGATGATGTGGTCTGTAGTAAAGGTGGTGGATGAGGAAAGGTAGAAATCAAATGTATACGTAGCTGATTTCGACAGAGTTGTAGTATCCACTGTGGCATCTTTAAGAGAAACAATCGTTGATGGAAGACTTGCAATAGTCAGTGAACCTGTTTTCTGTATATAAGCCTTAACAGATCCATCTGAGCCATATTGGTATAAGTTGAATTTTCCAGAAACTGATGCTGGGTTTTGGATTCCATCCACAGTAATATCAATATTTGTAGTAGTCGCAGATGTTCCCTTAGTAATTCCAGTGACAGTAAGTTTCCAATGGTCAACGCTGCAATAAGTTCCGCTAGAAATTCCTAAAGCAGTTGAGCTGCAAGTAGTATAGTAGTTATTAGGTGAGCAGTCAGGGAATACAGCACTAGCAAGTCCAAGAAGAGGGCTAAAGTCTTTAGGGAACTCAATCACAAAGGAATCAGTCGTAGCCACCAAAACAGCTGATGTGAAAGTAAAGGTATAAGAAGTCGTCTCATCTGCAGTTTGTGAGTTAACAGCGGCAACTGAGCTTAAAGTGATAGCGTTGCTTACAGCAGTTCCTATTACCTGTTGGAATGTTGCAGGGGATGCAGAAGTAGAATCAGCTGTGATTGAGACTTCACCCCACGAGGATTTAATTGTCCAGCCTGTGGATGTAGAATTGGAGGTAGGAAGAGTTAAAGCCATATCCAGGTAAACCTTCATTGCCGTATTTGCAGCAAGAGCATTGCTTAATTGTATACTAATCGAAGTGCCTGAAGCTTGGCAAGAATAATAGTCTTGGTCAGTCCAGCAAGAACTTGAGATATCTCCAGAGGAGTAGGATAATGAGCTGACAAATCCTGCAGTAATAGTTATGATGCCATACTGAGGGACAGCCTTTGATAACGAAAAGGTAAGATATATATCAGCCACAGCCCCAGCTACATTTGGATAGGCTTTAGATGTAAAAGAATTGGTATTTGTGGTACCTGCTTGAGATGATGTGGTAGCTGTAAGAGTGTTCTGTAAACTACTAGTTACAGAGTCTATAAGATAGCCATTTGAATCATAAGTATTTACAGCTGAAAAGCAAGTTAATGCCGTTGCAGAGGTGGAGGATGGGACTGCATGGTAAACTTTTACACTGACTGAACCTGCAGCAATTTGAGAAAATTTAGACAGTTTAATTTGTGTTGAAGTTACTTCGCATTTTTGAGCTACAGTTGAAGAGTAGTCAGTTAACCCAACTCCTTGACAAGTTGTAAGAGGGAATGATGAACTTGAGGTGAAAACACTGAATGAGCTTGATATAGTAAAAACAATACTACCATCAGCAGGGATTGGATTTATAGCGGTAAATGAAAGCGTTAGAGTAGAATCAACTGAATCTGAACCTTGAGTGTATGACTTGTCCGTTGAGCATGAATCTGTTGTAATTTTAGCAGCATTTACCTGATTAGAAACTGAGTTAATAGCTACACATGCTGCTCCCATTGCGCCTGTTGCATACACAACAAAACTTCCGCCTGTATTAGCATCTGAACTCGCTCCAGTAGTCAATGGAGCATTTAAACTACTTAATTTCAAATCAAGAGCAGTGGTTCCAACTTCTCCTTTAGAAAAATGCTAAATTTTATATAAGAAATTGAAAATTCGAAAATATTTTAAAAAATAATTTAATACGCAATATGTCAAAAAATATTTTCGTAATGACTCAGGATTTGATATTTTTAAAATTCAGATTTTTTAAAAGAGTTCTGCTAGCCTAAAGAGGGGAGTAATTTTGACTGTGGCTGAGCCTGGAATGAATCCAACAACGAACCCGCCTTTAAAGGTGCTGCTTGACGAAGAAATACCATAAACTGGTGATAATGTTGTTGGTGTTGATCCTATAGTCAATGTATAGCTACTTGGCAAAGTAAAACCTGGAGACAAGCCAATTCCAACATAATTAGAGATTTGTGTGTTATCTGTTCCAAACTTGAGGTTTAGAGTGGTAGCCGAAGAAGTTGCTACAGTATAACCACTGGAAGGACTTGTAATTGTTGCTGAGGAGAATACATTTGTAGTAGTAGCAGCAAGAGAATCTGATACCGAATTTGTATATAAGACCATCTTATTTGAAGGGTCTGCTCCATCTAAAAGATATAGAAGTTTCCTATGTTTGGCGCTGCAAGGCCGATAAATTCTGATCGGAATTTATCGGTTGGTTGCACCAAATCAATGCCTTGGTCGGACCAAAAAGCGATTTGGTCCGACGAACTTGGAAAGCTCCTGGGAAAATGTCTGCGCTTTCAGCGCTATATAGAGGAAACCTCTATAATAAAAAGTCAGGGTTCCTTTGGAGCCTACATTGTTTCCACTCGGGAGGAGCATATTAACTGAAGTGCCCGCACTCACAGATCCAAGCCCAGAAATAGTGACTACATTCCCAGAAATGGTGGCGGTTGGAGAATACCCAGTGGTTGCTGAGGCTACAGGGAAAGCGCTTCCATTATCTAAGCCACTACCTAAATTAGTAGGGATTGAGGAACTAGTAAAAGCAATATCAAGATAATAGTGATATTTTGAGTCTGCAAAGTTGAATGTCAGAGCAAGTGCATGATAAGTTGCATAAATTGGGACTCCGACTGATTTGTCTGTGCATAACGGAGAATATGTTAAGCTGGAATCTGTTGTTGATCCAGGAACAACTGAATAAACGTAGTTGAAAAACTCAGAGGGTGCTGTAGTTCCTGAAGGGGGAGATGCCTTAACCCAAATCTCATAGAAGGTTGCAAGATTTGAAGTGACGAATGGGAGAGCAGTAACCATAGTATCCGCGTTTGTTGGATCTCCATATGCAAATACATAAGTATAGGTTGATGCTGGAACAGAGCCTGAGGCAATTGTAATGCTAATTGATCCTGGGGTTCCAGCTTTTAGCACACTGGCAGAGGATGTGGACGAGGAAATTGCAATATTGCTTGTAGATCCACTGGCTGTAGCAACATCAAAAAACTGTGCAGTTTTCTTGATGTAAAGTTGGTTAAGTTGCACTCCTCCTGAGTCTGCAAAAGACAAGTTTACAACTAAATTATAATTGGCAACCCAGGTTTTAGTTGGCGTTGCAGACCCAACCAAGAATTGAGTAGTAGCTAGATTACCTCCTATTTGTAAGCCTGCTTTCCAGTTTGCTGCTGTTGTTGTATCTTTATATTTGACTGATCCAGGCGCACTAGAACTCGCAGAAGCAGTTCCACCAACTGCATAAAACTGGAAATCATTCATTGTCGTTAAAGATGTGGTGGCATCTGAGCTGCTAAATATCCAAGAGTACGCTGTAGTCAACTGATCAATAAGATTGGTAGAAGTAGTTGCGTCATTGCTTGTTATTGAAGAAATTTTAGCACCTGAGCTTAGTTTTGCTAAAAGAGTAATAGAAATTGCTGTATTAGCCTTGAGACCAGAACTTTTTTCAAAAAAAGTTATTTTTGCAACTTGATTCGTACTATCCACAGAGCAAGTCACACCATTTGCATAGGTATTCAAAAAGCATAAGGCTTTATTATTTGACCCTGAATTATCATAAGCGTCTTGCCACCATTTGCCGCCAATAATATCTACGTTGCTGTTAAAGGTAATAGTAATTGATCCAGTTGTAATTGGATGAGCTGTTTGCAAAGTGAGCGTAGTAAAGATATAAAATAAGTTAGTAGTATTTGGGATATCTGCTGATTGCAATTTAGAATTATATGGAGCCCATGAGCTTACTGTTATAGTTCCAGCGGCTGGTGTCAATGGCCCAGTTCCAGCATATTGAGCAAGCAAATTTGTGGTTCCCCATCTCCAGATTTTTAGATTCCAACTGAAGCTAGATGATGAAACAGCTGAAGAAGGCAAAGTAAAGCTGGAAACTTGAAGCTTGACCTGATAACTTGATGTTATAAGCACGTCTTGAGAAAGCCCATATATATAAATACTGTTTGTAGCAGGAGTTGCGGTTGATTTAGCAGTTTTATATCCTCCGTTAACCGCTCCAGTAGCTGCAATAGCACAAGGTAGGCTATTGTCTCCTTTAGGACCTTTGATATTGTTAGTAGTGCCTGAAATATCAACAGAAGCACAGGTTGGGCTTGAAGGAATTGTTCAGCGGCTGTCAGGGATTATTTCAAAAATGTCGTGTTTCCAAAGATTAGTGCCAGCAGGAATTGTAAAAGTGAAGTAAAGTCCATCAGAGGAGCCAACATAAGCTGTATTAGAGGTCAAAGTGACTGCATTTACTGTCAAAGAATTCGCAGAAGCTGAAGACACTGAGGCTGAAACTGCGACACAACCGAAAACGTAGTTTGCGTCATAGATTTGCCCAGACGTTGAAGTTTTAGTCACAATTTGGAAAGGCCCGTAGACTGCGGCAGAAGGTAAAGATGTTGTCAAAGTAAAAGAATACGAAGTATCAGTATTTGCCTTTATTGCCATAGAGCCAGAAGTATAAGTTGTTGTGCTTGAAAAAGCTGATGGTACAGTCACAATAACAATCCCCATATTTCCAGTTGTTGGTAAAGATGTTTGAGGTCTAAAATTGACAGTGACAGTAACACCACTGGAAGTCCCAGAGTTGGTTTGAGAGAGCTCAATCGGATTAGGAGCCCAACTGTCTTTCCACCATCTGATTTTTCCTGGATCCAAGCTTCCATCTTTAGCAGTTCTTGTAGGATCTCCAATAGCTAGTCATATAAGGGCTAGAAAGCTTATAAGACTTTTCATTTTGAGCTTAGAAATTCAAATTTGCTTAAATGCGCTACATAATCAAAATATGGCGACATCCAAAAATTATGTTCTCCAAATGTGGCTGATTTTTTATTATGAGGTTGGACTTTACCCAGAGAAATAATCTAGGCAATAATAGCGTAATATATCCAATGGTGTGAAACCTTGAACACCTATTACTTAAGGAATTTAAATTTTCCAGAAATTTGCAATTAGCCTATGTGACACCCGTCGGACGTAAGTTAAATTTGTCCTAGGCTGGAAGGACAATCATTGATATCCAGGCATCCGAAGAAGAGGCACCACCATTCAGATCAAGGCATGGTGATGAAGCACATGCAGTCGGCCGAAACCCTGAAGCAAGAGCGGAAACCGTCCAAACGGCGTGGTATTGTGCGTTAAATGAAGACGTAATGTAATTAATTGAGTTAAGTTAAACTTAATGCGTAACAAAAATGAAATGGGGAAAAAATTTTAACGATTTTTTTTTATGCGCGTATGGGACCTTTTAAAGCTTTCAGTATATATATGGACTTTTTCTGAACAAGTCTATAATTATAAAGATGCCGGAGGCAAAACTTAAGCTCCCACCCCTGGGAAGAGGATGGAAGGTATGGGAATATATTAGGAATAAGCCCCTAAGAAAAAAGTGAAGAAAAACAGATTTAAGGAAGAATTTTGAGTGTTTTAGGTTCAGATTTTGACGAAAATTTTTTGAAATTTTGATTTAAGAAGGATCTAAGGTCAGAGAAGAGAGCATTGAGAAGGTATTGAGTTAAGGAGTTTACATTTTGAGTTTGACCTGAAATTGACCATAAAGCATCGACTTAGAGAGACCGGATTTTTGGCATGGAATCATGAGGACTCGTCTTTTATGTAAAAATTAAAAATTAAAGAAGGAAATTGAAGAAGACAAGCCTCCTTAAGCTAGGAATGATAGGAAAAATCATAATCCTAGCAAAAGTCGAGAGGAGAAGAATTAGAATTTTAAGTCTTAGCCTAACTACTAAATATGGAGAAAAAATACCAGCCTTTTTAGAAAAATCTCTTTAGAACTCAAGAAGAAGCCTAATTAGCAAAGATAAATTAAAGGAAAAATAAATAAAGCTTTAGAAATAGGAAAATATAGTGTCGTAAGCTATTTTTAGTCAGATATTCAATATTATAAAATTTGAATAAAATCTCTGCAATCGAGGTCTTTAACGAAGCTTTTCATGCGACTGATGGCCAGCTTCTTTGGGTATTTTTTGCACAAAACCTCTAATTTATGGTATTGCGATTGCTTTAATTTTTATCTTTTTATTTAGAGAGCATAATTTCAACTTTTGTTTTTAAAAGCACTAAAATCTTTTGTCCTCTCCTTCATTTATATCTCCCGAAATATTCGTCCGTTTTAGGGATTTAGGCCCGGAGATGCTACCTGAGTATAATAGTAATTGCATAAATTCATTTTCCTTTGAAATTTTATCATCAGAAGCCTTTTTTATTTTATCGCTTTAATGCCATTTTCCTTCTATAATTTTTGGATAATTGTACATAATTAAAAATTTGTAATTTAAAGATTTTTTGGCCTTTACCATCGAAATTTATGCTTATCGTCACAAATTAATCAAATTTTAATTTATAGCTTCTGTAAAAAGATTTAAAAAATATTTGAATTTTTTTTAAAAATACAATTTAGATTCAAAGCACTAAGAAGAGCAATTTTTTTATTTGGGCCTTTAATAACTTTCTTATTTGCATATTTAAATTTAGATAAAAATTTTATAAGCTCAAAAGCAAAATAAATGATTAGCCCAAAAATAATTATTACAATCTTTAAGGTTGGATTTGAATAAAGAATTTGAATTTAAGGTCTTCCACTAAAAAAGAATAGCAAATTAAATATTTTAAGACAAATTTATATGAAATGGCTCACTCCCTTTAAATCTGAATAAAAATCGGTAAAATTAACTTTTAAATTTGAATATTTTATAGGTAAAAAAAATAATAAATTTTACATAATAGCTTGAAATACTTTCTTACGGGAGCACAAATTTAAAGTGGTAATCCAACAGTTAATCTAGAATCAATAATTTCATAAATGAATTCTTCATAAAAGACAAATTTCAATTTAAGTTTAATTTTTAATATACTTTTATTATGAAAAATTTTATATTAAATTTAAAAAAATAACAATTTTTAGATTTTTTTGTTCCAATTATCAGGAAATTTAAAAAGTTTGATTAGAATTTTCATCCATATTATTGGCAATCCAATAAAAATTTTTTGGGTTTTACTCAAAACTAAAGGAGATCAACTAGACCTTAATATGGTCTTATACATAAAAATAATTGTAAAAATACTGAATTCTTAAAATTCATAAACAAATCCTATTTTTTTAAAAAATTGTTTTCAGACTCTTAATATGCCAGAATAAATAATAAATTTATTAGGCTAATAAAAAATCAAATAAATCTATCAAATTGCTTCTAATAAATAACTTTTCATTTTCATTACAGATATTCAGTAATTGTAGATATGCCTAGTTATAATGAATAAAAGCATTCCTATTGGCCCATTTTATATTTTAAATAGATAATAGCTAATCATTATAAATGTTGTATTCATTGTAATTAGACAAATTATTAAGATAGTGAAGAATAGCAGTATAGATGAAGCAGGTACAGCAAATGCAGAGCACTCCAGTGACGAAATTTGCGAAAACCAAGAAGCTTATGACACGCAAGCAGCATCTTCTGGTCTAGATTCTCAACAAATTGAGAATAATCACAGTCAAGTAAGCCAAGGAGTAGAAGAGGGAAAAAGATTATTAGCTTTCAAAAACACTGCAGTTGGCTGTGTTATGTACTTTTTACGAAATCACAGTCCAGCACCTATCGAAAAAATAGTTGAATTCGTGAAGTCTAACTTCCCCTCCTTTAAATTGGAACAAAATATCAGTAAATTTTCGATTTTTGGTTACTTTGAACCCTCCTAAACTAAAAATTTTTTTAGGTAAATTAGTTTGACCTAATTTAATGGAAAAAGTGAAAGCTAATATTATTTAAACCATTTTATGAATTAATTCTTTTAAAAATAAACAAAATTCCAAATACATTACATTTATTTAAATTCTTTTTTTAAAGAAAAATTTAATATTTATTTTTTTTTAAAAAAACATTTTAAGCTGGAGCAGGTTTTTTTTTTTCCAATTTAAAGTGGGAGTAAGGAAGACTCCCTCGTGACTTCAGTAAAAGGAAAATACAAGAAAAGTGCCTTTGGGATAGTGGATTATGCTTTGACTTGGTATCCAAAGCTTTTCTTATTAAATGATCGGTTTCACTATTACTTAAATGTAATTGAGAGTTAGGAAAAGGAGGCAGAAAAATACGAATTAAAGTATAAATCAATGAAGGCTGTAAATTCTAGCAAAGGTAAATTGAAATATAAGAAAAAAAATGAAATGAGGAGGGAAAAAATCGATAAGATGAAGAGGATAAAAACAGTGATTGAAGACGACTTAAGAAGTGGGACGACCGAACCTTCTTTACTAGCTCCCTCCTGAGTTATGAAAAAAATTTTTCACTCAAGGAGTATATTTGCTTTAAATTATTTATATATAATTTTTATTTTTGAAATTTCAAAATGAGAGCTATTTATAATTCTGCAAAAATGCTTGAAATTACATTATATATTAAAATAATTTTTTTGTTCGCTCATAGGGATTTTCCAATGGTTTTGCTTCATGGAGGGGGATTAACCAAAACCTATCAGGTATTGACTTCAGGGGATAAGCAAGCAGCTGAAGATCTTAAATCGGTCATAAGATCTGCTTATCTTTCATTCAAGGGCATATCTCCTTGCTCTACCCTCTGTGAACGAGCAAACAATTTTACTCACTAATTAAGAGCATTTAATTTCTTTTAAAAAATCCTATATGGAATTTAAAAATTAATTTAATTGCAGTTTGTTTGAAATTCAACAGAATCAGCTAGAGATTTCATTATATTAATTATCATTTATATATAATGCCACTGAAATATACTATAAACATTCCTACTGGATAATATTGAAGAATGGCAAACAGGAATGCTTAAATAGGCATAAAAAATTCTATATATTAAAAAATTTTTTGCGTTGGCTGGTTCATGGAGGAGCTAGAATAAAGCTTTAATTTAGTGTTTTACGTCTTAAAAGTGCTTTATTTTTTCGACAAGTAGTAAAGTTTATAACATTTGTGGGTAATTTTTCTTCTAATAATCTTTCTTGAACACCTCTAGAGTTCAATTCGCTATAAATCTGCAGGGATTTAAGTCTTAATCTTTTAAGAGTTTATGCTCACTCCCCCCCCCCCCCCTCCGTGAGCGAACAAAAAATTTTGTTCGCTCACGGAGGGGGGTTTATTTTTTTTTTTAAAAAAAATTTATATATAAATTTTATAAAAAATATTTTTTTCGAAATTTAAAAAAATCCTAATTTGCAAAAATTGGGAAGCAAATATTAATTTAATTTGCAAAATTTATGTTTTAAAACGCAGTTTGTTTAAAATTAAACAGAATTAGCTCTAGATTTCATTATACTAATTATCACTTATATATCAAAATTTTTTTTCCATTAAAATTTTTTCTATTAAAAAAATTTTTGTTCACTCACGGAGGGTGGGTTTTTGGTCAAAAAATGGCGATTTTTCTAATGGTTTTGTTCGCTCACGGAGGGGGGGGGGGGGAGTCAGCAAAAAGTTTCCCTATCGTTTCGATATTTATAGTATTTTATTAGTTTTAGCACATACTTTTGATTAGCATGATGGGCTCTTCCTATATTTCAAGGCTTAAATTTAGGTTTTCTTTTTTTTCATCTTAAAAATCTTCATCTGCATCCAAAACAGTGTAAGTTTCAGATGCAAAGATAAACCCTAAGCTCGGATTTTTGGGATCAATCATGAGTACTAATTTCTAATGAAAAAACGTTTAAGGCTGATTGAGGATGAGGAGATAAGCCTTATCAAGGGCTAGAATGATCAGGAATTTATAATCTTATCGTGGCGAATAAATTCAATATTTAGGTTGTCAGCACACGTAAAATTGGAGAAAAATGGAATAAAATGCCCTTTCAGTATAATCGAATTTAAAGTTTTCTATATCTCAAGAAGAAGCCTCTTACTCCCCCCCCCCCCCTCCGTGAGCGAACAAAACCATTAGAAAAATCGCCATTTTTTGACCAAAAACCCACCCTCCGTGAGTGAACAAAAATTTTTTTTAATAGAAAAAAATTTTAATGGAAAAAAATTTTGATATATAAGTGATAATTTAGTATAATGAAATCTAGAGCTAATTCTGTTTAATTTTAAACAAATTGCGTTTTAAAACATAAATTTTGCAAATTAAATTAATATTTGCTTCCCAATTTTTGCAAATTAGGATTTTTTTAAATTTCGAAAAAAATATTTTTTATAAAATTTATATATAAATTTTTTTTAAAAAAAAAAATTAACCCCCCTCCGTGAGCGAACAAAATTTTTTTGTTCGCTCACGGAGGGGGGGGGGGGAGTTAGCAAAGATAAAATTAAGATAAATTAAAAAATAGTTTAAAAATTGAAAAATGCAGTATCTTCTCATTTTTATTGCCAAAAACATCAAACATGGAATACTTCAAAACTCTGAATAAAATCTTGTCTTTTTATTGGATTTAAATTTGGCTAGATAAAGAGGATAATTAATTGATTAGTCTGATATAGTTACTCCAGTAAAAATATACGAGTGCAAGCAGGTGACTATTTAAACAGTTGCACGTTGAATAAATTATTTTTTTGAATTAGCTTTCCATAAAAATACATTAAAATCCAATATTATCTATTGCCTAAATTTCTGATCATGCATATGCATGTCATTTTGAATTTGGTATGTAAAAATCGAATATGCGTTTCAAAACGCAGATTTTAGTGCGGCAAATTCTTAATTTGAAATTTCATATGAAAATGGCGCGTAAACGCCCATAAGAAATTTTGCCAACAGATTATATAATTGCATTTAATTTATATGAAATCTTATACGTCAGGAAACATGTGTTTTACGACTATATAATTTTGTATATATTTTAAAAATTTTATATTAAAAAAATAAGCACCCTTCAAATTAGACAACTTTTTTCAGTTTATAGGGGGTGAGCTAGTAAAGGATTTGAAGTCGATTTGCAAAAAAAAATTTAAAGCAAAAACTTTCAATTTCATTTTGAAAGAATTCCTACTTGCTTTATTAAAAAGTAGATCTATAATATTGGTAAATCTGCAGCATTAAATCAATTGTCAAATTTTGAGGAGGATTCAGCTAATAGTGGACTATATTTATATCAAAATGGAACGCCAAAAAGCTGGAAATTTTGATCCATTTTTGAAATTTATTTAAAGCATAATTCCAAACTCGCATTCTAGCTACAGGCTAAAATATAAAAATAGATTAAATTGGCAAGTTGAAATCGAATAAAAAACTAACTTTGCAGCTGATGGTTAAATATTTGTTTATTTTCATTAAAACTTGGCCTGATAGGTTTTCGCCTGAAGATAATGCTTATCCAGTTTTTAACTCATTATATGCAAGACAAATTTTTAAAACTTTATGGACTATACCTCGAGGAGGAATCAAAATAGCAACTGAAATGCTTTGATTATGGTGGCATCTTTACCTTTTTCTTAACTTTATATATTGCAAATGTCTTACCTTTTGGGATATAGGCTAGAGGATGCTATCTCAATGTTTAAACATTGGCAAAAAGCATAAGAAATGTAAGAAAAAAGTTGAAAAAGAAGAAAATATTAAGAAGGTGAAGAGGATTATAGCACAGATTGAAAATGGCTTAAGAAGCGGGACATGCGGTCTTCATTACTAACCAAAACATACCAGATTTTGATTTTAAGAGAAAAGCGAGCAGCTGAGGATTTTAAATTTGAAAATATCCAATCCTCCTCATTTTTTATTTTTGTCTTTTCATCAGAAGTGTATATTGAATATAATTCAATTCATCTCATCTTCTTTTTAGGGAAAGTTTTCCTATAATAGATCTTCTCATATAAAAACTAAAAAATGGAAAAATTTCTCTTAAATGCATAAACAAAAAGCGAAATTTTTGCTTTAAACCTTTAATTGTAGTTTATTTATGCAGATTTGAATTTTTTAGCTAAATAAAACGTTTATAAACTTTATAGATATTTTTTAATAAGCTATTGAAGAGTTTCAATGATAGCTAAATGTGGTTCAAGATTAATTTTAGGAATATAAAAAGGCTACTAATTCAATTTACTCTGTGGCTAATGACGCTATTATTGTATATTTTGAATCAAAATTTCTTCAGATCTGAAAATATGAGATATATTGTACAAAAAAAGCTTTTAAAATAATTAAATTCATAATAAATAGAATATTTTTGTGCTTAAGCCTTCAATTCTAAATGAATTAATCAAAAAATTAATATAATTGACGTTAAATCTCTAACAAAATAATTAAAATATTAAATTTTATTTATTTATTATATTAAAGCTGATCAATAATTTAGCTTTATTTATGAGCTAATAAGTTGTCCCATAATAAAAATATTTACATTCGCTTTAGTTTATAAAAAGATGGACAAATTATAATTGGCTCAATGCCGAGGAGATACTTCTTTAATTTCAAGCTAACAATGCCTTCGGGCTAAAATTACCTCTCCTGGCGCAGTGGCTTTTTATATCTAATGCGCTGCATTTAAGTTTTATTTCGGCTTAAATTTCAGCAATTTCATAATTTGCAAAGAAATTAAGTAATTTTGATAATTTCGAAAATAAATAAGTCTCTCAATGTATTAAGATACTTTACCGAATTTTAAATATAATTTAATCACTGAGTATCAATATTCTAAATTTCGAGCATAGCATTCAATAAAAAGAATAATCATATGATTTGCATTTAGTCATTTTTCCTATAGAGCTCGAGCTTACTTGGCTATATTAAACATTTCTGAAGCAACTCTAGGATAAGATAGAAATCTTTTAGCTTGTTTTATGTATAAAAAAAATTAGTCCTGGATTCTTTGATTGTAAGTCTTGGCTAAGCCCAGAAATTGCATTTAAAAGCATTTACTAACCCTCTCAGTTATCGAACAAAACATTGGGAAAATCCCTATTATTAGGCAAACACTTGAGCGAATAAAATTTTTATGAAAAATATTTTGACATATAAGTGATAGTAAGTATTGTAAAATTTATGTTGAATTTAAATGACTTGAAATTAAGACATAAATTTTAGTAATTAAATTTATTTTTACTTTCGAATTTGGGTTTTTTAAAAAATTACTATAAAATTGTTAAAAACAAAAATTAACACCCGTGTGAGTGAGCAAAATTTTTTTGTGAGCTCATGGAGGGAAAGTAAGCAATTTTTTAAATCTATCAATATTTTATGCACTCTAGTCTTCTCTACTTTTTCATCTTTTCCTTATTTTTTATATATTTTTAAAAGCTGAAAATACAAAGTAGAAGACTCCAGGAATAATTTGACCAATTACCTCTTAAGACTAATAAAATAATTGCTGAGACAAAGAAGGTACATATTTCTATCGACACAAGCCCAATTACCTTTACTCAGTCAAATTATGTTTGAATATGGACATTACCCAGGAGCTAAAATTAAGCTTAGTAAGATTTTCAACTCAATGATGTTCAAATTCGTTAGTAATGCAATAATTAAATCTAGAATCTACCCTCTTCGGCCTTGTTAGTCCTCAAACGTGCAAGGATAGCACCAAAAGCCCAAAAGCATTCTCTTGTCAACGATATCTTCATCAGCTCATTGAAATTTTCAAACACAATTGCAGCCTTGGTCAGCGAAAAGACGAATTCTATATGATGGATGATGTGGACTCAAGAAAATGCAATTTGCTTTCTTCTCTACGAATCTTTCAATATTGATGCCAGAATCTCAATTGGGTCTATTTTAACTATATAGAAAATGACAAATATCAGTGCTCCAGTCTCAGTAAGGGATTTCTGAGGAAGTGGAGCCGAAATTTAGGCCCCTGAGCTTTTGTTTATAGGGATAGACTCCTTTAGTTTTGTTTGTAAAAATGTGCAAAAAGGATTCCTCGAAATATGAATAATATACCTTCTAAAGTTAATAAAAGAAAACTTGAAATTTCTGAAAAACAAGCATCAGTTTCACCAGCTTCTGGTCTTGCAGATGATTTTTATATTATTTTTTGTTGCTAAAGGCATAAGTCCAAATATGAATCAAAGAAAATTTTCTATAATGATAAATATATCTGAGCTATTTAAGTCTTATTAAAGATTGCAGCAGCATATTTTTTACCTGATTTATGAATATGAGCCCCTTTTAAATAGAGAAATAAGGAGCCTTTTGTGTTCTATGATCAAAATCTATACCAAAGCTAACTCCCCCTTCCGTGTGCGAACAAAAAAATATTGTTCGCTCACAGAGGGGGTTAATTTTTATTATATGTAAATTTTATAGAATTTAGTTTTTCAAAATTTAATAAAATTCCAATTTGCAAAAATTGAGAAGCAAAAAATAATTTAATTTATGAAAGTTATATTTTTTAAAACGCAAGCTGTTTAAAATTAATCAGAATTAGCTTGAGATTTCGTTATATAATTATCATTTATATATCAACTTTTTTTTTCATAAACAATTTTAGTTTGGTCAGTATTTTTTAGGCAAAAAAAGATATTTTTCTAATAATTTTATTCGCTCACAGAGGGGGGTAGTAAGCAGCTAAATTCAGATTTTATTTAGATGCTAAAATTAAAAAAAAATTAGTCACAGTACTGAAGCCTAAAATAACTCACTAACCTTGAATTAAAAAATATCAAATTTATTATTTATTTCAATTTTAGAAATCACAAACGAAAGAAAAGTTTATGGAAGACCCTGAACTCTATTTCAAAAATAAATTAGGAAGCCATTTAAAAAGCCTAACCTTGAGAAAACTGCTTCAATAAGTAAGAATCTTGATCAGGAGTAAAAATCTAGACTTACACAGTGACTACTTGAATTAAAAATAACCAAATTAAGACTTTTGTGACTGATAATCCTTTAGTGACTGTGACAACAGAAGGATAGCTTGAGGAAACGTAGCTAGCACCTTAAATGGTGCCTTTAAATTGGTAGCATCAATTCCTACAAGGCAAATGAAAGAGTTGGCTGGGTTTTAGAAACTTTATAAGATGAGCAAACTTATCTTAAAAAATAAAGGGTTAAAAGCAAGACAGGTAGAGTCCTGTGACTGAAAATGCAGGGTGATTATTAATTGAGAAGCAGAAGAGTTGGAGGGCTTTGCATTGATTGAAAGAATCTTGCATTATAGAAGAAAAAACATTAATTAACTTCAAGAAAATTAAATTAAAGCCTTAATCAAAGAGGCTTTAATTAAGCGATCCTTGAATTAAGCTGATCTTAATGCTAGCCCCATTTCTTGTTTATTGAGTTAAGGAATATCAAAAAACTCGATGCCTTTTATCTATTTTCTTGCGCTTTATATTTGTAAATATTTTTATCCTTTTAGGGAGGATATATTCTTAATATTAAATTTCTGTTTTGCTAAATCCATTTCAGTAGTGTTTTTAATTTTTTCAAACATTCTCTTGTTTTGCAACATTTTTCTCTGATTTTTTGTATATAATTGCTGAATAACTATAAATCAAATTGAAGGTTATTTATCTAGGCTTTATCAAATGCATTTGCAATTATTATTAAAATTTCTTTTTAGTATAATAGCTTCATATAAACTTCATTTTTAGCAAAACGTAAAGCATCTTGAAGTTTTGCTTGGAATTTAGGATTTTCTAAATTTTATAATATTTTTGGGGCTTTGAAATTGTTTGCTAATATCAAGGCATGAAAATCATTTTGTTGATATAACCTTGCAAATTTCTTATAAATAGCTAAAAGAGTAATTTAAAATTGGGCTGATTGATAGCATCATCACCATCATCATTTATTAACCCTTATAGATTTTCCCAATTAGTCAGCTTGAAATAGTTCTGCTTCATCTTGTTTCCTCCACTGTTTGCTACCACTTCTTCTACTTCAGCCAATGCATCTGGCAAATCTTCTCTCCACGCTTTATTCCTAAGTATTTCTCAATGAATTAGAATCATGCTATCTCTTCCTTCTTTCTTCCAAGCTCTTGATGGATTTTTCTCATTATCATCTAAGCCTTTCTCCACGTTAACCCCTATATTTTCAGTTCATTTTCAATTCCGCCTTTATCTTCTTTTAAATATTCATCTTTAGCTCCTCCCTTCTTTTCTCATCCTCTTTTTGCTGCTCCTTTTAGGATCATCTCATCATCTAGAGTCCTTGATAAACTAGCAAGCCTACCGTGATTCTCATTTTCCTTTCTCAGGTACTCAGTTTTCTCTTCCTTCTTCATATCTTTTCCCCTTTCTTTCTAGATGCCAATTTAGGCCGAAAGTTAACCTCAGGCTCTTATGGGGCTAATTCTTCTAATTCGGCCATTAATTCTGAAAAATCTTTGTGATTCTAGTATTTGTTTCTTCCCTTATACTCATTCTCATTTTGCCAGCTCTATCCATCGCTTGGATTACTCCTTCCCAATACAGTGGATCTATATCACGCAAGTTATTTCCTTGAGTAGCCTACCTAGACCATCTTTTCACTCACATTCTCGCCTTCATCTTCATCGCTCCTTTCAGTCTCAGCCCATTCTTCCTCCAACTGCCATAATTCCTCCTTCCAGAATTCCAGCTCATCCAATAGCAAAAATTTTTTACTATCTGATTCAAAGCATCTCAAATTTCCTTCCCATCTGCTTAAGCATTGGCCAAATTCCAAAGCAGCTTTGATGAGTCAGGCCTTCTTGGCATTTTTAGACTCGATTAATAAAAAATTAATTACTTGATAGCAAAATCGTTTGCTTAGCCTGATATTAATTAGTATAAGCTTTATATCAGAACAATTGCTATCTTCATTCTAAAAATTTAATTAATGTCTGAAGCCGTAACACTTTATTATTGATAATTAATAAGTTTGCTATAAAATAAACACAATATTTTAAAGTTTTTATATTATTAGTCTTTTAGCATAAGAAATTTATAAAAATTCATGAGATTAAAATTCTTTGAGTAAAAGAAAAATCAACCCAGTTTACATTTATATGTAAAAGAAGGGAAAATATGAAAAAAATCAGGGAAGACTAGAGCGCGTGTAATATATATATAGATTTAAAAATTCTCTTGATACAATTCTTGAGCTTGTCTACAATAAAGTCTATATAATGGAATAATTTTTGAGACAATACTTGCAATCTAAAACACCAAGGCTAATTTTTCTAAATGCAAAAGTAAAAGATGTAAGGAATAATTACACCAATTAGCTGCAAGACTGAACACCAAAAATCAAGATCTTAAAATTGAAAACATCGAAGGAGAAGAATAAATAGGAATTTGACGCCCATTGGGGTTTTCCATTAGTCAACTTGAATAGTTATCTGCTTCATCTTGCTTCCTCCGCTATTTGCTACCACTTCTTCTAATTCAACCAATTTATCTGGCAAGTCTTCTCTCCACATTTTATCCTAACTCCCCCCCCCCCTCCGTGAGCGAACAAAACCATTAGAAAAATCGCCATTTTTTGACCAAAAACCCACCCTCCGTGAGTGAACAAAAATTTTTTTTATAGAAAAAATTTTAATGGAAAAAATTTTGATATATAAGTGATAATTAGTATAATGAAATCTAGAGCTAATTCTGTTTAATTTTAAACAAATTGCGTTTTAAAACATAAATTTTGCAAATTAAATTAATATTTGCTTCCCAATTTTTGCAAATTAGGATTTTTTTAAATTTCGAAAAAAATATTTTTTATAAAATTTATATATAAATTTTTTTTTAAAAAAAAAAAATTAACCCCCCTCCGTGAGCGAACAAAATTTTTTTGTTCGCTCACGGAGGGGGGGGGGGAGTAAGTATTTCTCAATGAAATAACTTCATTGCTGCATCTGCACTTCAGATTTCTTACCATTATTGCTTCTTCTTTTTCTTCCAAGCTGCTAGCTTTTCTCATCTCCATTTATCTTCTTCATTTCGTCTTTATCTTCTTCATTTCATCTTCAGCTTTTCCCTTCTTTTTTAATCCTCTGCTCCTCTTAGGATCATCTTCATTATCTAAAGCCCTTGATTAACTGAGGAGCACGCAATGCTTTTTATTCTCATTCTCTAGGCATTCAGTTTCCTTTTCCTTCTCTATATTTTCTCAAACTTCTACTTCCCTTTCTTTTCTAGATGCATTAATTTAAGACGGAAATTTTTCATCAGCCTCTTCCAGAGCACTTCTTCTAATTCAATCATTAGTTCTGGCAAATCTTCTGGTATTCTCGTATTTGCTTATTCCCTTATGCTGATTCCCGTTTTTCCTGCTCTGTACATCACCTGGATCAGTCCTCCCAATACAGCAGATCTCCCTCGTGCAAGCTATTTTCTTTGGTAGCCTACCTAGATGCTCCTTGTCACTCCCATTCTTACCTTCATCTTCATCGCTCCTTTCAGTCTTAGCTTTTTCTTCCATAATTTCTCTTCCAGGATTCCAGCTCATCAATAGCAAAATTTTTTCATTATCTGAGTCAAAGCACTCCAAATTTCCTTCCTATCTGCTAAATTTTAGTTTAAATTCCAAAACAGCTTTGATGAGTCAGGATTGCTTGACATTTTTAGGCTCTATTAAATAAAAAGTAATAGCAAAATTGCTTTATTAACCTAATTTTAAGTTGTATAAGCTTTATATCAAAATAATTGCTATCCTAGCTCTAAAAATCAAATACTGTCTGAAGCCAAAACACTTTATTTTTTATAATTCGTAAATTTACATCAAAATAAACAATATTTTTAAGTTTTTATATTATTAGATATCTGAGCCTTTTTGCATAAGAGATTTATAAAAGTTTCTGGAAAATTTTAGATTTATTTATATATATAAAAGAAAATTAAATTTTTGTATAAAATAGGGAAATATGAAAAAATCAGAAGACTAGAGCGCATGCAATATTAATAAATTTAAAATTTCTAAAATTCAATTTTTGATATTATCTATTGCCTAAATTTCTGATCATGCATATGCATGTCATTTTGAATTTGGTATGTAAAAACCGAATATGCATTTCAAAACGCAGATTTTAGTGCGGCAAATTCTTAATTTGAAATTTCATATGAAAATGGCGCGTATAACATCCATAAGAAATTTTGCCAACGGATTATATTAGCTACAAGCCCATATAGTTGAATAATTTTTTACAATCTAAAAACACCAAGGCTAATTTTCTAAATGCAAAAGTAAAGGATGACACACAAATTAATTTGCAAAAACTGAACACCTAAAATCTAGATCTTAAAATTTTAAAAGCTGAAGGAAAAGAATAAATAGGAATCTGACGTCCATTACTCAGTTTACAATCTGAAAATCTGAATTTCAAAATTTTAAAAAATCGAATATGCATAGTTTGTATTTATTCGGTGAATCCTCTACCTATCATACAAGGTAAGAAAATCTTACTTCCCCTTATGTGAGTGAACAACAATTTTTTATGAAAAAAAATTGATATATAAGTAATAATTAATATAGTGATATCTCTAGCTAATTCTGGCTAATTTTAAACAGCAGGCATTTTAAAAAAATAAATTTTTCAAATTAAATTTTTTTTAATCTTGAAAAATGAATTTTATCATAAAATTTATATAAATTTTTTAAAATAAAAGTAACCCTGTCAGCCAACAAAATTTTTTTGTTAGATCACATAGGGGGAGTTAACTGATCTAGAAAATAGTTTTTATCATCTTCTGAAGAGAATTATTGAAGATACTCATAATAAATCTATTATAAGCAAATTAAAGGCATGAAGTATGGAGATTTAATGCCTTGTGAGCTTTTTAAGTTTTGAGAAGCTTCATTGCTATATAGAATTTAGGCCATCATGCTAAAAGAACTAAAATAAGATCACTTTATCAGAAAATATAGTAAATTAATGTTTTTATACTTTAAATCCCCTCCGCAGCAATTAAACACATTTGCTCACTCACAGATAATTATTTTCTTTTTAATTTTATATGCAATTTACCATCTTAAACTCTCTCAAAGAAATCTATTAAAGAAGTGAATTTAATGTATAAAATTATTAAATTTATCCCTTTGGATACAAATAGTTCTCTAATCGAGGGAGGAGTAAGGAAAAGAATAAAAGAGAGGTCTTTCTTTTAAAAACTTGCTGAAAAGCTTAATGAACTTTTCTATATTGAAATTCAAAAAAAACTCTTTTGCTAAATCCCAAAATGAAACATAAATACTGTCCATCTTGGTATAAAACCATTTCTACCATATGGCTGCTTCATCTCACTTAAATTAGAAAAGAAGCAGATTTGCATTAAAAAACAAGATAAAATGCATAAGCATAATTAAACAGAAAATGAGGCATAATTAAATAGAAAAATATAAAACCTAAAAATAAATTTAGAGGATCTAAAAAGATTGGCAAGAGAAGGCTTTCTAGCCAGTGGTTTCCCTAGCTACATTTGGATATGGTTTAGTAACAAAAGAATTGGTGTTTGTGGTACCTGCTGCAGTTGAAACTACTACAGTGACAGAGTTAGTTAAGCTAGATGCAGAATCTATAACATTGCCATTTTCATCATAAGTACTTAAAGCAGTATAGCAATATATTGAGCCTGCAGCTGTGGATGTTGGGATTACATAATACAGCTTTACACTGACTGAACTTTCAGCAATCTTAGAAAATTGAGTCAAACTGACTGTTGTTCCTGATACAGCACATGATTGCAAGAGAGCTTGTGATTGATCAGAGAACCCAACTCCTTGGCATGTGGTTACAAGAGGAGATGATGATTGCAATGTCCAGGAGCCTGAAGCTAGAGTAATAGTAATTTTTCCGCCTGCAGGAATAGGGTTTACAGTAGTAAATGTAAAGGTGAGGGTAGAATCGACTGAGTCTGAGCCTTGAGCGTAGAGTTTGTCTATTGTACAGGTATCAGAAGTAATCGTTGCAGGGTTGATACTAACTGTTATTGGGGATGATTGTGATGCGCATGTGCATTGGCTGCCTATTGTAGAGCCTGCCATAAATACTGTGAACGTTCCTGTTCCTGCCCCTGATGATGACCCTGTAGAAGATGGAACAATTAGGCCACTATCCATTGAAAGAGTATTTGCTACTGTTTTAGCAACTAACATACTGGCTGAAAGTGGTGCAATCATGAATCCTCCTGTAAATGAGCTGCTTGATGAATAAACACTATAAAATGCTGCAGAATTTGAGCCTAGGCTTAGTTTTGTTGACGAAGAAGTAAAACCTGCAGGTAGCCCCACCCCAATCCAGCCTGAAGTTACGTCGGAAGTTATCGAAGAGTCAGGTGTTACGCTTAGTGTAGTAGTAACAGAAGTTCCTCCAACATTATATTCCCCAGATGCAGGGCTCGTAAATGATCCTGCAGAAAATTTAACTTGACCTGTTGAAGTAAAGGTAGTTCCTCCTGTTCCAGTATATAGAACCATTTTATTTGCTGGGTCAGCTCCAGCCACAAGATAATAGAAAGTTTGAGTTGTAGTATAGCTTACAGATATATCTCCTCCATAAGGCAGATATAGAAGTTTCCTATGTTTGGCGCTGTAAGGCCGATAAATTTCTGATCGGAATTTATCGGTTGGTTGCACCAAATCAATGCCTTGGTCGGACCAAAAAGTGATTTGGTCCGACGAACTTGGAAAGCTCCTGGGAAAATGTCTGCGCTTTCAGCACTATATAGAGGAAACCTCTATAAACGGTTACTGTATTGCCCACGTCAACAGATCCAAGTCCAGAGATAGTCACTGTTTTTGATGTTGGGTCAAGAGTGGCCGTCGCTCCAGATACTGCACTAATTACAGGGATTTGTCCACTAGCATATAGTCCAGTCCCTAAATTGCTTGATCCTAAAGAACTAAAAGTCACATCTAGATAATATAGGTTTGTTGTATCTCCGAAATTAAATTTAAGATTCAATGTTAAAATAAGGCATAGCTCATGCCCCTTTATAGATTTCTTTATCGAGCAAAAACATACTGGACTCTTGAACGAGAAAAAAGACTCTCTCAAAGAGATGAGCTCAATCTCAGGAAGTGCTAAAAAGTGCATGTCAAAAAATTGTGACAGTGAGAAAAAAGTTGACAAGTAAACGCGCCAATTTTTAAAAATGGCTTCATTATTAAAATATTTAAACTTAAGATACCCACTGAAGATAATAATTGCAAATTAATATTTACATGTAGATTTGGCTACGAATTTTCTTTGGATTTACATAAGTCAAAATCCTACAGAGTTTTTGATTTATCTGCTCACTGGAGTTATAGGACTTGAAGATCTATACAACTACTCACTCGGGAAGTTCCCTCTTGTCATTTTCAATTTTAAAAGTTCATCTTCAATTTCTTCCATACTGGACTCGATCTTTATAATCACTTAAGTCAAAATACTACTGGAGTTTTTGATTGATATATTTACTGAAGTTATAAAACTTGAAGATCTATACATCTGTTCACTTGGGAAGTTCCCCTTTGCATTATTAATTTTGAAAGTCCCATGTGGATTTTCTTCCATAATGGACTCCATCTTTATAAATCACTTAAGTCTAAATCCTGCTAGAGTTTTTGATTTATATGTTTAAATTATTTTAATAATAAAGCCATTTTAAAAATTGGCGCTTTTACTTGTAAACTTTTTCACTTTTGTCACAATTTTTTGACATGCACTTTTTAGCACTTCCTGAGATTGAGCTCATCTCTTTGAGAGAGTTTTGCTCGATAAAGAAATCTATAAAGGGTATGAGCTATACTACTCTTTCAAAAATCCTACCAATCATTATAATAAAAAACATAAAAAATAATAGAGCATTGCCATTTCACGATATTTATATAATTATTTAATCCAGCACAAAATGGCGCGAAAGTGCCAAAGACGGAGGGAATTATCGTGATGCTTGATTTCATGCAGAGATGCATGGGTACATAGTGAATTCACAAATGTTGGTTCTGTATGTTGATGGCTGGTTTCGGAGGTTCGAGCTGGTGCTACATTAGCAAATGGAGTTTTGTGGATTTTGTATGGAGCATCTGAAGATGAAGATGAGTATAGCTTGATGGAGTTTGTAATACTTGTTATTGATGCTGAAATTTTTTGTTTTGTTGTGTTTTTGTTGATGTTGTGGCTTTTGACGATGTTACTGTTGTAGTTGAAGATGATTGTGGCGGCGAAGAAGTTATTGATGGTGAAGAATTTTTGAATAATAAAGAGAGAAATGCTTCATTAGGAAGCGGTAAAAGTTAAGTTAACACTATTTATAATATATCTCTAAATGCATTGAAAATTTGCTTCCTTTCCTAGCAGGTAAATAATTTTACATAAAAATTTTATCTTAATAAACCAGAGAGCTAATGAAGAGTGATAGAGTTAGCTTATTATCATACTTTAAATATGAATTCCGGTAAGTATTTTTAATAAATATAATGAATCTCATTTAAACCTAATAATACCAGAATTGTACTCTTATTGGGGATCTAACATTATTATTTAAACGGCTATTGTCTAATTAAAGGTCAATAAGTTTCACCAAAATGCTTCTAGCACATTTTTGAACTTCCATCCAAATTTTCAACTTCAAATAAAATTAAGCTCCACTCCATCATTCAACAATTTAGATCCGAAACAATCTTTCTCTGTATGTTGCTATCTCTCCTTAAATCGTATTTTTTTAATCCGTGCTCTTTAACTTCACCTTTAAATCAGTAGCAATCAGTATCTCTATTTTCCATCCAAGTTTTCTGTTATCAATATTATTTGCCGGTAAATGGCGTACTGTCTTTTGTCTGTGTTGCAGAGCAGATATACTCTTACAGGTATCCAATCAGCATATTTCCCTTCTTCCATTTCCTTATCCTTCTCTTTATCTTTATCTGAAATTCATTTTCGCTGATATCTTCGTCTTCACTTGCACTGCCATCTTTGCCTTGACTTTCATCTAACTTAGTAGCCCCATTCGTAGCATCAATAGCATTGTCTTCATCATTTGATACTTTAGTTTTATACCATTCTTTTGAAGTCTTTCTCAATTATTACCCGGTGGCGGGTATTATGGAATTCTATTTTCCTGTGTCTACAAATGGATTTTTAAATTTTTTATTGATTTTAAGTCTTTCAATAAGGCAGCTAAACGATTTAAAGTTTCCATTAAAATAAATTATAGGGGATCTAGGATAAATTGCAGATAGTAAATTTCATATGAGTAGATAGGAAATTTCTCGTTATTAGAGGTTTTTCAAATTTGGGTCTCTGATTTTATAGAAAGCACCTAATACATTAAAACGTTTCTAGTTCATTCATATAATTTACTATTTGCATTTTTATTGCTAAAACCCCTAATAATTCTTGATTTCCCAATCATGGTTAATTTTCTAAAAAAGTATATTATATTCTAAGAGTAAAAAAAGAAATATAATATTTTAGCTGATATATTCTTAATCATGCTAGAATAGCATAAAAATGAGTCTCTTTATATATTTTTCTTTTATCAATCATAGATAATTTGTTTTAGAGGGGTTTAAGATGGGAGTGGGTTTAGAGCTTGAGCATTCAAAGCATGGAAAACTACAGCAATTGGAATTCCAGCATAATTGTCTTTGTACAGTGAAGCAACTTTTAATGCAGAATCAACTTGTGATGTTATTACTGAGAAAACATAGTTAGAGAATTCAGTTACTGCTCCATTTGTTGTAGATGAAGTCTTAGCCCAACACTCATAGAAAGTAGCTACATTTGATGCTACAAATGGCAGCGCATTTTGAACAGAAGCACCTGAGTTATCCCCATATGAAAAAGCAAACATATTCTTATTTGATGTGGTAGGGAATCCGTTCGCATTAAATGCAATCGAAATAGATCCTGGATTTCCAGCATTGAGAGTTGGGGTGTTTACAGCCGATTCAAGCGCTACAGTGCTTGAAGAATAATCTCAGATTGCAAGTATTTTTTCTTTATATGTGGCGCAAGTAGTAATATAAGATGTAAGCAGCTGCACCCCTGAATTAGAAATTGGTAAACTGACTTTTAATGTGGTGGATGCAGACCAGTCATTTTTTGGGGTCATATACCACATTAAATATTGGATTCCATTAATATATCCTCCTTTTTGTTCCCCTGAAGTGAGCATTCCACTTATAGGTATTTCATTTGTAGCAGTTGCAAAGAATTGGAAACTAGTCATAGGTACATAAGTCGAATATGCAGAGTTAAATGGCCATGAGGTTGCAGTAGTAATTCGATCAATAGTCGTAGAAGAAATTCCATCAGTAGTTATTATTGAGGTAATTCCGGCTCCTGAGGTAAGTTTGGTCAATAATGTGATTGAGATAGCTGTATTTGCTGCCAAAGTAACACCTGACGCTATAGTTATAGTTGCTTTTGAGCTACTGACACTGCATGTAATACCTTTTACGTAGGTATTCAGATAACATTTTCCTCTAGTATCATGGAGTGTGTCCTCATGATCTTGCCACCAGTACCCAGAAGAAATATCTGCGTTGCTGTTAAAGGTAATGACGATTGTCCCATATGTTATTGCGTGGGCTGCTTGAAAATTGAGCTTAGTAAACAAGTAAAAATTGTTTGAACTGCTATCTGGGATGTCAGTTGAAGCTAAATTGATATTATAAGGAGCCCACGAGTTAATTGTTACGGAGCCTGCAACTGGTGTCAATGGCCCAGTTCCAGCATATTGAGCAAGAAGGTTGGTAGTTCCCCACCTCCAGATTTTTAGATTCCAACTAAAGTTTGACGATGAAATAGTTGCGAGAGGGAGAGTAAAGCTGGAAACTTTAAGCTTGACCTGATAACTTGATGTTATAATCACGTCTTGAGAAAGCCCATATATATAAATACTGTTTGTAGCAGGGGTTGCGGTTGATTTAGCAGTGCTATATCCTCCATTAGCCCCTCCGGTAGCTGCAATAGCACAAGGTAGACTATTGCCTCCTTTAGGGCCTTTGATATAGTTAGTAGTGCTTGAAATATCGACAGAAGAACAAGTTGGGCTTGAAGGAATTGTCCAGTAGGTGTCAGGGACGATTTCAAAAATGTCGTGTTTTCAAAGATTTGTGCCAGTAGGAATTGTAAAAGTAAAGTAAAGTCCATCTGAGGAGCCAACAATAGCTGTAGAAGAAGTCAAAGTGACTGCGCTTACGGTCAAAGAATTAGAAGAAGCTGAAACAGAGGCTGAAACTGCGACACAACCAAAAACGTAGTTTGCATCGTAGATCTGCCCAGATGGTGAAGTTTTAGTCACAATTTGGAAAGGCCCGTAAACTCCGGCAGAAGGTAAAGCTGTTGCCAAAATAAAAGAATACGAAGTATCAGTATTTGCCTTTATTGCGATAGAGCTAGAAGTATAAATTGTTGTGCTCGACAAAGCTGATGGCACAGTCACAATAACAATCCCCAAATTCCCAGTTGTTGGTAAAGATGTTTGAGGTCTAAAATGTACAGTGACAGTGACACTGGAAGTCCCAGAATTGGTTTGGGAAAGCTCAATAGGATTAGGAGCCCAAGTATCTTTTCATCATCTGATTTTTCCAGGATCTAAGTATCCATCTTTAGCAGTTCTTGAAGGATCTCCTACAGCTAGTCATAGAAGGGCTAGAAAGCTTATAAGACTTTTCATTTTTGAGCTTAAATATTAAAATTTATTAAGAGCCTGATTTTTTTGACATGGAATCATGAGAACTCGTTTTTATATAAAAGTTACAAAAATAAAGAAAAAATTTAAGAAGACAAGCCTCCTCATGCTAGGAATGATAGAAAAAATTAGCATTTTAAAAATATACAAAAAACTAAAAAATGTGGAAGAAATACTGGGATTTTAGAAAATCTCTTTAGAACTCAAAAAGAAGCCTAATTAGCAAAGATAAATTAAAGGAAAAATAAAACAGCTTTAGAAATAGGAAAATACAGTGTCTTAGCATTAATTAGATCTAACCTAATGCAGCACTTATGTTTTTTTTCTCCCCCCATTAGTCAACTTGAATAGTTATCTGCTTCATCTCGCTTCCTCCGCTATTTTTGCTAGCACTTCTTCTAATTCAGCCAATTTATCTAGCAAATCTTCTGTCCACGCTTTGTCCCTAACTCCCCCCCCATCCTTGATCGAACGACTCGCCATCGTTCGATCAAGGATGGGGGTTAAAAAAAATTTTTTTGGGAAAAAAAAAATTTATATATAAAAATAAAAATATATATATATTTTTTGTTATTTACTTTTAAATAAGAGGGTTAAGAGTATTTAATAATTATTTTTACAGCAAAAAAATTGAATTAATTTCATAAAAAATACCAATTTTTAATATTTTGATTTATTAGTTACCCCTTTAAACTGTATAAATTTTAATTTGTTTCCTTATTAAATTAAATTTTTTTTTAAAAATTTTTAAGAATCTCTATTTTATTAGATTATTAAGTTTTTAAGCCTGGGTTGATGACTAAATCACTTCACATGGTTGATTCCAAAGCTTTTTCATCTCAAAGTCTCTGAGAACAACTTCATTAGGTACATCTTCCTAAGCTTTTGATAATTAATATATTTTTATATATATATAAAAATTGTCATGATATGAAAATCGTTCGATCAAGGATGGGGTTAATTTCCCCAATTTTTAGGAGTTTTTACAGTCAATCGTTCGATCAAGGATGGGGGGGGAGTAAGTATTTCTTAATGAAATAACTTTATTGCTGCACTTCACTTCAGATTTCCTTATCTCTACCTTCGCCCATCAGAACCATCATGCTTCTTCCTTCTCTTCCAAGCTGTTGCTAGCTTTTCTAATCAATCATATATGCCTTTTTCCAAGTAAACCCCTATATTTTTAGCTTTCATCTTCAGCTTTTCCCTTCTTTTTTAATCCTCTGTTCCTCTTACTCCCCCCCCCCCTCCGTGAGCGAACAAAAAAATTTTGTTCGCTCACGGAGGGGGGTTAATTTTTTTTTTTTAAAAAAAATTTATATATAAATTTTATAAAAAAATATTTTTTCGAAATTTAAAAAAATCCTAATTTGCAAAAATTGGAAAGCAAATATTAATTTAATTTGCAAAAATTTATGTTTTAAAACGCAATTTGTTTTAAAATTAAACAGAATTAGCTCTAGATTTCATTATACTAATTATCACTTATATATCAAAATTTTTTTCCATTAAAATTTTTTTCTATTAAAAACATTTTTGTTCACTCACGGAGGGTGGGTTTTTGGTCAAAAAATGGCGATTTTTCTAATGGTTTTGTTCGCTCACGGAGGGGGGGGGGGGAGTTAGGATCATCTCCATCATTTAAAGCCCTTGATTAACTAAGGAGCACTCCATGATCCTTATTCTCCTTTCCCAGTTATTCAGTTTCCTCTTCCTTCTTTATATCTTCTCAAACTTCTCCTTCCTTTCGTTTTTTAGATGCTTTAATTTAAGAGAGAAATTTTTCATCAAACTTCTCCTTCTCTTTCATTTCTAGATGCTTTAATTTAATAAGGAAATTTTTTATCAGTCTCTTCCAGAGCTACTTCTTCTAATTCAGTCATTAATTCTGGCATATCATCTGTTACTCTAGTATTTGCTCCTCCCTTATACTCGCTGCTCTGTCTGTAATCTGGATCAGTTCTTCCCAATACAGCAGATCTCCCTCATGCAAGCTATTTCCTTGCATAGCCTACCTAATTTCTCCTTGCCATTTCCGCTCTTGCCTTCATCTTCGTCCCTCCTTTCAGTCTCAGCTCATTCTTCCTTCAATTACCATAATTCCTCCTCCCAGGATTCCAGCTCCTCCAATAGCAAAATTTTCTCACTATCTGAGCCAAAGCTCTCCAAATTCCTTCCTTAATTTTTGGTCAAATTTATAAACAGCTTTGATGAGTCAAGCCTTCTTGGCATTTTTAGGCTCTATTTAATAAAAAGTAATTGTTTGATAGGAAAAATTACTTGCTTAGCCTAATTTTAATTATTATAAGCTTTATATCAGAATAATTACTATCCTCAATCTAAAAATTAAAATACTGTCTGAAGCTGAAACACTTTATTTTTGATAATTCATAAATTACATGAAAATAAACAATATTTTTAAGTTTTTATATTATTAGATATCTCAGCCTTTTTGCATATAAGATTTATAAAGGTTTCTGCAAATTTTAGCTTTCTTTATGGAAAGAAAAATCAGCACAAATTAAATTTGTGCCAAAAATAGGAAAAATATGAAAAAATCAGTAGACTAGAACGCATGCAATATTAATAAGTTTAAAAATTCTAAAATTCAACTTTTGATCTGACTCCACCCCCTCCATGAGTGAACAAAAAAAATTTTGTTCACTCAGGGAGGGGGAGTAGCTACAAGTCCATATAGTTGAATAATTTTTACACAATACTTACATCTAAAAGACCAAGGCTAATTTTTCTAAATGCAAAAGTCAAGGATGACAGGAATATTAAATAAATTAACTTGCAAAATTGAACACCAAAAATCAAGATCTTAAAATTAAAAACATCGAAGTAGAAGAATAAATAGAATTTGACGCCCATTGCTGTCTCAGTTTACAATTTGAATATCTGAATTTTAAAAAAATAAATCTTCATAGCTCGGCAAATCCTACTTTCATTATAAAAGCTAAAAAATCTTATTTCCCCTTCGGTGAGTCAACAAAAATTTTTATAAAAAAAATTGATTTATTTGTGAAATTAGTATAATGATATCTCTAGTTAATTCTGGGTTAATTTTAAGCAGCTGACATTTTTAAAAAAATAAATGTTGCAAATTTAAATATTTTTTATAAAATAATGTTGATTTAAAAAACATTTTACTCATCATGGAAATGGTCATTTTTCCAAAAAAATAGGTATTTGCCAATGATTTGATTGGTCATGAAGGGCAGGGATTAAGGTTGATAGGCCCTTGGAAAGAGCTAGCAAGCAAAATATATTATAAATACGCTAGATTGATACCAACGTAAAAAATTATTGATATCATACTGTATTAAAACAAGCATTTCAAGAAAGCGAAATTTAAAGTATGCGCAATGAAGCAAGAATAGCCTAATCAATAAAAATAAGTTGCAAAAGTCCATTCAAAGAGTGAAAGGCAAATATAGACAAAAGATTTAAGAGAAATAATTGCCTAAAATTTTTTTAAATTTTTTAAATTGGAATTAACCATTTTATTTACGATTGTCTAACTTATGTAGATAATTAAAAAGATGGTCAAAAATATTATTGCTGATGAAACTCCGAGTCGCAATCAAGAAGAAAGAAGCTGCAGTGATGAACTAAAAGGGGAAACCACTAATATTGGGCATATAAGTCAGTTGGAGAACGCATCACCCAGCAGAAGCCCTAGCATGCTAGAAAATCCACATTGCCAAGAAAGTGGTAATGATCGGCTCATAATACTTAAAAACACTGCAGTTGGATGCATTATCAATTTCCTGACTTATCTTAAGAATAAATAAAGAAATATAAAATTTTTGACTTCAAATTTTTATTTTAACTAAAATTAATTGCTTTCTCTTTATTAAGTGGAGTAAGGAAGCACAGCCCATCTCCAATAGAAAGTATAATAGAGCATGTGAAATCTAAAGAGCACACTCTTCTCACCTCAACAAAAGGGAAATACAAAAAAGATGCCTTTAAAATCGTAGATTATGCGCTGTCTTGGTACCCAAAGCTTTTCTTATTAAATGATCGCTTTCACTACTACTTAAACGTAATTTAAAATTAGGAAGAGGAAGCTCAAAAGTATGAGACCAAGTACAAATTTGCTAAAAACGTATACCTAGAAAGGAGTAAAATAAAATATAATGAAAAAACTAAAAAAAGAAGGGAAAAAATCGCAAAAATGCAGAAAATAAAAAGGCAGATTGAAGAAGATTTAATGAGCAATACAACTGACCCTTCGATGATAACCAAAACTTATTTGATAATGGTTTCAGGAAACAAGCAAGTGGCTGATGATCTTAAGATGATGATAAGATCAGCTTATCCATAAGGGAATTAAGCCTTACTCCCCCCCCCCCTCCGTGAGTGAACAAAACCATTAGAAAAATCGCTATTTTTTGACCAAAAACCCACCCTCCGTGAGTGAACAAAAATTTTTTTAACAGAAATATTTTTTGATGGAAAAAATTTTTGATATATAAATGATATTAAAATAATTCTTAGGAATTGCCCGAGGATGGCGCTATCTTGCGCCATCCTCGGGCAATTACTATATAAGATCTCACTAAATAAAGGGATAATTAAATTAGAGGAGCACTTATAAAGTATGCATCACTTATCTTTTAATTCATGCAATATCTAATGATTTGATGAGAATATTTATATCTTTTTTCCCAATATTTCATGTCCTTTTTTCCATTTAATACTTCATGCTAACAATCTTGAAGAGTTTTGCTTTAAAGCCACAATTCTTATTTCCTCTCTACAAGCTCTTGGATCTCGCATTATCTCTCTATCTTTTGACTTTAAGGTTTGCTTTTGCCATTTTAATTTTATCTACAATAGCCCGAAAATCGTAAGTAAAATAATAATTCGTTATAATTTTTTATATTATGCCTACAACGCTATTGCTTGCTTTGATTACACTTTTTCATGGCAATCTGGAGTTATAGCGAGTCACTTAAAATTGAAATTCACTTCCAAGTTGACAAATCCTTCCAAAAAGGATGTGATTTTCTTAACTTGGAGTTGACTTGCCACCTCACCAGAGCTCCAGGAAACCGCAAAGAAGCGTGGTCAAGACAAGCAATAGAGGAGAAATTCTATATTAACCCAACTTATTTTGCTTCGCTTAAAATATCTTTTCTAATCCATTAAGAAAAACTTTAATGGCTTACAATTAACTGAGGAGTAAGAAATATGCTTATTTCACTATTTTCAGAGTTGATTAAGCTCCATAAATGCTTGAAATTGCCTTTGCATTTCTTCATTCGAGGACTCCAAAATATCCACCAATTGATCAAGCTTGTTATATACCTCTTGAGTTCAATGAATTGCCATCTACATCTCAATTTACTTTTCAAAATGGCATTAATTTTAAAATGAAAAATCTCTTTTTGTAAAATTGCGAATCTACTTTATAAGCACTAAAAAGTCTCTGAATTTTCATTTTGGATAAAATGGATTACTAATAGCAATCTATTGTGGTATCCAAAGCATAAATATCAGTATCAATACTTTTTTCAAAAATTTTCAATTTTTCTTCCTCTTTTAGTGTTATTTTGCGTTGCATATACCTCTCATAACTTTCTTGATTATTTTTCTCTTTTATTCTTTCTATTTCTTTAACAACTTTTTGTTCATATTCTAGTGCAAAATTGGTCTAAATTTGTATTACATTGACTGTTCAAACTCCTGCTGAAATTTGATTAAATAGTTTTTTCTTACCAAACAGAGCTGGGAACACTAATTCTTCAACGCTCTCTTTCTTGTATTTTCTTGAAGATATTGTTCTCAGCCTTTTCTTTTTGCCTTCGATATGCTCCATTATCTGATGCAGTGAAGCTTGTCCTTCATTTCGAATGAATTCTATCAGTGCCCCTTCAAGAGTGTTATAAAATCGGTATAAGGGATTGCATTTAAATGCTTTTGAGTCTCTAATCTTTGAATCCATTATTTTTATCGCCTAATTAAATTATGAATATTTCTCTATATTCTGACTCTATTATTTATTATTTAAATTCAAAAATTCCTTTCTATTGCTTAATCTAAAGAGATATTGGCTTTTCTTATATTTTCAAATAGTCTTTCTCTTAAATATTCTAAAAATATAACATGCAATTTAAATTTTTTAAAAAAAAGGTTATGTCAGAAATATATCAATAACGTTGTTTAATATGGGCAATCTTACGATATCTACCAAAATCACTTTTTTTGAGGTTTTATAAAATTAGGATATGCTATTATTAGGTTGCATAATTTAATTTCATTATTTTCATCGTACAAGTATTCGAATCCAGTAGGCAATTAAATAATATAACTTTTTTGCTCTTAGGAATTACTCTTGCAAATAATTCTATTAGCCTGTGATTTTTTATTATTATTTTTGATGCGAAATGATTTTTCATTAAGATTTACAATTGGAGTATAAATGAAGATCATTAATTTGATAAAAAAATTAAAGTTTTAAATCGTTCTTTAACAATAATGAGGTTAAAAGCAATCTAAAAGCATGAAGATTAATGAGTTTAAACTTCATCTAATTTTTAATGCTGAAATAAGTGATTTTTTAATTTTAATTAATAACCTTCCCGCTTTTCGACTAAAATTTTGTATTTTATATGTCTCATTGCCTTTGATATTTGGGATTTTGTTAATTCTAATGATCTTATCATGCTTGATAATTAATCTTTATCATATTCTTTGCTTTTTATGGGATTTTTAATTATTTTGACTTAATAAATTAATTCATTCAGTCAAGATTTCCAAGACTTCTTATCAGACCTGCGTCATGCCCTTTAAGCCCATATCAAAAAGATTAGGAAATTTGTAAAGCACAAAGGATAGTCATGATATAATTAATTTTAAAACTTTAATTAGATTGTTAAGGATTATATATAAAGTTTTATGACTTGAGCAAAATCGGGGGCTGAAGAGATTTTATGTATCTTCTTCTTAAATACCATCGAGCTTTTTAAGTATTTAGAAGCTTCATTGCTATATAAGAACCAAAATCAGGTATAAAATATAGTAAATTAATTCTTTTTATTCTTTAAGGAAAAGAATAAAAGGTCTTTCATTTAAAAACTTGCTGAAAAGGCATTATGAGCTTTCCTATATTGAAATTCAAGAAAAGCTTCTTTGCAAATCCCAAAATGAAACATAAATACTGTCCATCTTGGTATAGAAATCATTTTTAATATATGGCTGCTTCATCTCCACTTAATTAGAAATAGAAGCAGATAAGTATGAGATAAGCACAAGATAAATACATAAGTAAATTAAACAGAAAATGAGGCATAATTAAATAGAAAAATATAAAACCTAAGAATTTAGAGGATCTACAAAAGATTGATAAGTTAAGGCTTTCTAGCCATTTGGATATGGTTTAGAAAGAAAAGAATTGGTGCTTGTGGTACCTGCTGCAGTTGAAACTGCTACAGTGACAGAGTTAGTTAAGTTGCTAGATGCAGAATCTATAAAATTGCCATTTGCATCATAAGTACTTACAGCTGTAAAGCAATTTATTGAGCCTGCAGCTGTGGAGATTGGGATTACATGGTACAGCTTTACAGTGACTGAACCTGCAGCAATCTGAGAAAATTGACTCAAAGTGACTGTTGTTCCTGATGCAGAACATAATTGTTGGAGAGTTTTGGATTGATCAGAAAACCCAACTCCTTGGCATGTGCTTTTAAGAGGAGGCGTCGATGGCAAATTCCAGGAACCTGAAGCTAGAGTAATAATAATTTTTCCGCCTGCAGGAATAGGATTTACAGTTGTAAATTTAAAAGTGAGGGTGGAATCGACTGAGTCTGAGCCTTGAGCAAAGAGTTTGTCTAGTGTACAGGTATCAGAAGTAATCGTCGCAGGGTTTATAATTGCTCTTAATGGGGTAGATTGTGATGCGCATCTGCAAGCGTTGCCTATTATAGGTTCTGCTATAAATACAGTGAGGATTCCTGTTCCTGACCCTGATAATGACCCTGTAGAAGATGGAGCATTTAGGCCACTATCCATTGAAAGAGTATTTGCTGCTCCGTGAGTAACTAACATACTGGAAGAAATTGGTGCTATCATGAATCCTCCTATAAATGAGCTGCTTGATGAAGTGGCACTATATAAATTTTCAGAATTTGAGCCTAAGCTTAGTTTAGTAGATGTGGAAGTAAAACCTGCAGGTAGTCCAACTCCAATCCAGCCTGTAGTTATATCGGAAGTTATCGAAGAGTCAGTTGTTACACTTAGTGCTGTAGTAACAGAAGTTTCTCCAACAGTATATGCCCCAGATGCAGGGCTCGTAAATGATTCTGAAGAAAACAGCACTTGGCCTGATGAAGTGAAGGTGCTTCCTCCTGCTCCAGTATATAGAACTATTTTATTAGCTGGGTCAGCTCCAGCCACAAGATAATAGAAAGTTTGAGTTTAGTATAGCTTGTAGTTATATCTCCTCCATAAGGCAGATAAACGGTTACTGTATTGCTCACATCAACAAATCCAAGTCCAGAGATCGTTACTTTTTTTGATGTTGGGTCAAGAGTGGCTCTTGCTCCAATTGCTGCACTAGCTACAGGGATTTGTACTTTATCAGTTGCCCCAGTCCCTAAATTGCTTGATCCTAAAGAGCTAAATTCTACATCTAGATAATATAGGTTTGCTGAGTCTCCAAAATTAAATTTCATATTCAAAGCATGAAAAACTACAGCAATTGGAATTCCAGCATAATTGTCAGTGCACAGTGAAGCAACATTTAAATAATAATCTGTTAGTGATGTTATTACTGAGAAAACATAGCTCGAAAATTCAGTTACTAATCATCCATTTGCTGTAGATGTAGCCTTAGCCCAACACTCATAGAAAGTAGCCACATTTGATGCTACAAATGGCAATGAAACTTGAGCAGGATAATTTGAGTTGTCCCCATATGAAAAAGCAAACATATTCTTACCTCCTGTTGTAGGGTATGCGCCTGCATTAAATGTAATTATAATAGATCCTGGATTTCCAACACTGAGAACTCGGGTGTTTATAGCCGATTCAAGTGCTACAGCGCTTGAAGCATAATCTGAGCTTTGAAGTATTTTTTCTTTATATGTGGCATCATTAGAAATATAAGATGTAAGCAGCTGCACCCCTGAATTAGAAATTGGTAAACTGATTTTTAATGTGGTAGATGTAGACCAGTCGTTTTTTGGGGTCATATATCACATTAAATATTGGAATCCAATATATCCTCCTTTTTGTTCCCCTCCAGTGAGCGTTCCACCTGCAGGTATTTCATTTGTAGCAGTTGCAAAGAATTGGAAACTAGTCATAGGTACATAAGTCGAAGCAGAGTTAAATGACCAAGAGTATGGACTAGTAGTTTGATCAATATTCGCAGAGGTAGCTGAATCAGTAGTTACTATTGAGGCAATTCCAGCTCCTGTGGTAAGTTTGGTCAATAATGTGATTGAGATAGCTGTATATGCTGCCAAAGTAGCATCTCAAGCTATAGTTATAGTTGCCTTTGAGCCACTGACACTGCATGTAATATACTTCTTTTCTTGGAGTGGCGCTGCAAGCGCAGGCCACTCCATGCGGAATTCCTGTGTTGGTTTAACCAACATAGGAGTTGGTCGAACCAAAACTGTGCGTTGGTTCGACCAACCCATGAATTCCGCGTGGAGTGGCCTGCGCTTGCAGCGCCACTCCAAGGAGGTTTCTATACCTTTTATGTAGTTATTCAAATAGCATTTTCCTCTAGCATTATGGAGTGTGTCCTCATGGTCTTGCCACCAGTACCCAGAAGAAATATCTGCGTTGCCGTCAAAGGTAATGACGATTGTCCCATATGTAATTGCGTGGGCTGCTTGAAAAGTGAGTTTAGTAAACAAGTAAAAACTGTTTGAGCTGCTATCTGGGATGTCAGTTGAAGCTAAATATATGTTATAAGGAACCCACGAGATAATTGTTACGGAGCCTGGGACTGGTGCCAATGGCCCAGTTCCAGCATATTGAGCAAGCAACTTTGTAGTTCCCCACCTCCAGATTTTTAGATTCCAACTGAAGCTTGACGCTGAAATAGTTGCAAGAGGAAGAATAAAGCTGGAAACTTGAAGCTTGACCTGATAACTTGAATTTATAATCACGTCTTGAGAAAGCCCATATATATAAATACTGTTTGTAGCAGGATTTACGGTTGATTTAGCAGTATTATATCCTCCATTAGCCCCTCCACTCGCTGCAATAGCACAAGGTAGGCTATTTTCTCCTTTAGGACCTTTAATATAGTTAGTAAAGCTTCAAATATCGACAGAAGTGCAAGTTGGGCTTGAAAAAATTGTCCAGCGGCTGTCAGGGATTATTTCAAAAATGTCATGTTTCCAAAGATTAATGCCAGCAGGAATTGCAAAAGTAAAGTAAAGCCCATCTAAGAAGCCAACAACAGCTGTAGTAGAGGTCAAATTGACTGTACTTACTGTCAAAGAATTAGAAAGAGAAATAGAGGCTGAAACTGTAACACAACCAAAAATGTAGTTTGCGTTGTAGATTTGCCCAGATGTTGAAGTTTTAGTCACAATTTGGAAAGGCCCATAGACTCCGGCAGGAGGTAAAGGTGTTGCCAAAGTAAAAGAATATGAAGTATCAGTATTTGCCTTTATTGCGATAGAGTCAGATGTATAAGTTGTTGTGCTTGAAAAAGTTGATGGCACAGTCACAATAACAATTCCCAAATTCCCAGTTGTCGGCAAAGATGTTTGAGGTCTAAAATTGATATTGACAGTAACACCACTGGTCCCAGAGTTGGCTTGAGAGAGCTCAATAGGATTAGGAGCCCAAGTATCTTTTCATCATCTGATTTTTCCAGGATCCAAGTATCTATCTTTAGGAGTTCTTCTAGGATCTCCCACAGCTAGTCATATAAGGGCTAGAAAGCTTATAAGACCTTTCATTTTTGAGCTTAGATATTAAAGTTTATTAAGAGCCCAGATTTTTTGACATGGAATCATGAGGACTCGTTTTTATGTAAAAGATACAAAAATAAAGAAAAAATTTAAGAAAGCAAGCCTTCTAAAGCTAGGAATGATAGAAAAAATTAGCATTTTAAAAATATACAAAACTTAAAAAGTGTAGAAGGAATACCAGGATTTTAGAAAATCTCTTTAGAACTCAAAAAGAAGCCTAATTAGCAAAGATAAATTAAAGGAAAATAAAGCAGCTATTAAAAATAGGAAAATACAGTGTCTTAACTCTGTCCTTAAATTTTAAAATACAGTAAAAATTCCATTTTTATGTAATTTAACCCCTTTAAATTTATTTTTTAAATAAATTCTATAGGTTAAAATAAAAGTCAAAAAATATACTTTTATGACTGATTATCCTTTAGTGACTGTGACAGCAGAGGATAAACTTGAGGAAACGGTAGCTGCTACCTTGAATGATGCTTTTTAGGTAGGGATATAATATCCTACAAGGCATCGAAAGAGTTGACTGTGCTTTAGAAGATTTATAAGATGACATGAAGAGTAAATAAAAATTGGAGCTGCTTAATATCATTAATTAGATCTAACCTAATGCAGCACTTATGTTTTTTTCCCAATTAGTCTACTTGAATAGTTATCTACTTCATCTTGCTTCCTCCACTATTTTTGCTAACACTTCTTCTAATTTAGCCAATTTATCTAAAAAATCTTCTGTCCACGTTTGTCTCTAAACTCCCCCCCCCCCCCTCCGTGAGCGAACAAAACCATTAGAAAAATCGCCATTTTTTGACCAAAAACCCACCCTCCGTGAGTGAACAAAAATATTTTTAATAGAAAAAATTTTAATAGAAAAAAAATTTTGCTATATAAGTGATAATTAGTATAATGAAATCTAGAGCTAATTCTGTTTAATTTTAAACAAATTGCGTTTTAAAACATAAATTTTGCAAATTAAATAGTATTTGCTTCCCAATTTTTGCAAATTAGGATTTTTTTTAAATTTCGAAAAAAAATATTTTTTATAAAATTTATATATAAATTGTTTTTAAAAAAAAAAAAAATAACCCCCCTCCGTGAGTGAACAAAATTTTTTTGTTCGCTCACGGAGGGGGGGGGGGAGTAAGCATTTCTAATGAAATAACTTTATTGCTGCACTTCACTTCAGATTTCCTTAACTCTACCTTCGCCCATCAGAACCATCATTGCTTCTCCCTTCTCTTCCAAGCTGTTGCTAGCCGTTCTCATAAATCATATATGCCTTTTTCCTAGTAAACTTATATTTTTAGCTCTTCTTCATTTTCGTCTTTATCTTATTTTTCATCTTCAGCTTTTTCCATTCTTTTTTCATCCTCCGCTCCTCTTAGGATCATCTCCATCATCTAAAAACCCTTGATTAACTAAGGAGCACGCCATGATCCTTATTCTCCTTTCCCAGATTTTTAGTTTTCTATTATTCTTTATATCTTCTCAAACTTCTTCTTCCCTTCGTTTTTTAGATGCTTTAATTTAAGACAGAAATTTTTCATCAAACTTCTCCTTCTCTTTCTTTTCTAGATGCTTTAATTTAAGACGGAAAATTTTCATCACGCTCTTACAGGGCTACTTCTTCTAATTTAGTCATTAATTCTGGCAAATATTCAGTTATTCTGTCCATTACCTGGATCAGTCCTTCCAAATACAGCATATCTCCCTCATGGAAGCTATTTCCTTGCATAGACTAGCTAAATACTTTTTGTCAGTCCTACTCTTGTCTTCATCTTCGCCACTCCCTTCAGTGTCTCAGCTTATTCTTCCTTCAATTACCGTAATTCGTCCTCCCAAGATTCAGCTCAAAAATTTTTTCACTATCTCAGTCAAAGAACTCCAAAGTCCTTCCTTAATCTTTGGCCAAATTCCAAAACATCTTTGATGAGTCAGGGCTTCTTGGCATTTTTAGGCTCTATTAAATTAAAGTAATTGTTTGATACCATTTACTTGCTTAACCTAATTTTAATTATTATAAGCTTTATATCAGAATAATCCTCGATCTAAAAATTAAAATACTGTTTGTAGCCGAAATACTTTATTTTTGATAATTCATATGAAAATAAGCAATATTTTAATTTTTGCATATAAGATTTATAAAGGCTTCTGCAAATTTTAGCTTTCTTTATGTCAAAGAAAAATCAGCACAAATTAGATTTGTGTATAAAATAGGAAAAATATGAAAAAATCAGAAAACTATAGCGCATGCAATATTAATAAATTTTAAAATTCAATTTTTGATCTTAGCTACAGTCCACATAGTTGAATAATTTTTTTGACAATACTTACATCTAAAAAGACCAAGGCTGATTTTTATAAATGCAAAGTAAAGAATGACAGAAATATTGAACAAATTAACTTAAAAAACTGAACCAAAAATCAAGATCTTAAAATTAAAAACATCGAAGTAGAAGAATAAATAGGAAATTGGCACCTATTGCTCTCTCAGTTTACAATTTGAAAAATCTGAATTTCAAAATTTAAATCTTTATAGCAGGCAAATCCTATTTTTATTATAAAAGCTAAAAAAAACCTTATTTCAGCCTTCGGTGATTCAACAAAAATTTTTTTATTAAAAACAAATTTATTTATTTGTGATAATTATTATTATAAATGATATCTCTAGCTAATCCTGGGTAATTTTAAACAGCTGGCTTTTTAAAAAAATAAATGTTGCAAATTAAACTAATTTTTATTTCTCAATTTTGCAAATTAGAATTTTTTAAAATTTTGAAAAATAAAATTACTATAAATTTTAAAAAAAGAACCCCTCTCTGTTAGCGAACAAAATTTTTTTGTTCGAGCTAATGGGGGAGTTTTTATTATCTTCTGAAAAGAATTATTGAAGATACTCATAATAAATATATTATAAGTAAATTAAAGGGATTGAAGTATGGAGATTTAATACCTTGTAAAAAAATTAATATTAAATAGGGCGCTTTTCGCATCAAAAGTATAAGGAGCTTATGGAGCCTGTGGGTGTGTTAACTTGGCGTGGCAGAGTGGCATTGATTAGTGGCCCATATCGAAGGATCGATGGGCGTGCATTATTGATGCTTCAAGTGATGCTGCTGGTGCGGCTTCAGTATTTCGACTGCGGAGTGTGCTGTTTCTTTTTTTTAAGTTTTTTTAAAGTTTTGATGCTTTAAATTTAGTTTTTAACTAATTTTTAAACGAGAGAAGTGCGGAATCTTCCGCTTTAAGTAAGTAAATAAATACCTTGTGAGCTTTTTAAGTTTTTAGAGGCTTCAATGCTATAACTAAAATCAGATGACTTTATCAGAACATATAGTAAATTAATTATTTTTATTATTTAAATCCCCTCCGCAAAGAGCAACAACATTTATTCACTCACAAATAGCTATTTTTTTTAATTTTATATGCAATTACCATCTTAAACTCTCTCTCCCACCCCCCATCCTTGATCGAACGACTCGCCATCGTTCGATCAAGGATGGGGGTTAAAAAAAATTTTTTTGGGAAAAAATTTATATATATATTTTTTTTATTTACTTTTAAATAAGAGGGTTAAGAGTATTTAATATTATTTTTACAGCAAAAAATTGAATTAATTTCATAAAAATACCAAATTTTTAATATTTTGATTTATTAGTTACCACTTTAAACTGTATAAATTTTAATTTGTTCCTTATTGAATTAATTTTTTTTTTTTAAATTTTAAAGAATCTCTATTTTATTAGATTATTGAGTTTTTAAGCCTAGGTTGATGACTAAATCACCTCTGATGGTTGATTCCGTAGCTTTTTGTCGTCTCAAAGCTCTGAAAACAACTTCATTAGGTACATCTTCCCAAGCTTTTGATAAGTAATATATTTTTTATATACATAAAAATTTGCATGATATGAAAATCGTTCGATCAGAAGAAGAAAAAATTTACCTTATCCCTACTCAATTTCACAGCGTCACACTACTTCCACCAACACATACAGAACCAGCATCACTCCAAGCACCACTCCCAGAACCAGCATTACTCCAAACGCCATCACTCCTAGAAGAACCAACACCACGTTCGATCAAGGATGGGGTCAAATAAATTTATAAAAAAAGTGATTTTAATGTATAAAATTGCTGAATTACAAATAGAAAAATTTTGTTCTCTAATCAAAAGGGGAGCAAGGAAAAGAATGAATTTTCCTATATTGAATTTCAAGAAAAAATCCCAAAATGAAGCATAAATACTGTCCTTCTTATTATACAAAGCATTTTAATATATGGTTGCTTTATCTCCACTTAATTTAGAAAAAGAAGCAAATTAGTATGAGAAAAGCACAAGATAAAATGCATAAGCATAATTAAACAGAAAATAAGGCATAATTAAATAGAAAAACGTAAAACCTAAGAATTAGATGATATGTAAAGGATTGGCAAGTTAAGGCTTCCTAGCCAGTCAAGTTCCAGGATATAAAAAATATAGATGAATTAACCATAAGATTACTCTTTTTATTTTTCCTTTTTAATATGTTTAAGCTGAAAAATTAATTGATTAAAGACACAGTAAAGATAAAGCTTAGTTAAGTAAGGTACAGATAATAACAAAAAATGCACTTGCTCCCATCATAAATGCACTGCTGTCATCACTTGAGGCCCAAGAAGTCATAAATGTAATGTTTTGCAAAGGAGTAGCTGAGGTATAGTCAATATAAGAAGGTTACTATTGCATGCAGTAAAATAGAGGGCATAAGAAGTCCATGCGGACAAACCTGCAACTGTAATTCCCATCATTAATAATAAAAAAATTTTACATATAAAATCATTAGAAACAAATTAATCGGTACTTGTGGTACCTGCTGCAGTTGAAGCTGCTACAGTAACGGCATTAGTTATCCCACTAGTCATAGAGTCTATAAGATAACCATTAGTTGCAGCATGATAAGTATTTACAGATGTAAAACAAGTTAATGAGGTTGTAGTAGTGGAGGATGGGATTATATGGAACACCTTTACGGTAACTACTCCTGCAGGAATTTGAGAAAATTGAGACAAGGTAATTGTCGATGAGCTTATGACACATTTTTGAGGATAATCTGCAGAGTAATCAGTGAACCCAACACCTTGACAAGTTGTACCTTGGATTGTTGAGCTTGAGGTGAAGACAGTGAATGAGTCTGAAAGAACAATAGAAATCATTCCGCCAGCAGTGACTGGATTTACAGTTGCAAATGTAAGAGTTAGTGTAGAATCAACTGAATCTGAACCTTTAGTGTATAACTTGTCCATTGAACACGTATCCGATGTAATTGTAGCAGCGCTTACCTTAATACTAGAAATTGTGCTTATAGAATAACAGGCAGCTCCTATTATGCCTGTTGCGTACACTACGAAACTTCCAGCTGTAGTACCATCTTCAGATGCTCCAGTAGTTGGTGGAGCATTTAAGCTACTCAAAGTCAAACTAGTAGCAGTACTACTATTGAGTGAGACCGAGGATCCAGATGGAATTAATCCGATAACGAATCCACCTGCAAAGGAGCTACTTGACGAAGAAACACCATAAACTGGTGTTAATGTTGTAGATCCTATGGTCAATGTATAGCTGCTTGGCAAAGTAAAGCCTGGAGAAAGTCCAATTCCAACATAATTAGAAATTGTTGTAGCTCATGGAGTTTTGAGGCTTGCAGTAGTAGTAGAAGAACCGCCTACAGTATAAGCTGCACCTGAAGGGCTTGTTATTGATGCTGAGCTGAATAATGCACTCGAGAAACTAAAAAGAGGTTCTGAAATAGAATTTGTATATAAGATCATCTTATTTGAAGGATCTGCTCCATCTTTTAGATAATAAAAAGTGAGGGATCCGACTAAAGCTATCTTATTTCCGTTTGGAAGCCAAAAATTAACTGATTCACCTGCGCTCACAGATCCAAGCCCAGAAACAGTTACTACATTCTGGTAAATGGTGGCCATAGGATTAAACCCACTGCCAACTGGGACTATAGGGAAGCTGCTTCCATCACCCAAGCCACTGCCCAAATTAGCAGGTATTGATGAACCTGTAAAAGAAATATCAAGATAATAATGGTTGGAAGTGTCTGCAAAGTTAAATGCAAGAGCATAAGCATAAAAAGTAACATAAATTGGAACTCCGACATATTCATCAGCACATAATGGAGCATATTTTAAGCTACTCGATGTAGTTGATCCAGGAAAGACTGAATAAACATAGCTGGAAAATTCAGAGGCTGCTGTAGTTCCTAATGGAGGTGATGATTTAGCCCAGCACTCATAAAAAGTTGCAACATTTGAAGTTACAAGCGGGAGAGCAGTTACAGTAGTATCAGTAGTTGATGGATCTCCATAGGCAAATACATAAACATTTCCAGATGAGGTTGGAGCAGCGCTTGAAGCAATTGTAATGGTAATCGATCCTGGGATTCCTGATTTTACCTCTGAGGATATAGATACATCAGAACTAACTCTTGAGCTCATGAATAAGCAATTTTTACTTATTATTCAAGAGTTAAGAAATATTGTCAATAGTAAATTTATATAAGTAAACGAGGTTTTGTTTATTATATTACCGAAATTTTTATTTTAGGCATTTTATAAGAGCATTTCTCTCTAATAATAAAAACAAATTTAATATTTTATTTCTTGGCTAGAAACTGCTAATAATAAGCTAATTTGTTATTTTTGGGGAGTAAGTAATGCAGCTGTAGATGAGTTAGTTGCCTTAGCATCTAAAAATAATGCAGTTGATCTAATGTAGGGTTGGAGCAATTGTACCCCTGTGCCTGAAAAAGCTAAGCTTACAACTAAACTATAACTGGCAGGCCAAAAAATTAAAGACCAGCCTACTCAAAAATCATTATAAATAAACAGAAAAAATTAATAAAAATATAAAAAAATAATTATCAACTATTTAGCCATCTTTTAATATTTTACAAAAAGATTTAAGGTTTATACATATTATTGTTAATCCATATTGTTAAACCTTCCTAACTTCGATAAATATTATAATAAGTCTAATTAAATTATATATACAAATAAGGGTGGGACATTTATATTTAACAATTGGCTGCCCAAGTAGTTGATGGCGTTGCAGCCCACATCAAGTATCTAGATTACCTCCTTTTTGCAAGCCTGAAACAAAAAGTGATGGATCTTTATACTCAATTGTACCAGCAGTTGAACCACTCCACGCCGTTCCAGAAGCTGCATAAAACTGGAAATTAGTCATAGAGGTATAAGCTGTTGTAGCTGAGCTGCCAAATGTCCAAGCATATCCTGCAGTAAATTGATCAATAACATTAGTAGAACTTGTTGCATCATTGCTTGTTATTGAAGAAATTTTAGCACCTACACTAAGCTTCGTTAAAAGAGTAATAGAAATTGCAATATTAGCAGCAAGGCCAGAACTTCTGTTACCAAAGTAAATGGTTGCTGACTGACTTGAAATACTTACAGCGCAAGTCACACCTTTTTCATAGGTATTCAAATAGCATAAAGCTTTATTATTTGACCCTGATCCATCATAAGCGTCTTGTCACCATTTGCCACCATTAATGTCTACGTTGTTGTTAAAGGTAATAATAATTGATCCAGCTGTAATTGGATGAGCTGTTTGCAAAGTGAGTATAGTAAAGATATAAAAAGCGCTAGAAGTATTTGGAATATCTGATGTTTGCAAATTAGAATTATATGGAGCCCATGAGCTTACTGTTATAGTTCCAGCGACTGGTTGCAATGGTCCGCTTCCAGCAAATTGAGCAAGAAGGTTGGTAGTTCCCCATCTCCAGATTTTTAGATTCCAACTGAAGCTTGATGATGAAACAGCTGAAGAAGGCAAAGTAAAGCTGGAAACTTGAAGCTTGACCTGATAACTTGAAGTTATAATCACGTCTTGAGAAAGCCCATATATATAAATGCTGTTTATCATAGAAGGAGAGGTTGATTTAGCAGTGCTGTATCCTCCTTTAGCCCCTCCACTTGCTGCAACAGCACAAGGTAGGCTATTGTCTCCGTTAGGACCTTTGATATAATTAGTATTGCCTGAAATGTCAACAGAAGCACAAGTTGGGCTTGAAGGAATTGTCCAGTAGCTGTCAGGGACGATTTCAAAAGTGTCGTGTTTCCAAAGATTAGAGCTAGCAGGGATTGTAAAAGTGAAGTAAAGTCCATCTGAGGAACCAACAATTGCTGTAATAGAGGTCAAATAGACTGTGCTTACTGTTAAAGAATTCGCAGAAGCTGAAGAAACTGAGGCTGAAACTGCTACACAACCGAAAACGTAGTTTGCGTCGTAGATTTGCCCAGATGTTGAAGTTTTAGTTACTATTTGGAAAGGCCCGTAGACTCCGGCAGAAGGTAAAGTTGTTTCTAAAGTAAAAGAATACGAAGTATCAGTATTTGCCTTTATTGCCATAGAGTTAGAAGTATAAGTTGTTGTGCTTGAAAAAGTTGATGTCACAGTCACAATAACAAACCCCATATTTCCTGTTGTTGGTAAAGATGTTTGAGGTCTAAAATTGATATTGACAGTGACACTGGAAGTCCCAGAATTAGTTTGAGAGAGCTCAATAGGATTAGGAGCCCAAATATCTTTTCATCATCTGATTTTTCCAAGATCCAAGTATCCATCTTGAGCAGTTCTTGAAGAATCACCTGTAGCTAGTCATATAAGGGCTAGAAAGCTTATAAGACTTTTCATTTTTGATCTTAGATATTAAATTTTGCTTGAGAGCCCGGATTTTTTTGGCATGGAATCATAAGGACTCTTTTTTAATAAAATTAAAAAATAAAGATAGAAAAATTTATAATCCTAGTTAAAGGCGAAAATTTAAAATTTAGGTCTCAGCATATACAAAAAACTAAAAAATATGGAAGAAATGCCAGCTTTCTAAAAAATACAAAAAATAAAAAATGTGGAAGAAATGCCAACATTTTAGAAAATTTCTTTAGAACTCAAAACGAAGCCTAATTAGCAAAGATAAATTAAAAGAAAAATAAAAAGCTTTAGAAATAGCAAAATATAGTGACTTAACCCTCTCCTTAAATTTTAACAAAACAGACATTTTTATGTAGTTTTAATCCCTTTAAATTTATTTTTTCAATAGATTCTATAGGTCAAAAAATATACTTTGTGACTGATTATATTTTAGTGACTGTGACAACAAAGGGATAACTTGAGGAAACGGTAGCTGCTGCCTTAAATGATGCTTTTAAGGTAGGCATGCCAATTCCTACAAGCAATGAAAGATTTTGCTGTGCTTTAGAAGCTTTATAAGATGAGAAAACTTATCATAAAAAATAAAGCCAATTAGCATCAGGGATAACAGCAAGTAGGGGAATTATTAATTGAGAAGAAGAAGAAGAAGAGGGCTTTATTTTGATTGAAAGACTGTTGCATTATATAAGAAAAAACCTTAATTAAATTCAAGAAAAGTAAATTAAAGCCTTGCTCAAAGAAATCTTTAATTAAGTCATTATTTAATTAAGCTTATCTTATGGCAAGCTCTACTTCTTGTTTATTACATTAGTCTAATCGTATTACGAGAGTATCAGCTGCTAAGCTGTTGACGTACTCACCCAGACACGAAGGTCCCTCCGCTTTGAGACGTCGCATACAGAACTTCAACTTAATGGCTCGCCTGCTCTGTTAAACGTCTCCTCCTTGCAAGCTACACCCTACTCCAGTTTTGAGTGGGCAGATTTAGGAATTCTGCAGCCTTACGTGAGACTGTGGGATACAAGGTTGTCCACACAGAAAAACCCAAAAATGGATTTTTTGGTCGACTTGCGGCAAAAAGAAAAAGTTGAAGCCCAGGGCAAAGCTTCTGAATTCTCACTAGCGGCATTGCCCGATGGCCTGGGCGTTCCCTGCAGGCATAGCTGGGCGTCTCCTTTCCAACTTCAACCTTCATTTACCCTTGAGGAAAAAACCAACTCCGGAAGCGGACTAGGGCTAGGCTCCTGGAGGAATTGCTTACCTAGCATAGCTGTCGGTAAAACCTTGCCGGATATACTTTAAATAGGGCTCGAGACTGCTTAGCCGAGAGGCTAAGCCTAAGTTGAGACGCCTTATTTAAAGTATTACATTGGTTTAATCAAAAGTCTCGATTATCTTTCCCTATTTATTGCATTTTATATCGTAAATATTTTGGATTATATTGTCTCAATATTTGGTAAATCCATTTCCAGAAGGAAGTGCTTTTAAATTTTTAAATATATTCTTGCTTTATACAATATTGATTTTTTTTAATGCTCTTTAGACTTAATCAAATACGTTTGCACTTATTATTAAAATTACATTTATGGTATAATAGCTTCATCTAAACATTATTTGTAACAAAACGTAAAACATCTCGAAGTTTTGCTTGGAATTTAGGATTTTCTTAAATTTTATAATATTTTCGTGAAAATTGTTTGCTAATACCAAAGCAGCACTGCATAGAAATCATTTTATCATATAATCTTGCAAATTTCTTATAAATGGCATAAAGAGTTAATAAAAATTGAAGATGCTTGATAAGATCATCACCATTATTTATTAGATATAGCCTAATGCAGCCCTTATGGGTTTTTCTCCATTAGTCAACTTGAATAGTTATCTGTTTCATCTTGATTCCTTCACTATTTTTGCTAATACTTCTTCTAATTCAGAAAATTTACCTGGCATTGTTTTATCCCTAACTCCCCCTCCATGAGCGGGTTATTTTTTTTTTCAAAATTCAAAAAAATTCTAATTTGTAAAAATTGAGAAGCAAATATTTAATTTAATTTGTAAAACTTATGATTTTATTATACTAATTATCATTTATATATCAATTTTTTTTTCAGAAAAAAATTTTTTGTTCGCTCACGGAGGGTGGTTTTTTGGGCAAAAATAGGGATTTTCCAATGGTTTTTGTTCGCTCACGGAGGAGGGGTAAGCATTTCTTAATGAAATACTTTACTGCACTTCAGATTTTCTTATCTCTTCCTTTGCCCATCAGAACCATCATCGATTCTACCTTCTCTTCAAGCTGTTGCTGGATTTTCTCATCAACCATTCATCTTCTTTATTTTCGTCTTTATCTTCTTTTTCATCTCCAGCTTTTCCCTTTTTTTTTCATCCTCTGCTTCTCTTAGGATCATTTCCATCATCTAAAGCCCTTCATTATTCAAGAAATTCACCGTTATCCTTATTTTTCTTTCCTAACTCCCCCCCCCCCCCCTCCGTGAGCGAACAAAACCATTAGAAAAATCGCCATTTTTTGACCAAAAACCCACCCTCCGTGAGTGAACAAAAATTTTTTTAATAGAAAAAATTTTAATGGAAAAAAAATTTTGATATATAGATTATAATTAGTATAATGAAATCTAGAGCTAATTCTGTTTAATTTAAAACAAATTGCGTTTTAAACATAAATTTTGCAAATTAAATTAATATTTGCTTCCAATTTTTGCAAATTAGGATTTTTTTAAATTTCGAAAAAAAAAAAATTTCTATAAAATTTATATATAAATTTTTTAAAAAAAAAAAAAATTAACCCCCCTCCGTGAGTGAACAAAATTTTTTTTGTTCACTCACGGAGGGGGGGGGGGGAGTAAGTATTCAGTTTTCTCTCCCTTCTTTAAATCTTTTTAGGCTTCTTCTTTTCTATATGCTTTAATTTAATACGGAAATTTTTTGTTCATCAGGCTCTTTCAGGGCCAGTTTTTCTAATATTTTATTGATTCTGGCAAAAAATCAGTTATTCTAGTATCTGCTCCTCCCCTTATGCTCCTTCCCATTTTGCCTGCTCTGTCCGTAACCTGGATCAATCCTTCCAAATGCAGCAGATCTCCCTCAAGCAAGCTGTTTTCTTTCTGGACCTCCTTGCTACTCCCACTTTTGCCTTCATCTTCGTTGCTCCTTTCAGTCTCACCTCATTCTTCCTTCAATTACCATATTTTCTCCTCCAAGGATTCCAGCTCATCCAATAGCAAAATTTTCTCACTATCTTAGCCAAAGCGCTCCAAATTTCCTTCTCATCTGCTTAATCTTTGGTTAAATTCCAGTAGCTTTGATGAGTCAGGCCTTCTTGGCATTTTTAGGCTCTATTAAATAAAAGTAATTGTTTAATAGCAAAATTACTTGCTTAGCCTGATTTTAATTAGTATAATCTTTATATAAAAATAATTACTCTGCTCAATCTAAAAATTAAAATACTGTCAGAAGCCGTAACACTTTATTTTTGATAATTTATATGAAAATAAAGAATATTTTTAAGTTTTTATATTATTAAATATCTCAGCCTTTTTGCATAAGAGATTTATAAAGGTTTCTGCAAAATTTTAGCTTTCTTTATGTAAAAGAAAAATCAACACAAATTAAATTTATATACAAAATAGGGAATATATGAAAAAATCAGAAGACTAGAGCCCAAGTAATATTAATAAACTTAAAAATTTTAAAACTCAATTTTTGATTTTAGCTGCAAGTCCATAGAGTTGAATAATTTTTAGACAATATTTACAATCTAAAAGACCAAGGCTAATTTTTCTAAATGCAAAATTAAAGGATGGCAGGAATATTAAACAAATTAACTTAAAAAACTGAACACCAAAAGCCTAGATTTTAAAACTAAAAAAGTTGAAGGAGTATAATTAATAGGAATACGCCCATGACTATCTCAGTTTACAATTTGAAAATCTGAATTTCAAAAGTTTAAAAAATTAAATCTGTATAGCTTCTATTTACTCGGCAATCCACTTTTTATTTATTATACAAGCTAAAAAAATCTTGCTTCCCTTCTGTGAGTCAACAATAATTTTTTGAAAAAAAATTTGATGTATATAAGTAATAATTCTGTATAATGATATCTCTAGCTAATTCTGGTTAATTTTAAACAGCCGGCATTTTAATGTATAGAAGCCACCTGGAAGATATTAATTATATAGGAGCATCTCCTCCTGTGCAAGATTATCACATAAGGCAAGCTCGCAAACATGGGAAAATTAAAATTTCTGTATAAATATGCAAATATCAGTCTGGAAAAAGAAATTATCTAATAATGATAAATACTGTGTCAGTTAATGCAGCTAAATCAAGATTTGTATTATTCTTGCATCAGGAACATTTTTAAAAAATACTCAATGAAAGCTGGCGAAGTATAACTCATAAGTAAATAATTTTGATAAATGGCATGATATGATAACGATCATCAACTAACTGGTGTAAGCTACTGATGTGACACGAGTTACACTTTCTAAAATTAAATATAAAAACTTAAAAGCTTAACATTATATATTGATTCATCTAAATGTCACGCCTGGGGACGTATAGAAACTATGATGAAAATTAAGCTTTGTTAATGATTCAAGTAATTAAATCCACAATAATACATAAATAAGAAAAAGATTCATCTGTACTTTTTGCACTACTTGAAAGGGATGTTTAAATAATATTTTTTTAATTATACTAACACAAATTTTAATTTTGTATGAAGCTGCAAGAGTTATATTAGGCGGTTGCCCCAGCTACATTTGTTTATGGCTTAGAAACAAATGAATTAGTATTTGTGCTACCTACTGCAGTTGAAACTGCTACAGTGACAGAGTTAGTTAAGCCTATTGCAAAATCTATAACTCCGTTATTTGCATCATAAGTTGTGACATCTGTAAAGCAATTTATTGAGCTTGCAGCCGTGGAGGTTGGGATTACATGGTACAGCTTTACACTGATCTGACCTGCAGCAATCTGAGAAAATTGAGTCAAAGTGACTGTTGTCCCTGATACAGAACAAAATTGTTGCAGAGTTTTGGATTGGTCAGAGAACCCAACTCCTTGGCATGTGGTTGCAAGATGATTTGATAATGGCAATAGCCAGGCACTTGAAGCTATAGTAATAGTAATTTTTCCACCTGCAGGAATAGGGTTTACAGTATTAAATGCTAAGGTGAGGGTAGAATCGACTGAGTCTGAGCCTTGAGCGTAGAGTTTGTCTAATGTGCAGCTATCTAAAGTAATTGTTGCAGGGTATATAACTACTGTTAATGGGGATGATTGTGATGCACATATGCATTGGATGCCTATTTCAGAGCCTGCTATAAATACAGTAAGCGTTCCTGTTATTGCCCCTGCTCATGACCCTGTAGAAGATGGAACATTTAGGCCCCTATCCATTGAAAGAGTGTTTGCTGTTCCATGAGTAACTATCATACTGGCTGAAAGTGGTGCAATCATGAATCCTCCTGAAAATGAATAAACACTATACAAATTTGCAGAATTTGAGCCTAAGCTTAGTTTAGTAGATGAAGAAGTAAAACTTACAGGTAGTCCAATTCCAATCCAGCCAGCAGCTACATCAGAAGATACCCCAGAGTTAGGTGCTACACTTAGACTTGTAGTAACAGAAGTTCCTCCAACAGTATATGCCCCAGATGCGGGGCTTGTAAATGATCCTGAAGAAAACAAAACTTGGCCTGATGAAGTGAAGGTGCTTCCTCCTGTTCCAGTATATAGAACCATTTTATTAGCTGGGTCAGCTCCAGCCACAAGATAATAGAAAGTCTGAGTTGTAGTATAGCTTAAGGTTATATCTCCCCCATAAGGCAGATAAACAGTTACTTTAGTGTCCGCTTCAACAAATCCAAGTCCAGAGATAGTCACTGTTTCTGATGATGGATCAATAGTGGCGGTCGCTCCAGTTGCTGCACTTGCTACAGCGATTTGCACAATATCAATTGCCTCAGTCCCTAAATTGGTTCGTCCTAAAGAACTAAAAGCTATATCTAAATAATATAGGTTTTCTGTGTCTCCAAAATTAAAATTAATATTCAAAGCATGGAAAACTACAACAATTGGAATCCCAGCATAATTGTCAGTGCACAGTGAAGCAACTTTTAAATCAAAATCTGTAAGTGATGTTATTACTGAGAAAACATAGTTAGAGAATTCAGTCATTGATCCATCTGCTGTAGATGTAGCCCAAGCCCAGCACTCATAGAAAGTAGCCACATTTGATGCTACAAATGGCAATGAAACTCGAGTAGAATAAATTGAGTTATCCCCATATGAAAAAGCAAACATATTCTTACCTCCTGTTGTAGGGAATCCGAATGCATTAAATACAATCGAAATAGATCCTGGAGCTCCAGCACTGAGAGTTGGGGTATTTATAGCCGATTCAAGTGCTAGGTTGCTTGAAGTATAATCGAAGCTTTGAAGTATTTTTTCTTTATATGAGGCACCAATAGTAATATAAGACATAAGCAGCTGCACCCCTGAATTAGAAATTGGTAAATTGATAATTAATGTGGTGGTTGCAGACCAGTCGTTTTTTGGGGTCATATACCACATTAAATATTGGATTCCAGTATATCCTCCTTTTTGTTCCCCTGAAGTGAGCATTCCACTTATAGGTATTTCATTTGTAGCAGTTGCAAAGAATTGGAAACTAGTCATGCTTGTATAAGTTGAGGAAGCTCTAGAGTTGAATGACCAAGAGTATGGACTATTAGTTTGATCAATAGTCGCAGAGTTAGTTGAATCAGTAGTTACTATTGAGCTAATTCCAGCTCCTGTGGTAAGTTTGGTCAATAATGTGATTGAGATAGTTGTATTCGCTGCCAAAGTAACTTTATCTGCTATAGTTATAGTTGCCTTTGTGCTACTGACACTGCATGAAATACCTTTTACGTAGGTATTCAGATAGCATTTTGCTCTAGTATCAACGGATGTACTTGCATGATCTTGCCACCAATACCCGGAAGAAATATCTGCGTTGCCGTTAAAGGTAATGACGATTGTCCCATATGTAATTGCGTGGGCTGCTGAAAAAGTGAGTTTAGTAAACAAGTAAAAACTGTTTGAGCTGCTATTTGGGATGTCAGTTGAAGCTAAATTGCTGTTATAAGGGGCCCATGAGCTAATTGTTACGGCACCTGCGACTGGAGTCAATGGCCCATTTCCAGCAAATTGAGCAAGCAAATTCGTGGTTCCCCATCTCCAGATTTTTAGATTCCAGCTGAAATTTGAAGATAAAATAGTTGCAAGAGGAAGAATAAAGCTTGAAACTTGAAGCTTGACCTGATAACTTGAAGTTGTAATCATGTCTTGAGAAAGCCCATATATGTAAACACTGTTTGTAGCAGGAGTTGCGGTTGATTTAGCAGTGCTATATCCTCCATTAGCCCCTCCGGTAGCTGCAATAGCACAAGGTAGGCTATTGTCTCCGTTAGGACCTTTGATATAGTTAGTAATGCCTGAAATATCAACAGAAGTGCAAGTTGGGCTTGAAGGAATTGTCCAATAGGTGTCAGGGACAATTTCAAAAATGTCATGTTTCCAAAGATTAGTGCCAGCAGGAATTGTAAAAGTAAAGGTAAGTCCATCGGAGGAGCCAACAACAGCTGTAGTAGATGTCAAAGTGACCGTGGCTACTGTCAAAGAATTCGCAGAAGGTGAAGAAATAGAGGCTGAAACTGCGACACAACCAAAAATGTAGTTTGCATCGTAGATTTGCCCAGATGATGAAGTTTTAGTCACAATTTGGAAAGGCCCATAGACTCCAGCAGAAGGTAAACTTGTTCCCAAAATAAAAGAAAACGAAGTATCAGTATTTGCATTTATTGCGATAGAGTCAGATGCATAAGTTGTTGTGCTTGAAAAAGCTGATGGCACAGTCACAATAACAATTCCCAAATTCCTAGTTGTCGGCAAAGATGTTTGAGGTCTAAAATGTACAGTGACAATGACACTGGAAGTCCCAGAGTTGGTTTGAGAGAGCTCAATAGGACTAGGAGCCCAAGTATCTTTTCATCATCTGATTTTTCCAGGATCTAAGTATCCATCTTTAGCATTTCTTCTAGGATCTCCCATAGCTAATCATATAAGGGCCAGAAAGCTTATAAGCCTTTTCATTTTTGAGCTTAGATATTAAAATTTGCTTGAGAGCCCGAATTTTTGGGCATGGAATCATGAGGACTTGTGTTTGTAAAAATTAAAAAATAAAGAATGAAATTAAAGAATAAAAGCCTCCTCAAGCTAGGAATGATAGAAAAAATTATAATTCTAGTGAAAGTCGAAAGGCGAAAAATTAAAATTAAAATTTTAGGTCTAAAAAATATGGAAGAAATGCCAGCATTTTAGAAAGTCTCTTTAGAGATCAAAAAGAAGTCTAATTAGTAAAGATAAATTAAAGGAAAAATAAAAAAGCTTTAGAAATAGGAAAATATAATGTCTTAGATAACTTAAAATCAAATTAAATTATTAGGCACACTAGAGAAGATCAACGAGACCTTAATCTGGTTTTAAACATAAAAAGATTGCAAAGACACATGCCATGGAAGTTGTAGATGCATCAGAAATATTTGCTAGAGCATTGGCGGATTTATTTCACGGTTGAAATAGCTTTTGCTATTGATAAGCTTGAAATCGTCAGATTTTGCTTGAGCTTATTGGTGTTTAGGTCGAAAATCATTGTGAAAAAGGAGAAAGTTGATTTCTGCTCTCGGAAAAAAATAAGGAAGGGTTATTGTAGCTAAAAAAGCATCAGCTAAAATTATCCTCGATCAACATACATATATCGGGTATGAGAATTCATACCCATGCTCTTTGTCAAATTTTAACAACACTACTACTGGAGCATGAAGTGACAAACCCTGTCAATGTGGGTGAAACGGAAAAATATTATCCAATTTCATCTGAAAATAAAGCTCAAGGTACTCAAGGACAAACACCAATGCTATTAGCCGTCTTATTGAGACATAGCTGAAAAATATAGCTTTTCTCTGCAAAAGCCAGTTAAAATCAAGAGTACTCCAGATACACTGATATACAGGGCAAAGCGCAATAGTCTCTGCAGTGCTCAGGAAGATTTTTTAAGAAGGAACTAATATCAATATCACCTTAGAGTCAAGATCAGATTCTGTATGCTTATTTTTATATTTACAAGGTCAGAAACCAAAGCTAAGAGCATCAAAGGCAAAGCATGAGAAGCTCGATATCTAAGGCATCGAATCAAGATTCAAGTTTGACAGAAACTTTTATATTTAGATGACTGATTTTCCTTTAGTAAATTATAACAGAAGGATAAATTGAGGAAACGGTAGCTGTTATATTAAATGGTGCTTTTAAGGTGGGCACATCAATTCCTACAAGGTAACTAAAGAGTTAACTGTGCTTTAGAAGTTTTATAAGATGAGCAAACTTATCATAAAAAATAAAGCCAATCAGTATCAGGGATAAAGGCAAGATATAGAGTCCTGCGACTGAAATTGTAGGATTGACTATTAATTGAGAAGCAGAAGAGTTTGAGGGCTATAAATTGATTGGAAGACTATTGCATTAATTGAAGAAAAATTATTAATGAGCTTCAAGAAAATTAAATTAGAGCCTTGCTAAAAGGGGCCTTTAATTAAGTGATTCTTGAATTAAGCTGATCTTATGGCAAGCTACTTCTTGCTTATTATATTAATCCATACCAAAAATCTCAATCTATTTTGCCTATTTTCTTGCATTATATATTGTGAATATCTTCATTTTTTAGGGACAATATTTTCTCAATATTTTTAAATCCATTTCCAGAAGTTTTTTTTAATTTTTGAACATTCTCTGCTTTATACAATATTCAAATTTTTTAATGCCCTTTAGCTTTATCAAATACGTTTGTACTTATTATTAAAATTGCTTTTTGATATTCATCTAGCATTATTTGTAATAAAAACGTAAAACATTTCGAAGTTTTGCTTGGAATTTAGGATTTTGTAATTTTTTTAAGATTTTTGTGGAATTGTTTGCTAATACCAAGCAGCTCTTTATGAAAATCATTTTATTTATATAATCTTGCAAATTTCTTATAAATGGCATGAAGAGTATTTAAAAATTGGAGTTGCTTGATAGCATCATCATTTATAAGATATAGCCTAATGTAATCCTTATTTTTTCCCCATTAGTCAACTTAAATAGTTATCTGCTTCATCTTGCTTTCTCAACTATTTGCTACCACTTTCTCTTGTTCAGCCAATTTATCTGGCAAATCTTTTCTCACATTTTATTCCTAACTCCCCCCCCCCCCTCCGTGAGCGAACAAAAAAATTTTGTTCGCTCACGGAGGGGGGTTAATTTTTTTTTTTTAAAAAAAATTTATATATAAATTTTATAAAAAATATTTTTTTCGAAATTTAAAAAAAATCCTAATTTGCAAAAATTGGGAAGCAAATATATTAATTTAATTTGCAAAATTTATGTTTTAAAACGCAATTTGTTTAAAATTTAAACAGGATTAGCTCTAGATTTCATTATACTGGTTATCACTTATATATCAAAATTTTTTTTCCATTAAAATTTTTTCTATTAAAAAAATTTTTGTTCACTCACGGAGGGTGGGTTTTTGGTCAAAAAATGGCGATTTTTCTAATGGTTTTGTTCGCTCACGGAGGGGGGGGGGAGTAAGTATTTCTCAATGAAATAGCTTTATTGCTGTTGCACCTCAAATTTCCTTATTTCATCCTTCGCTCATCAGAACCATCATTCCTTTTTCCTTCTTTTTCAAGCTGCTGCTGGTTTTTCTCATCATCAATTTATTCCTTTCTCCAATTAACCCCTACATTTTTAGCTCTTTTTCATTTTTTCTTTATCTTCTTTTGCATCTTCAGCTTTTCCGTTCTTTTTTCATCCTCTACTCATCTCCATCATCTAAAGCCTTTTATTAATTAGAGAACCCATTATAACCTTTATTCTTGTTTCCCATTTATTCAATTTTTCTTTTCCTTCTTTATATCTTCTCAAACTCATTCCCTTTCTTTTCTAGATGCTTTAATTTAAGACAGAAATTTTTCATCAGGCTCTTCCAGGCTATTTTTTCTAATTCAGTCATTAATTCTGGCAAATCTTCTGTTATTCTAGTATTTGCTCCTGCCCTTATGCTGATTCCTATTTTGCCTGCTCTGTCCATCATCTGGGTCAGCCCTTACAAATGCAGCAAATCTCCCTCAATGCAAACAAATTCTTGGGTAGCCTACCTAGACTTTTTGCTACTCAAACTCTTTCCTTAATCTTCGTCACTCCTTTCAGTCTCAGCTCATTTTTCCTCCAACTCCCATAGTTCCTCTTTCCAGGGCTCCAGCTCATCAAATAGCAAAAATTTCTCACTATCTGAGTCAAAGCACCTTAAATTTCCTTCCCGTTTGCTTTATCTTTGGTTAAATTAAGCCAGGCCTTCATGGCATTTTTAGACTCAATTAAAAAAGTAATTGTTTGATAGCAAAATCGATTCTTAGCCTGATTTTAATTATATCATCAATCTAAAAATTAAATTAATATCTGAAGCCAAAACTCTTTATTTTTGATAAATAGGTATATTTCATAAATTTACATGAAAATAAAGTTTTTATATTAATCGATATCTCAGAATTTTTGCATAGGAGATTTATATAGGTTTCTTCAAATTTTAGATTAGCTTTCTTTATGCAAAAGAAAAATCAACAGAATTTAAATTTATAAAATATGAAAAATTCAGAGAAGACTAGAGCGCATGCAATATCAATAGATTTAAAAATTCTGCTGAAGATCTAGCCTACAATTTTTGATCTTAGCTGCAAGTTGACTATTTTTTAGACAATAATTACAATTCAAAGCACCTTAATTTTCTAAATGCAAAATTAAAAGGTGGTAGGAATGTCAGACTAATTAACTGAACACAAAAATTAACATCATAAAATTAAAAAGTTGAAAGAGAATAATAAATATGAATAAATGCCCATTACTTTCTCATTTCAATTTAAATCTGAATTTCAAAAATTCAAAATATTAAATATTCATAACTTTTATTTACTTGGCAAATCTCTCTTTTTATTATGCAAGGTAAAAATTCTTAACTCATTAATGATTTTTTCAAGAAAATAGTTTTTTATCATCTTCTGAAGAAGATAATCTTAATAAATTTTATATCAGCAATTAAAAAGGCATTGAAATATGAAGATTTAGTTACTTGTGAGTTTTTAAGTTTAAGAAAAGCTTCATTACTATATAAGAGCTAAAATCAGATAGAATTATCAGAAATTATTGTAAATTAATTCTTTTTTCTTTAAATCCCCTCCAAAATGAGCTGAAAAATTTGCTCACTCACAGATAATTTTTTTAAATTTTATATGCAATTACAATCTTAAACTCTCTTAAGGAAATCTATTAGATAGGATAAACTATATAATTTTTTTATATTTAAATTATTAAAAAATCCCCTTGTTACAAATAGAAAAATTTAGCTCCTAATCAAGGGGGAATAAGGAAAAGAATAAAAGAAAGGTCTTCTTTTTAAAAATTGTTGAAAAGCATAATAACTTTCCTATATTAAAATCCAAGAAAAGCTTCTTTGCTAAATCCCAGAAGGTAGCATAAATACTGTCCATCTTGGTATACAAAGCATTTTTACTATATGATTGCCTCGCCTGTACTTAAATTCAATTTAAATTAGAAAAAGAAGCATATTAGTATGAGAAAAGTAAAAGATAAAATGCATAAGCACAATTAAACAGAAAATGAGGCATAATTAAATAGAAAAACATAAAATCTAAGAATTTAGAGGATTTGAAAAAGATTGGCAAGTTAAAGCTTTCCAGCCAGTCAAGTTCCAGGATAAAGGTGAGCTAACCATAAGAGCTCTTTTTAATAGACAATACTTTAGTTTATTTTAATTTTTAAAATGTTTAAGCTGAAAAATGAATTTACTAAAGGCACAGTTAAAGATAAAGCTTAGTTAAGTAAGGTTAAGATAAAAGCCAAAAGTGCACTTGCGCCCATCATAGCTGCACTACTGTCATCTCCTGAGGACCCAGAAGTCTTAAATGTAATGCTTTGTAAAGGAGTAGTTGAGGTATATTCAATGCAAGAAGGTGTTACTGGGTAACTATTGCAAGCAGTGAAGTAGCAAGCATAAGAAGTCCCTGCGGTCAAACCTGTAACTGTAAGGGTTTCACTGGTGGTTGCAACAGCGGCTACGCTTGCTGAAGGAACTATTTCAGTAGTTGCATCTAATCCTTGAGACACTTGCCATGCATAAGTAATGCGGGCTGTAAGATCGTTATCTGTGCAAGAAACATATATAGTTCCAGCTTGTGTTGAAGCTGCAGTAAAGGTCACAGAGGTATCAGTATTTGCAGTCTTTGCTGGAGCAGTAGACCATGCTGGAGCTGAACCAGTCGAGATAGCTGTGGATGTTCCAAGGGCTGTTGATGTCAATGCTAATGTGCTAGAGAAGTCAGAAGTCGCCTGGGCCTGATTAGTATTGAGATTAGAAATCATGCCTGAAGAAGTATAGGCTGGATATCTGTTATCAGAAAGCACATTATAAGTGAATGTTGTTGTAGTGGTAGTGTCTTGGAGCATTCTTCTTGATGAACTTACATAAGTAAGCCATGAAGGGTTGACACCCATATTTTTAGCTAAGACTTTAGCAATGCTGCTGCTTGAGGTAGAAGGAACAGATCCAGAGAAAGTAACAGCTGTGCTATAGTATTGTGCTGCTGCATCTGTAGTAAAGTTATAAGTATTTAGAGGATAAGCAGCGGTGTTGTTGGTCAATCTTGTTGCAATATAAGCTGAAAAAGTATAGCTTGTTCCTGCCATCAGCCAATTAAAATCAATAGTAGTTCCAGCTGTAGTGATAACCTGTGAAGAAGCCCAATAGTCACTGCAATGCTCTGCCTTAATTCTTTTGAAAAATTCATTAATATCAGCATCTTTAGTAGTATCGATATCAGTTTCTGTACTTAGGTATTGGGCGGACAATTGTTCCTGAAGGGTTGAAATAGTCTTAGATGGGGTCACAAGATCAGAAACCAGGGAATACAGGCCAGCAAAATCAAGAACATGAGAGCCCTGACATCCAAATCCCCAATACAAAACTCCTGCAATTGACGATGTGACTGTAACTTTAACTTCAGAAGCGCTTACCTTGGTGATTGATAGTCCTGGAGTTGTTGCCACAATGGAAGGATAGCTTGAAGAAACAGTTACTGTCTGCTTGCTAGGTGCTGAAAAGGAAGCAGCGTCTGTTCCTCCCAAAGTAAAGCTAACAGTTGGTGATGTGGTTGAGGCTGAATATGTAGAGCCAACATTAACTTGGAAGTAAAGAGTATTGACATCAGGGCTAAAAGTAAGAGAAGTTGGGGTGACTGTAAATCCTGTGACTGAAAATGTTGGAGTTACTATTAATTGGGTAGCAGGGGCATTTACAAGAGATACTTTGATTGGAATGCTGGTATAGTACTGGTAGAGGGTTGGTAGGGTGTCAACAGTGACAGTTGCAGCAGACAAGGAGCTGCAGACTTCAATCATTGTACTTAATGGAGCGACATATAAAGGATTGGAAACTCCATCTTGCAATTTTTCAGTAGGTGTTCCCCAGTCGATGTAATAAATTCCAGATACTGCACTGCTTGTAGCGGCTACTCTGAAATTAAATTGAGAACTCATCTGGAAAATAGTGTATGAATGGAAACCTGACGTATATTTGATGTTTCCGCTATCAGGATAATTTGAATTTGGAGTTGGGCTAAGTTTATATGATTTTGACTTCATAGGCCAGTTATTGCTATCAAGAATTGAAATAGTTTGATCAGTGCTTTGTGTACCAGGCAATACTGAAACTTTTGAAGAGGAAGTAGTTGTAGAGGTTGAATAGCTTGAACCATGAACCTACAGTGTATCCAATAGAGGCTGAGTTAAGGTTAGACCAGCTTTCTGCGTAAATCTGATTCTTTGAGTTTTGGTTGATTGCAATAGTAAACTTATTGCTGTATTGGTCAAGTTTAGAAGAGCTAAAAGTGGAATAGTCAGATACGTCCCATCCGAGTACTCCTTGAGATGGCAGATTCAGGGTTGTAGAAACCTGTCAGTTGGAGTTGAATTCTGGAGGTTGTTGCAGTAGCTGTGGTCAATGAGCTTGGGAAGGTAAGGGTGACATTGCTTCCTGAGACTAAGCATGAGGTTGCAGAGCTTAAAGTATTGCTTGTTGTGGTGCTTGTAGATGAGGATGATTCATCATAATAGACAGACTTGCAAGGAACTGTGCTTCCGTTTCTTAATTTATTGTTGAATTGTGATGGGAAATAGATGGAGATGATATTGTCTGTAGTAAAGGTAGTGGATGAAGATAGGTAGAAATCAAATGTATACGTAGCTGATTTCGAAAGAGTTGTAGTATCCACTGTGGCATCTTTAAGAGAAACCATCGTTGATGGAAGACTTACAGTAGTCACTGAACCTGATTTCTGTGTATAAGCCTTAACAGATCCATCTGAGCCATATTGGTAAAAGCTGAATTTTCCAGTAGTACTTGCCACTGGGTTTTGGATTCCATCCACAGTAATATCAATACTAGCAGAGGCCGCAGTTGTTGCCTTAGTGATTCCAGTGACAGTAAGTTTCCAATGGTCAACGCTGCAATAAGTTCCGCTGGCTATTCCTAAAGCAGTTGAACTGCAAGTAGTATAATAGTTATTAGGTGAGCAGTCAGGGAATACAGCACTGGCAAGTCCAAGAAGAGGGCTAAAGTCTTTAGGGAACTCAATTACAAAGGTATCAGAAGTAGCCACCACGACAGCTGATGAGAAAGCAAAGATATAAGAAGTCGTCTCATCTGCAGTTTGTGAGTGAAGAGCGAGAATTGAGGTTAAAGTGATAGCGTTGCTTACAGCAGTTCCTATTACCTGTTGGAATGTTGCTGGAGATGCAGAAGCAGAATCAGCTGTAATTGAAACTCCGTTCCATGAGGATGCAATTGTCCAGCCTGTGGTTGTAGAATTGGAGGTAGGAAGAACTAAAGCCATATCCAAGTATACCTTCATTGCTGTGTTTGCAGCAAGAGCGTTGCTTAATTGTATACTAATTGCAGTGCCTGAAACTGTGCAAGCATAGTAGTCTTGGTCAGTCCAACAAGCGCTTGAGACGTCTCCAGAAGTCAAGGCTAATGAGCTGACAAATCCTGGAGTAATTGATATTATGCCATACTGAGGGACTGCTTTTGATAAAGAAAATGTAAGATATATATCAGCGGTTGCTCCAGCTACATTTGGATATGCTTTAGAAGTAAAAGAATTAGTATTTGTGGTGCCTGCTTCAGTTGAAACTACTACAGTGACAGAGTTAGTTAAGCCTGATGCAGAATCTATAGCATCGCTACTTGCATCATAAGTTGTTACATCTGTAAAGCAAGCTGGTGAGCCTGCAGTGGCGGAGGTTAGGATTACATGGTACAGCTTAACACTGACTGAACCTGCAGCAATTTGAGAAAATTGAGTCAAAGTGACTGTTGTTCCTGATATAGCACATGTCACTTTGAGATTGTCAGCTGTGGATTGGTCAGTGAACCCAACTCCTTCACATTTGCTTACAATAGGAGATGATGATGGCAATGTCCAGGTGCTTGAAGCAAGAGTAATAGTAATTGACCCACCTGCAGGAATAGGGTTTATAGTTGTAAATGATAAGGTGAGGGTAGAATCGACTGAGTCTGAGCCTTGAGCGTAGAGTTTGTCTAGTGAACAGGTATCACCAGTAATCGTTGCAGGGTTGATAGTTACTGTTATTGGGGATGCTTTTGATGCGCATGTGCATTGGCTGCCTATTGTAGAGCCTGATATAAATACAGTAAGCGTTCCTGATCCTGCCCCTGATGACCCTGTAGACGGTGGAACAGTTAAGCCACTATCCATTGAAAGAGTGTTTGCTGCTCCTTGAGTAACTTTAGTAGTGGCTGAAAGTGGTGCAATCAAGAATCCTCCTTTAAATGAGCTGCTGGATGAAGCGACCTTATACAAATCTGCATTATTTGAGTTTAGGCTTAGCTTAGTAGATGAAGAAGTAAAACCTGCAGGTAGTCCAACTCCAATCCAGCCTGCAGTTACATCGGAAGTTATCGAAGAATCAGGTGTTACACTTAGTGTTGTAGAAACAGAAGTTCCTCCAATAGTGTATGTCCCAGATCCAGGGGTCGTAAATGATCCTGCAGAAAATTTTACTTGACCTGTTGAAGTAAAGGTAGTTCCTCCTGTTCCAGTATATAGAACCATTTTATTATCTGGGTCAGCTCCAGCCACAAGATAATAGAAAGTTTGAGTTGTAGTATAGCTTGTAGTAATGTCTCCTCCATAAGGTAGATAAACGGTAACTGTAGTGTCCGCGTCAACAGATCCAAGTCCAGAGATAGTCACTGTTTTTGATGTTGGGTTAAGACTGGCTGTCGCTCCAGTTGCTGCACTAGCTACAGGGATTGTTTCTTTACCAGATGCCCCAGTCCCTAAATTGCTTGATCCTAAAGAGTTAAATTCTACATCTAGATAATATAGGTTACTTGTGTCTCCGAAATTAAATTTAAGATTCAAAGCATGGAAAACTACAGCAATTGGAATTCCAGCATAATTGTCTTTGCACAGTGAAGCAACTTTTAATGCAGAATCAGCTTGTGATGTTATTACTGAGAAAACATAGTTAGAGAATTCAGTTACTGCTCCATTTGTTGTAGATGAAGTCTTAGCCCAACACTCATAGAAAGTAGCCACATTTGATGCTACAAATGGCAGCGCATTTTGATAACTAGCAGCTGAGTTATCCCCATATGAAAAAGCAAACATGTTCTTACCTCCTGTTGTAGGGAATCCGCTTGCCATAAATGCAATCGAAATAGATCCTGGAGTTCCAGCAGTGAGAGTTGGCGTGTTTACAGCCGTTCCAAGTGCTACAGCGCTTCCAGAATAATCTGAGCTTTGAAGTATTTTTTCTTTATATGTGGCGCCAGTCGTAATATAGGATGAAAGTAGCTGCACCCCTGTAGAAGAAAATGGTAAACCGACTTTTAATGTGGTGGTTGCAGACCAGTCGTTTTTTGGGGTCATATACCACATTAAATATTGGGATCCAGTATATCCTCCTTTTTGTTCCCCTAAAGTGAGTGTTCCGCCAGAAGGTATGGAATTTGTAGCAGTTGCAAAGAATTGGAAACTAGTCATAGGCACATAAGTAGAAGCTGCAGTGTTAAATGACCAAGAGGTTGTAGAAGTAATTTGATCAATATTCGCAGAGGTAGTTGAATCAGTAGTTATTATTGAGCTAATTGCAGCTCCTGAGGTAAGTTTGGTCAATAATGTGATTGAGATAGCTGTATTCGCAGCCAAAGTAACTTTGTCTGCTATAGTTATAGTTGCCTTTGTGCTAGCGACGCTGCATTTAATACCTTTTACGTAGGTATTCAGATAGCAATTTGCTCTAGTATCATCGGATGTGTCAGCATGATCTTGCCACCAATACCCAGAAGAAATATCTGCGTAGCTATTAAAGGTAATGACGATTGTCCCATATGTAATTGCGTGGGCTGCTGAAAAAGTGAGTTTAGTAAACAAGTAAAAACTGTTTGAGCTGCTATTTGGGATGTCAGTTGAAGCTATATTGGTGTTATAAGGAACCCATGAGCTAATTGTTACGGCACCCGCGACTGGAGTCAATGGCCCAGTTCCAGCATATTGAGCAAGAAGGTTGGTAGTTCCCCACCTCCATATTTTTAGATTCCAGCTGAAATTTGAAGTTGAAACAGCTGAGAGAGGAAGAGTAAAGCTGGAAACTTGAAGCTTGATCTGATAACTTGATGTTATAAGCACATCTTGAGAAAGCCCATATATATAAATACTGTTTGTAGCAGGAGTTGCAGTTGATTTAGCAGTGTTATATCCTCCATTAGCAAGTCCACTAGCTGCAATAGCACAAGGTAGGCTATTGTCTCCTTTAGGACCTTTGATATTGTTAGTAGTACCTGAAATGTCGACAGAAGCACAAGTTGGGCTTGAAGGAATTGTCCAGTGGGTGTCAGGGACGATTTCAAAAATGTCGTGTTTCCAAAGATTAGTGCCAGCAGGAATTGTAAAAGTAAAGGTAAGTCCATCTGAAGAGCCAACATAGGCTGTAGAAGAGGTCAAAGTGACCGTGGCTACTGTCAAAGAATTCGCAGAAGCTGAAGAAACAGAGGCTGAAACTGCGACACAACCAAAAACGTAGTTTGCGTCGTAGATTTGACCACCTGATAAAGTTTTAGTCACAATTTGGAAAGGCCCATAGACTCCAGCAGAAGGTAAAGCTGTTCCCAAAGTAAAAGAATACGAAGTATCAGTATTTGCCTTTATTGCCATAGAGCCAGAAGTATAAGTTGTTGTGCTTGAAAAAGCTGATGGTACAGTCACAATAACAAACCCCATATTTCCTGTTGTTGGTAAAGATGTTTGAGGTCTAAAATTGATATTGACAGTGACACTGGAAGTCCCAGAGTTGGTTTGAGAGAGCTCAATAGGATTAGGAGCCCAACTGTCTTTCCACCATCTGATTTTTCCAGGATCTAAGTATCCATCTTTAGCAGTTCTTGTAGGATCACCCATAGCCAGTCATATAAGGGCTAGAAAGCTTATAAGACTTTTCATTTTGAGCTTAGAAATTCAAATTTGCTTAATGTGTAGCATAATCAAAATATGGCGACATCCAAATCGCATGTTCTCCCGAGCAGAGATTCCTCTTTGGCATATTTTTATTATGAGGTATTTGGACACCTATCACTTAGGGAATTTAATTTTCTAGAAATATGCAACCAATCTAGGCTGTGGAAATGTTCCTAATAGACACAAGCTGGTTTTATTCATAGCTGGAAGGATAGCTATTGAAATTCCAGAGGGGCCATTCCGATCTAGATCAAGTGGCGAACGATATGTGATCGGCGAGAGAAACTCTAAAGCATTAGCGGAAGCCCATGCAATTGATCCAATATTGGACGTTAAACGAAGACGAAATATAAATAGTTAAGCTTAAATGCGTTTCAAAACTGAAACCTTAAAAAAATTTTAACGATTTTTTTTTTTGCGCGTAACGGGGGTTTTTAAACTTTCACTATGTATATGGATTTTTTCTGAGCAAGTCTATAATTATAAAGATGCCGGAGGCAAAACTTAAGCTCCTGCCCCTGGGAAGCAGATAGAAGGTATGGGAATATGTTTGGAATAAGTTCCTAAGAAAAAAGTGAAGAAAAACAGATTTAAGGAAGAATTTTTGGTGTTTTAGACTCAGATTTTGACGAAAAAATTTTGAAATTCTGATTTAAGAAGGATCTAAGGTCAGAGAAGATAGCATTGAGAAGATATTGAGTAAAGGAGTGTACATTTTGAGTTTGACCTAGAATTAACCATAAAACATCAATTTAGAGAGCCCGGATTTTTGGCATGGAATCATGAGGACTCGTCTTTTTAGGTAAAAATTAAAAATAATGGAGGAAATTGAAGAAAACAAGCCTCCTGAAGTTATGAACGATAGGAAAAATCATAATCTTAACGAAAGGCCAGTGGTGAAAAAATTAAATTTTAGGTTTGACGACAACTAAGAAATATGGAAGAAAAGCCAGCATTTTTGAAAATCGAATTGAATTCTTAAGAGCCCAAGAATAAGTCCAATCAACGAGGATAAATTAAAGGAAAATATAAAAACTTTAGAAATAGAAAGTTATAGTGTCTTAGCTCTCTCCTTTAAATCTGATCAAAATATCAGTAAAAATTTCCATTTTTAGGTACTTTAACCCTTTTAAATTGAAACAAAATTTATTTTTTGAATAGGAAAATGCTATATTTTAAAATAAAATTAAAAAACTCTTTTCAATTTATATTGTTTAAATTTTAAAAAAATTTTATAAAAATTTTTCTTAATTTAATTTTTAAGCTTTTTTTTAAATTAAGAGGAGGAGTAAATTATTTTCTAGTCAGATGCTCAATATCAGGAAACTTGAATAAAATCTTTGTAATCGAGATCTTTAGTAAAGCTTTTCATAGGACTGATGGCCAACTTCTTTGATTTTTTGCACAAAGTCTAGCCTGATAGCCGAAGGAAGAAAAGAAGGCTATTCTTGCCTCCCTTTTTAATCCATTTGCTTTCTAATTTATGGTATAGAATTTGTTTAAAATTTCTATTTGTTCTTAGAAAGCTTAATTTCAGCTTTTGTGTGTTAAAAAATTGCAATATTTTGCCATCTCTCTTCATTTATGCCTCACGAAATACTTGCCCTTTTTAGAGATTTAGGCCAGGGATACTACCTGAGTATAAAAGTAATTACATAAATTCTGATTAAAGGCTTTTTTGGTTTTACCATTGAAATTTATGCTTATCGTTAAAAACAATCTTATTTTTTAGCTTCTGTAAAGGATTTAAAAAATATTGAAATTCTTGAAAAGTCACCTTTAATCAGCCCTTAAAAATTTTTCTTTCAAAAACCCAGAAGAGCACTATAAGAGCCTTTAATAAAATTTTTTAATTGTATATTTAAAGTCAGATAAAAAATTTATGAGCTCAGAAGCAAAATAAATTGATTATCCCGGGAAAAGTAATATAATCTTTTAAGGTTTAATTTTGCATTAAGAATTTGATAAAGACTTCCAATCAAAAAAAGAGTAAATTAAATAGCTTTTAAAGGCAAATTTATGGTAAAATAGCTCAAAAAATTTTTAATAGAATTTCCCTTTATATTAGAAATTAGATGAATTTATTAGGCAAATTTTAATATTAAAATTTACTGAATTTATTAGGCCAATTTTAATATCAAAATTTTGAAATTATTGAAATTTTACAATAAAAAGTTTAGAATTAAATACTAATAAGTTTTATTCAAAACTAGAGGAGATTAATCACACCTTAATTGGTTTTAAAATAAAAAAAATGCAAAAATGCGAAAATTTAAAAATTTAAAAATCCATAAGAAAATAAATCCTATTATTTAAAAAATTGTTAAATATACCAGAAGGAGTATTAAATTTATTAGGCTAGTTAAAATATAATTAAATCTCTCAAATTGCTTTAAATAAAAAATTTTCCATTTTGTTTAGAGTATTCAGTATTTTTGTAAATTATAAGATGGTGAAGAATGGCTATCAGAATAAGAAATCAGGGACCAAAAATACAAGGCATTCCAGTGATGAAATTTGTGAAAGTGAAAGCAAAGAGAATAATGAAAATCAAGCAGCATCTTCTGGCCTAGATTCGCAACAAAGTGAAAATAATCAAAGTCAAGGAGAAGAAGAGGATAGACGATTATTAGCTTTCAAAAACACTGCAGTTGGCTGTGTTATGTACTTTTTACGAAAGCACAGCCCAGCTCCTATCGAAAAAATTATTGAATTTGTAAAGTCTAAGGAAGATTCCCTCGTTAATTCAAAAAAGCATAAATATAAGAAAAGCGCCTTTGAGATAGTGGATTATGCTTTGACTTGATATCCAAAGCTTTTCTTATTAAATGATCGGTTTCACTATTACTTAAATGTAATTAAGAATTAGGAAAAAGAGGCAGAAAAGCACGAAAAAAAGTACAAATCGATGGAGAATGCAAATTCTGGCAAAAGGAAATTGAAATATAAGGAAAAAGCTGAAAAGAGAAGGGAAAATATCGAAAAGATGAATAGAATCAGAACGCAGATTGAAGATGACTTAAGAAGTGGGACGGCCGAACCTTCTTTACTTACTAAAACCTATAAGGTTTTAACTTCAGGCGATCAGAAAGCAGCTGAGGATCTTAAATCAGTGATAAGATCTGCTTATCTTGAATTCAGGGGCTTATCTCCTTAAATAAGACTTTAATTTAGTCACTAAGATGTTAAAAGCTAATTATTTTCTTTCTTCTCCCTAATACAAAGTTTTTAATGTTTTTGATAAATCTTATTATTCGTCATAATATCTTGTTTAAATCACAACAGTTTAGTCTGGTATAAATTTGAATGACTCTAAGCCCTAATCGTTTTAACTGTTTACACCCAAAAAAAGATTAGTGGACTTCCATATTATTTTCATATTTTCGAAATTTTTAGCCTTATGCTTATAAGTGAATTTATTCACCACTCAGGATGGCGGACTCTTCCCAATCCAAAAACTTAGCTTAAGGCTTGCTTATTTTTTTACTTCTTAAAAATCATATTTCCTTTAAAAAAATCAACTTATTGTTTAAAAATAAATTTTTTAATTCACTTTTTTAGTAATAAAATTTCAATTATTATTTTTTGATTATTTAATCTTAATTTTACTGATTGCTAATAATATTAAGAATTGACAATAAAAAAGATTAAATAGTCTAAGAAAAAGTCAAGATAATTTCAATTATTATTTTTTGATTATTAGCATTAAAATTATTCATAAAAACTATTTCTTAACTGATTGCTAGTCGTATTAAGAATTGACAATAAAAACAGATTAAATAGTCTAAGAAAAAGTAAAATAAAATTATGATAATTTCAATTATTATTTTTGATTTTTTAGTTTTAAAATTATTCCTAAAAATTGATTGCTAATAATATTAACAATTGACTATAAAAAAGATTAAATAGTTTAAGAAAAAGTTAAGATAATTTCAATTATTATTTTTTAATTTTTTTAGTCTTAAAATTATTCTTAAAACCTATTTCTTAACTTTTTGCCAAAAATATTAAGAATTGATAATAAAAAAGTTAAATAATTGAAGAAAAATTTATTTAATAAAATTATGATAATTGCTAAAGTTGGACTTTCTCCAATCATAATGGACTATTCTCCCAGAGCTCGAAGACACATTTGTCTTAATTGATTTATTATGCAATGGATTACTCTATAATTATTTTAAGAAGTGGAGGGCAAGCAAAAATATACAAAACGTCAGAAATTAGACTTTGAGAAATTTCTGGAAGTAAAAAATAGACTCTCTTTTTAAAAAACATAGCAAAGTCGAATAAAATAAACTTTAATAGAAAATCAGCAAAACCCTAATGTTGGGAGTTTTCTGCAAGCTGCCTAGCCATCTGTAAATACTTCTACAGCGTTAGTACTCCATTAGAATAAGCTTAGATAAATTATTCCAAATCCTATTGTTGCCTATATAGTAAAATCTAAAATTTTCTATTCCTCTGCCATAAATTCCGAATTACCATTTGAGATTCTGATTGAATTTAATCAAATTCTGCAGTGGGGTGATTTGTCCATCTCCATCTTCTATTCCAAGCTGAGTATTAGTAAAATAAGCTTCTATCTCATTTTCGTTATTAAAAACCTCAGCTATTTAAAGAGCTTTATAACAGCAGCTTTAGATATTTCGCTGTCTTCTACAATGGTCATCATAGACTGTTCTCTGACAAAGTAATAGAAAATCAAATTGACTACTTTCTTATTGAGCGTCTTGATTGAAAAAATTTCGATCTTCTTTCTTTTGATTGAAAAGCTTAAATTAATAAAGTGATCTCAGAAACATATTATGCCACATGTCAGTGTTGCTTGACTACGCTACTCCCACTTGTTGGCATCAATTTACTGCGTTTTCTTCATTTCTGAGTAAAATTATAGGCTATCAAGGACAAAACGCAATTTTGTTTGTCATCTTGCCGAGATATAGCTGAAAAATATAGTTTTTCTCCTCAAAAGCCAGCTAAAATCAAGATTACTCAATCTAGCGATATATCCACAAAGCCCAACAGTCTTTGCAGTGATCAAAAAGTTGTTTAATATCAATATCATCTTGGGAATTTTCTGTATGCTGATTTTAATATGTAAAAAGATCAGAAACCAAAGCTAAGAGCCCATCAAGGGGAAGACAGGAGAAACTCGTCATCTAAGACCCCAAATCAAGACTGAAGTTTTACAGAAACTTTTGCATCAGATGATTGATTTTTGTGACTGATAATCCTTTAGTGGCTGCGACAACAGAAGGATAACTTGAGGAAGCAGCAGCTACCACCCTAAATGGTGCCAAAAAGTTGGCAACATCAATCTCTATAAGGCAAATGAAAGAGTTGACTGTGCTTTGGAAGCTTTATAAGATGATCAAGCTTATCTTAAAAATAAAATTTAAAGGCAAGATAAGTAGGGTCCTGTGACTGAAAATGTAGGGGTGATTATCAATTTAGGAGTAGGAGAGTTGGAGGGTTTTACATTGCTTAGAAGACTGCTGCATTATAGAAGAAAAAATATGAATTAACTTCAAGAAAATTAAATTAAAGCCTTGATCAAAGAGGCCTTTAATTAAGCGATCCTTGAATTATGCTGACCTTAATAATAGCCCCAATTCTTGTTTATTGCGTTAAACACACCAAAAAAGTCGATCTTCTTTATCTATTTTCTTTCACTTTATATTTGAAAATATTTTTCTCTATTTAGGGAGGACATATTCTCATTATTAAATTTGTACTTTGCTAAATTCATTTCCATCAGTGGTTTTAAATTTTTAAACATTCTCTTGCTTATAACATTTTTCTCTGATTTTCTGTATATAATGGCTCAATAGCAATAAAGTAAATTGAAAATTATTTATTGAAAATTTTAATTACCCTCTAGGCTTTATCAAATACGTTTACTTTTTGGTATAATAGCTTCATATAAAGATTATTTAGGATTTTCTAAATTTTATATTTTTGTTGCATGAAATTGTTTGCTAATATCAAAGCAACACTGCATGAAAATCATTTTTATATAATCTTGCAAATTTCTTATAAATGGAATAAAGAGTGAATAAAAATTGATAGCATCATCATTATTGGATCCAGTTTAATGCAACCCTTATGGGTTTTCTCCATTAGTCAACTAGAATAATAACGCATCATCTTGCTTCCTCCGCTACTTGGTTCTACTTCAGCCAATGTAACAAATCTTCTCTCCATATGCTTTATCTTTAACTCCTCTGTGTGAGCGAACAAAAAAATTTTGTTCACTCACGAGCGGGGTTATATAAATTTTATAGAATTTTTGTTTTTTAAAATTTAAAAAAATTTGAGAAGCAACTGTTTAAAATTAATAAGAATTAGTTAGAGATTTCGTTATAATAATTATCATTTATATAACAAAAATTTTTGTTCGCTCGCGGAGGTGGGCTTTTATTCAAAAAATAGGGATTTTTCCAATGGTTTATTCACCCATGGGGGAGTAAGTATTTCTAAATGAAATAATTTTATTTTTGCATCTGCACTTCAGATCACTTTATTTCTTCCTTCCCATCAGAGTCTTCACCTGCTTCTTCCTTTCTTCCCACTGCTACTAGCTTTTTACCTTTCTCAAAGTTAACCCCTAAATTTTCAGCTCTTCTTCATTTCATCTTTATATTCTTTTTTATCTTCAGCTCCACCCTTCTTTTATAATCTTCTCTTTTTGCTTCTCCTCTTAGGATAATCTCCATCATCTAAAGCCCTTGGTAAACTAAGAAACCTGCCATGATAATCATTTTCCTTTCCCAGATGCTCAGCTTTCTCTCCGTTCTTCTCTACTTTCTTTTCTTTAAGCCGGAGGTTTTACTTCAGGTTCTTCCAGGTCACTTCTTCTATTTCAGAAATTAATTCTGGCAAACCTTTGAAACTCCATTATTTGCTTCTTCCCTTATGCTGATTCCCATTTTGCCTGCTCTGTCTATCGCCTGTATCAGTTCTTCCCAATGTAGCAAATCTCTCTCCATACAAGCTAATTTTCTTGAGTAGCCTACATAGATCTCCTTGTCTCTCCCCTCGCCTTCATCTTTGTCGCTCCTTTCGACCTCAGCTCATTCTTCTTCCAATTCCCATAATTCCTCTTCCCAGGACTCCAGCTCAAACAATAGCATAATTTTTTCAATATCTGATTCAAGTTTCCTTCCAATATGCTTAATATTTGGTCAAATTCCAAAACAGCTTTGATGAATCAAGCCTTCATGGCATTTTTAGACTCAATATGAGAAAGATTAAATGCTTGACAACAAAATCGATTGCTTAGGCTGATTTTAATTATATAAGCTTCATGCTAAAATAAATGCTATCGTCTTTCTAAAAATTAAAATAATTCCTGAAGCCGGAACATTTTATTTTCGATAAGTAGGGAGAATACATAAATTTGTATGAAAATAAACAATATTTTCGAGTTTTTATATTAATAGATGTCTAAGTCTTTTTGCATAAGAAATTTAGAATGATTCTCAAAATTTAGATAACCTTTCTTTATTCAAAACACAAATTAAATTTATATATAAAAGCAGGGAAAATACTAAAAACTCAGAGAAGACCAGAGTGCATGCAATATTAAAAATTCTCTTGATAATCTAAAATGCATTTTTTGAGCTTAGCTACAATAAAGTCCTCTAATTGAATATTCCCTTAGACAATATTTACAATCTAAAACTCCAAGGCTAATTTTCCTAAATGTAAAAGAAAAGGCTACAGGAATAATTAGACCAATTAACTTGCAAGACTGAACACAAAAATCAAGATCTTAAAATTAAAACCATCGAAGGAGAAGAATAAATCGGAATTTTAAGCCCATGACTCTCTCAGTTTACAATGAAAATCTGAATTTCAAAGTGAAATTTACTCTCTTTTTATTCTGCAAGGTAAAAAACTCATCTCGAAAATATTTTTTATCTCTCCTTAAGAGAAATATTGAAGATATTCAAATAAATCGATTATAACAAATTAAAGGCATTGAAATATAAAATTTAATACATTGTAAGTTTTTTGAGTTTTTTAGAAGCTTCATTGCTATATAAGAGTTAAATCAAATAGTTAATCAGAAAATATGACAAATTAATTCTTCTTTTTTAAATCCCTCCGCAATGAGCCAAAACATTTGCTCGCTCACAAATAGCTTTATTTTTATTTTATATGTAATTGTCATCTTAAACTCTCTTAAAGAAATCTATTAGAGAGGCAAACGACATGATTTTAAAATATAAAATTAATTGGGAGTAAGGAAAAGAATAAAAGAGGTCTTTCGTTTAAAAATTGCTGAAAAAGCATAATGAACTTTCCTAAAATATTGAAATCCAAGAAAAGCTTCTTTACGAAATCTAAAAAGAACTTGAATATTAGAAAAATAATCAGATTAGCATGAGAAAAGCAAGATAAAATGCATAGGCATAATTAAAGAGAAAATGAGGCATAATTAAATAGAAAAACATAAAACTTAAGAATTTAAAGGATCTGAAAAAATTGAAAAGTGAAGGCTTTCTAGCCGACATCTCAAGTCAAGTTCCAGGATATAAAAAATATATAGATTAACCATAAGATTAGCTCTCTTTAATATACAACGTTTTACTTTATTTTTCATGTTTAAGCTGTTTAAGCTATAAAATTAATTGATTAAAGGCACAGTTAAAGGTAAAGCTTAGTTAAGTAAAGTTAAGATAAAAGCCAAAAGTGCACTTGCGCCCATCATAACTGCACTGCTGTCGCTGCCTGAGGATCCAGAAGTCTTAAATGATATGCTTTTCAAAGGATTATTTGAGGAATAGTCAATGCAAGAAGGTGTTACTGGGTAACTATTGCAAGCAGTGAAGTAGCAAGCATAAGAAGTCCCTGCGGACAAACCTGTAACTGTAATTCCCCTGATCAAAAATAGACATTTTTACATATAAAATCATTAGAAAAAGCCAGTCTGAAGAATAAAAGAGGTAAGAGTTTCGCTGGTGGCAGCAACGCTGGCTACATTTGCTGAAGGGACCTTTTCTGTAGTTGCATCTAATCCATTAGTAACTTGCCATGCATAAGTAATGCGGCCTGTAAGATCGTTATCTGTGCAAGAAACATATATAGTTCCAGCCTGTGAAGAAGCTGCAGTAAAGGTTGCAGAGGTGTCAGTTGAAGCAGTCTTTGCAGGAGCAGTGGACCATGTTGGAGTTGTTCCAGTCGAGACAGCTGTGGATGTTCCAAGGGATGTAGCAGTTAATGATAGTGTGCTAGAGAAGTCAGAAGTTGCCTGGGCCTGATTAGTATTGAGATTAGAAATCATCGCTGAAGAAGTATAGGCTGGATATCTGCTATCAGAAAGCACATTATAAGTAAATGTTGTTGTAGAACTAGTGCCTTGGAGCATTCTTCTTGTTGAACTTACATAAGTAAGCCATGAAGGGTTGACACCCATGTTTTTAGCTAAGACTTTAGCAATGCTGCTGCTTGATGATGAAAGAACAGATCCAGAGAAAGTAACGGCTGTGCTATAGTATTGTCCTGCTGCATCTGTTGTAAAGTTATAAGTATTTAGAGGATAAGCTCCTGTGTTGTTGGTCAATCTTGTAGCAATATAAGCCGAAAAAGTATAGCTTGTTCCTGCCATCAGCCAATTAAAATCAATAGTAGCTCCAGCTGTAGTGATAACCTGTGAAGAAGCCCAATAATCACTGCAATGCTCTGAATGAATTCTTCTGAAAAATGAATTAATATCAGTATCCTTTTTAGATGTATTAATATCTGTTTCTGTATTTTGGTATTGGTGGGACAATTGTTCCTGAAGAGTTTGAATAGTCTTAGATGGGGTCACAAGATCAGAAACCAGGGCTGACAGGCCAGCAAAAGTAAGAACCTGAGAGCCTTGGCATCCAAGTCCCCAATACAAAACTCCTGCAATTGTCGATGTGACTGCAACTTTAACTTCAGAAGCACTTACCTTGGTGATTGATAGTCCTGGGGTTGCTGTCACAATGGAAGGATAACTTGTAGAAACAGTCACTGTCTGCTTGCTAGGTGCTGTAAAAGCAGCAGCATCTGTTCCTCCCAAGGTAAAGCTGACAGTTGGTGATGTGGCTGAGGCTGAGTAGGCAGAGCCAACATTAACTTGGAAGTAAAGAGCATTGACATCAGGGCCAAAGGTAAGAGAAGTCGGGGTGACTGTAAATCCTGTGACTGAAAAAGTAGGAGTCACTGTTAACTGGGAAGCAGGGGCGTTTGCAAGAGATACTTTGATTGGAATGCTGGTATAGTATTTGTAGAGGGTTGGTAAAGTGTCAACAGTGACAGTTGCAGGAGTCAAAGAGCTGCAGACTTCAATCATTGTACTTAATGGAGCGACATATAAAGAATTAGTAACTCCATCTTGCAATTTTTCAGTAGGTGTTCCCCAGTCGATGTAATAAATTCCAGTTGCTGCACTGCTTTTAGCGGCTACTCTGAAATTAAACTGAGGAGTCATCTGATAAACTGTGAAGGCATGAAAAGCTGATGTATATTTGAGGTTTCCGCTATCAGGGTAATTTGCATTTGAAGTAGGGCTCAATTTAAATGATTTTGACTTCATTGGCCAGCTATTGCTATCAAGAATTGAAATAGTTTGATCAGTGCTTTGTGTTCCAGGCAATAATGAAATTTTTGAAGAGGAAGCAGTGCTAGAAGTTGAATAACTTGAGCCATAGCCTACAGTGTACCCAATATAGGCTGAGTTAAGGTTAGGCCAGCTTTCTGCATAAATCTGAGTTTTACTGCTTTGGCTGATTGCAATAGAAAACTTATTACTGTATCGGTCAAATTTAGTAGAGCTAAAAGTGGAATAGTCAGATATGTCCCATCCTGCAGTTCTTGATATGCCTGATTCAGGGTTGTAGAAGCCTGTCAGTTGGAGCTGGATTCTTGAGGTTGTTGCGGTAGCTGTTGTCAATGAGCTTGGGAAATTAAGGGAGACATTGCTTCCTGAGACTGAGCATGAGGTTGCAGAGCTTAAAGTTTGGCTTGTTGTGGTGCTTGAAGACGAGGATGATTCATCATAGTAGACAGACTTGCAAGGAACTGTGCTACCGTTTCTTAATTTGTTGTTGAATTGTGATGGGAAATAGATGGAAATGACATGGTCTGTAGTAAAGGTGGTGGATGCAGAGAGGTAGAAATCAAATGTATACGTAGCTGATTTCGAAAGAGTTGTAGTATCCACAGTGGCAGCTTTAAGAGAAACCATCGTTGATGCAAGACTTGTGATAGTCGCTGCAGTTGCTTTCTGTATATAAGCCTTAACAGATCCATCTGAGCCATATTGGTATAAGCTGAATTTTCCAGTTGTAGTACCTGCTGCTGGGTTTTGGATTCCATCCACAGTAATATCGATACTTGCAGTAGTCGCAGTTGTTGCCTTAGTAATTCCAGTAACAGTAAGTTTCCAATGGTCAACACTGCAATAAGTTCCGCTAGAAATGCCTAAAGCAGTTGAGCTGCAAGTAGTATAAAAGTTATTAGGTGAGCAGTCAGGGAATACAGCACTAGCTAGTCCAAGAAGAGGGCTAAAGTCTTTAGGGAACTCAATCACAAAGGAATCTGAAGTAGCCACCACAACAGCTGATGTGAAAGTAAAGGTATAAGAAGTCGTCTCATCTGCAGTTTGTGAGTTAACAGCGGCAACTGAGCTTAAAGTGATAGCGCTGTTAACAGCAGCTCCGACAGTTTGTGGGAATGTTGCTGGAGATGCTGAAGTAGAATCAGCTGTGATTGAGACTTCACCCCATGTGGATGAAATTGTCCAGCCTGTGGTCGTAGAATTGGAGGTAGGAAGGACTAAAGCCATATCCAAATATACCTTCATTGCTGTGTTTGCAGCAAGAGAGTTGCTTAATTGTATACTAATTGAGGTGCCTGAAACTTTACAAGAATAGTAGTCTATGTCAGTCCAGCAAGAACTTGAGACGTCTCCAGAGGACAAGGCTAATGAGCTGACAAATCCTGGAGTAATTGATATTATGCCATACTGAGGGACTGCTTTTGATAAAGAAAATGTAAGATATATATCAGCGGTTGCCCCAGCTACATTTGGATATGGTTTAGAAACAAAAGAATTGGTGTTTGTGGTACCTGCTCCAGTTGAAACTGCTACATCAACTGATTTAGTTAAACTAGATGCAGAATCTATAACATAGCCTTTTGCATCATAAGTTGTTACAGCTGTAAAGCAATTTATTGAGCCTGCAGCCGTGGAGGTTGGGATTACATGGTTCAGCTTTACACTAACTGAACCTGCAGCAATCTGAGAAAATTTAGTTAAAGTGACTGTTGTTCCTGATGCATTACATGATTGTTGGAGAGTTTTGGATTGGTCAGTGAACCCAACTCCTTGGCAGGTGCTGAAAAGAGGATCTGATGATTTCAATGTCCAGGCGCTTGAAGCTAGAGTAATAGTAATTTTCCCACCTGCAGGAATAGGGTTTACAGTTGTAAATGTTAAGGTGAGGGTGGAATCGACTGAGTCTGAGCCTTGAGCGAAGGGTTTATCTAGTGTGCAACTATCAGCCGTAATCGTCGCAGGGTTGATACTTACTGTTATTGGGGATGATTGTGATGCGCATGTGCAAGCGTTGCCTATTGTAGAGCCTGCTATAAATACAGTGAGCGTTCCTGATCCTGCCCCTGATTCTAACCCTGTAGAAGATGGAACATTTAGGCCCTGATCCATTGAAAGAGTATTTGCTGCTCCTTGAGTAACTACCATACTGGACGAAAGTGGTGCAATCATGAATCCTCCTTTAAATGAGCTGCTTGATGAAGCAGCACTATACAAATTTGCAGAATTTGAGCCTAAGTTTAGTTTAGTTGACGAAGAAGTAAAACCTGCAGGTAGCCCAACTCCAATTCAGCCTGAATTTACATTGGAAGTTATCGAAGAGGCAGGTGTTACACTTAGTGTTGTAGAAACAGAAGTTCCTCCAATAGTATATGATCCAGATGCAGGGCTCGTAAATGACCCAGAAGAAAACTTAACTTCACCTGATGAAGTGAATGTGCTTCCTCCTGTTCCAGTATATAGAACCATTTTATTAGCTGGGTCAGCTCCAGCCACAAGATAATAGAAAGTTTGAGTTGTAGCATAGCTTGTAGTTATATCTCCTCCATAAGGCAGATAAACGCTAACTTTAGCGTTCGTGTCAACAGATCCAAGTCCAGAGATAGTCACTGTTTTTGATGTTGGGTCAAGAGTGGCGGTCGCTCCAGTTGCTGCACTAGCTACAGGGATCGTTTCTTTACCAGTTGCCCCAGTCCCTAAATTGCTTGATCCTAAAGAATCAGTAAAAGTCACATCTAGATAATATAGGTTTGTTGTGTCTCCGAAATTAAATTTCATATTCAAATGGTCAAATAAGGTACTTCTCTTTTCAAAACCTACCAATTATTGATAACAAAAAATAAGAATAAATACAGTATAGTTGTTTCTCTCTATATTTTAACACTATTTATAGTATATCTCTAATGCATTAAATACTTTGTTTTCCTATCCTAGCAGTACAGAAATTTACATACAAGAAATTTTATTTTAATAATAAAGAAAAAATGAAATATGCTACAGCTAGCTTTATTATTACACTTTAAAATGAATTCAGTGAACTTATATAAAATATAAGGTATCTCATTTAAACTTATGGTAAGCAGAATTTTGCTTATTAAAGGGATTTAGCATTATTATTATTTAGACGGTTTATTGCCTTGCTAAGTTTCACCAAAAATGCTTCTAGCACATTTTTGAAACTTGCATCCAAATTTTCAACTTCAAATACATTTTAAGTTCCACTCTATCACTCAACAATTTAGATCCTAAACAATCTTTCTCTCTCCTTACATCGCGATTTTTCAGTCCATGTTCATTATCTTCAACTTTAAATTAATAGCAATCAGTATCTCTATTTCCCTCCAAACTTTCCGTTATCCATATTTTTTACGGGTAAATGGCCTACTGTCTTTTGTCTCTTCTTTGTGCTGCAGAGTGAATATACTCTTGCAGGTATCCAATCAGCATATTTCCTTCTTACATTTCTTTATCCTTCTCTTTATCTTTGTCTGAAAATTCATTTTCACTGACATCTTCGTTTTCACTTATACCGCCATTTTTGCTTTGACTTTCATCTAACTAACAGTCCCATCCGTAGCACCAATAGCGTTGTCTTCATCATTTGAGCCTTTAGTTTTATAGCAATCATCATCAGTTTTAATTCGCCTTCAAATTCTTCTTGCACTCCATTGCAGCTAAGCTTACCATTCTTTTCACTCTTGAATTCTTTCTAAATTATTATAAATTTTTCCCATAAATTGGCCACGGGGTTGCTTTTCACGGGAAAAACTTATTCCGGCGGCAGTCTTATGGAATTCTGTTTTCCTGCTCTGCAAATGGATTATCTTTCAATAAGATAACTAAACAATTTAAAGATATATTTCTTTTTATCAAGGATAGATAATCTATTTTAGAGTAGCTTGAGATGGGGAGTGGGTTTAGTGCTTGAACATTCAAAGCATGGAAAACTACAGCAATTGGAATTCCAGCATAATTGTCGTTACACAGTGAAGCAACTTTTAGCTCAGCATCACTTTGCGATGTTATTACTGAGAAAACATAGTTAGAGAATTCAGTTACTGCTCCATTTGTTGTAGATGAAGTCTTAGCCCAACACTCATAGAAAGTAGCCACATTTGATGCTACAAATGGCAGCGAATCTTGAGCAGAAGCACCTGAGTTATCCCCGTATGAAAAAGCAAACATATTCTTACTTGATGTGGTAGGGAATCCAGTCGCTTTAAACGCAATTGAAATAGATCCTGGATTTCCGGCGCTGAGAGTTGGGGTGTTTATATTCGCATCAAGTGCTACAGCGGCTGAAGCATAATCTGAGCTTTGAAGTATTTTTTCTTTATATGTGGCGCTAGTGGTAATATAAGAATTCAGCAGCTGCACCCCTGAAGAAGAAAATGGTAAACTGACTTTTAAGGTGGTGGATGCAGACCAGTCGTTTTTTGGGGTCATATACCACATTAAATATTGGGATCCAGTATATCCTCCTTTTTGTTCCCCTAAAGTGAGTGTTCCACCTGTTGGTATGGAATTTGTAGCAGTTGCAAAGAATTGGAAACTAGTCATAGGTACATAAGTAGAAGCTGCAGTGTTAAATGACCAAGAAGTTGTAGAAGTAATTTGATCAATATTCGCAGAGGTAGTTGAATCAGTAGTTATTATTGAGCTAATTGCAGCTCCTGAGGTAAGTTTGGTCAATAATGTGATTGAGATAGCTGTATTCGCAGCCAAAGTAACTTTGTCTGCTATAGTTATAGTTGCCTTTGTGCTAGCGACGCTGCATGTAATACCTTTTACGTAGGTATTCAGATAGCAATTTGCTCTAGTATCAACGGATGTGCTCGCATGGTCTTGCCACCAGTACCCAGAAGAAATATCTGCGTAGCTGTTAAAGGTAATGACGATTGTCCCATATGTAATTGCGTGAGCTGTTTGAAAAGTGAGCTTAGTAAACAAGTAAAAACTGTTTGAGCTGCTATTTGGGATGTCAGTTGAAGCTAAATTGGTGTTATAAGGAACCCATGAGCTAATTGTTACGGCACCCGCGACTGGAGTCAATGGCCCAGTTCCAGCATATTGAGCAAGAAGGTTGGTAGTTCCCCACCTCCATATTTTTAGATTCCAGCTGAAATTTGAAGTTGAAACAGCTGAGAGAGGAAGAGTAAAGCTGGAAACTTGAAGCTTGATCTGATAACTTGAAGTTATAAGCACATCTTGAGAAAGCCCATATATATAAATACTGTTTGTAGCTGGAGTTGCAGCTGATTTAGCAGTGTTATATCCTCCATTAGCCCCTCCACTCGCTGCAATAGCACAAGGTAGGCTATTGTCTCCTTTAGGACCTTTGATATAGTTAGTAGTGCCTGAAATATCTACAGAAGCACAAGTTGGGCTTGAAGGAATTGTCCAGTGGGTGTCAGGGACGATTTCAAAAATGTCATGTTTCCAAAGATTAGTGCCAGCAGGAATTGTAAAAGAAAAGTAAAGTCCATCTGAGGAGCCAACAATGGCTGTATTAGTGGTCAAAGTGACTGCGTTTACTGTCAAAGAATTCGCAGAAGCTGAAGATACTGAGGCTGAAACTGCGACACAACCGAAAACGTAGTTCGCGTCGTAGATTTGGCCACCTGTTGAAGTTTTAGTCACAATTTGGAAAGGTCCATAGACTCCAGCAGAAGGTAAAGCTGTTGCCAAACTAAATGAAAAAGAAGTATCAGTATTTGCCTTTATTGCCATAGAGCTAGAAGGATAAGTTATTTGGGTTGAAAAAGTTGATGGCACAGTCACAATAACAATCCCCATATTGCCAGTTGTCGGCAAAGAAGTTTGAGGTCTAAAATTGACAGTGACAGTAACACCACTGGAAGTCCCAGAGTTGGTTTGAGAGAGCTCAATAGGATTAGGAGCCCAACTGTCTTTCCACCATCTGATTTTTCCAGGATCCAAGTATCCATCTTTAGCAGTTCTTGTAGGATCTCCCATAGCTAGTCATATAAGGGCTAGAAAGCTTATAAGACTTTTCATTTTGAGCTTATAAATTCAAATTTGCTTAAATGCGTAACATAATTAAAATAGGCGATATTCAAATAATATGTTCTCCCGAACAGAGATCTCTCCTTAACTAATTTTTATTATGAGGTAAGGCTTCACCTAGAGAAATAATCTCGGCAATAGTAGCGTAATATGCCCAAGTGTGCGCAAGTTTGGACACCTATAACTTAGGCAATCAACCCCAGGCAAATGGCCCAAAGCTGGAAGGACAGCCATCGATACCATCTAGATCAAGATCAGGCGTTGAGCAATGAGTGGTAGACAAGAAGCCCTGAAGCAGTAGCGGAATTCGTCCAGGTGATGTGATATTGGGCATTAAACGAAGACGAAATATAACTAATTGAGTAAGCTAAGCTTAAATGCGTTACAAAAAAGAAATTAAAAAAAAATTTTAACGATTTTTTTTTTTGCGCGTATGGGACCTTTTCCAGCTTTCATTATATATATGGACTTTTTCTGGCTTCCCCCTCCATGAATCAACAAAATTTTTTGGAGGGGATTAATTTTTTTAAAAAAAATTATATAAAAAATTTGTTTTTCGAAATTTAAAAAAATTCCAATTCAAAATAATTAAGAAAGCAAATATTTATTTAACTTGTAAAATTTATATTTTAAAATGCAAGCTGCTTAAAATTAAACAAAATTAGATAGATATTCCATTATACTATTTATCACATATATCAAAAAATATTTTGTTCACTCGCAGAGGGTGGGTTTTTGGGTAAAAAATGCGATTTTTCCAATGGTTTTGCTCGTTAACGGAGGGGAGTGAGCAAGTCTATAATTATAAAGATGCCGGAGGCAAAACTTAAGCTCCTGCCCCTGGGAAGAAGATAGAAGATATGGGAATATGTTAGGAATAAGTTCCTAAGAAAAAGGTGAAGAAAAACAGAATTAAGGAAGAATTTTGGGTGTTTTAGACTCAGATTTTGACGAAAAATTTGTGAAATTCTGATTTAAGAAGGATCTAAGGTCAGAAAAGAGAGTATTGAGAAGCCATTGAGTAAAGGAGTTTACATTTTGAGTTTGACCTGGAATTGAACAATAAATCATCACATTAGAGAACCCGGATTTTTGGCATGGAATCATGAGGACTCGTCTTTTATGTCTTTTATGAAAAAAATTAAAAAACAATGAAGAAAGTTGAAGAAGGCAAGCCTCCTCAAGATGAGAATGATAGGGAAAGCTATTATCCTAGGGAAAGACAAGAGGCGAAAAATTAAATTTTAGGTCTCAGCACAACTAAGAAATATGGGAGAAATGCCAGAATTTTAAAAAAATCTAATTGACCTCTTTAGGGCTCAAGAAGAGCCTAATTAGCGAAGATAAATTCAAGGAAGCATAAAAAAAGCTTTAGAAACAGGAAAATAGAGTGTCTTAGCTCTCCCCTTTAAATTTGGACAAAATATCAGTAAAATTTCCATTTTTATGCACTTAACTCCTTTAAATTGGAAAAAAATTATTTTTGAATAGGAAAATGCTATAGTTTAAAATAAATAAAAAAAAATATTGTTTTCAATTTATATTGTTTTAATTTTTAAAAATTTATATAAATCTTTCTTTTATGAAAAATTAATTTAATATAATGTTTTATTTTAAAAAAACTTTTCTGGGAGTAAGCTATTTTTTAGTCGGATACTCAATATCAGGAAACTTGAATAAAATTTTTGTAACCGATATCTTTAGTAAAGCTGTTCATGTGACTGATGGCGAGCTTCTTTGGCTTTTTTCAAAAAGCCAGGCCTGAAGTCTTAGAAGGAATAGAAGGCAAAACTAGAGGAGGTCAGCTAGACCTTAATCTGGTTTTAAACATAAAAAATTGCAAAAATACTGAACTGTTCAAATGCATAAGAAAATAAATGCTAATTTTTAAAAAAATTGTTATAGATACTAAATACACAAGAAGGAATATTAAATCTATTAGGTTAATAAAAATACGAAATAAATCTATCAAATTGCTATATATAAATTTTTTTAATTTCACTAAGAATATTCAGTAATTTAGATATGCCTAATTACATTTAATAAAAGCATGCCTACTGATCCATTTCATATATAAAATATAATATAGCAGCTAATCAGTATAAATGCTTTATTCATTGTAATCAGATATAATATAAAATGGTGAAGAATAGCAATCAAAATGTAACAGGCACAACAAATGCAAATTATTTCAGTCACGAAATTTGTGAAAACAAAGAGGAATATTGTGCCCAAACAGCATCTTCTGGTCTAGATTCTCAACAAATTGAGAATAATCACAGCCAAACAAGCCAAGGACAAGAAGTGGAAAAAAGATTATTAGCTTTCAAAAACACTGCAGTTGGCTGTGTTATGTACTTTTTACAAAAGCACAGTCCAGCACATATCGAAAAAATAGTTGAATTCGTGAAGTCTAGCTTCCCCCCTTAAAATTGGAGCAAAATATCTAGCCTTTTAAATTTAACAATATTTTTTAGCCTAAATACTAGTTTTTATGAAATTAGTTTTGGCCTAATATAATGGAAAAAAGTGAAGCCAATATTATTCAAACAATTTTTGAATTAATTCTTCGAAAAATAAACCAAAATCCAAAACTTTATATTTTTTTAATAAAGTTCTTTTTAGAGAAAAATTTAATATAATTTTGTCTTATCTTATCTTATCTTATCTAAAATCTAGCAGAAATCTCTGCCTAACGATCCTTATGGATCATTTTAATCCAGTCAGTTATTTTCTTTTTCCTTAATTTCACTTTGCCATCTTCCCTGCTGAACTTTCGTCTGAACATTTTGTCTGAACTTTTGCCTGAACATTTTGCTGAACTTTTGCGTGAACTTTTGCCTGAACTTTTGCGTGAACTTTTGCCTGAACTTTTGCCTGAGCTTTTGCCTGAGCTTTTGCCTGAACTTTTGGATGAACTTTTGCCTGAACTTTTGCCTGAACTTTTGCCTGAACTTATGCCTGAACTTTTGCCTGAACTCTTGCCTGAAATCTTGCTCAGACCTCGTCTTAACTTTTCCTCTAACTTTCGCCTCTGCTTTGGGCCCAACTTTTGCGTTAACTTTCGCCTCAGCTTTCGCTTTAACTTTTCCCACAGACTTCACCTTAATTTTCACCTCAACTTTTGCCGCGATTTTTGTCTCATTTTTTGCTTCGACTTTTGCCCCAATTTTTTCTTCGGATTTTAGCTCCACTTCTACCTCTACTTTTGTTTCAGCCTGTGCTTCAGTTCTTACCTCAGCTTTTGCCTTGATATCGTAAGGTATCGTCTTAGATGAATGAGTGGCCATAGCCAACTCTCAATTATCTTACACTTCCCCTTGCATGCTGGTGGGTCTCTTGAGCAATTCCTCCAAACCTATTTCGTGAGGGTATGTCCCTCCATTTTCTGCATCTTCTGAATCTTCTTCCTCTTCTTCAATTTCTGCCTCATCCAATTCCATCTCCCACTTTCCATTTCGTCTTCTAAAATATCCAACTCATTTAATGCTTCATCAAATTCATCTTCAGAGTCGAGATCTTCCATGCGCTTCCAGATATTGCACAATCTTTGGTCAAATTCCAAAGCAGCTTCTTCTCATGAGCACGCTTCCGATTCTTTCTTCTCCATTTTCCCCAAATAAAAAGTTAATATAATTTTGTCACTAAAAATTAACACCTTAAGTTGGAACTTTTTTTCCGATTTAAAAGGGAGGAGTAAGGAAGACTCCCTCTTGAATTCAAAAAAACATAAATATAAGAAAAGCGCTTTTGGGATAGTGGATTATGCTTTGACTTGGCATCCAAAGCTTTTCTTATTAAATGATCGGTTTCACTATTACTTAAATGTAATTGAGAATTAGAAAAAGGAGGCAGAAAAGTACGAACAAAAATATAAATCAAATTCTAGCAAAAAGATATTGAAATATAAGGAAAAAGTTGAAAAGAAAAGGGAAAATATCGAGAAGATGAATAGGATCAGAGCACAGATTGAAGATGACTTAAGAAGTGGGACGAGCGAACCTTTTTTGCTAACTAAAATTTATCAGGTTTTAACTTCAGGCGATAAGCAAGCAGCTGAGGATCTTAAATCGGTCATAAGATCTTCTTATCTTTCATTCAAGGGTGTATATCCCTACTCCCCTACTCCTGGATCGAACCAAAAATTTTAATCGCTCACAAAGTATTAATTTTTTTATTATCATAAATTTTTTCGAAGTCCACAAAAATCCAAAAGGAAAATTTTAATTTATTTAAAATTATGTTTTAGAATGGACCTGTCTTATCAGTTAGACATCAAATATATTTTTAAAATATGATTGTGCGTTTAAATATTTGAACACTAGAAAATACGTCTAATAGTCATGACTAGTCTGTTATTTCGCAGCTGATAATAGATTGTTTTGACCAGTTTCTGTTTTCAAATATATATTAAACAAATCGTTGCTCGCACAAAGTTTTTTAATCCAAAAAATAGCGATTTTCCAGGCAGTGTGCTTGTGAAGAGAGTTAAATAAGGCATTAATTTATTTACTAGGATCTTGAAAGCCAATTATTTTATTTCTTCTCCTTAAACATTTTTGAGTAATCTCGTTATTCGTCATCATCTCTTCTTAAAATCACCAGAGTTTAAATTTGAACGGCTTTAAGCCTTAATCTTTGCAACCGTTTATACTCAAATAAGATTAATTGGCTTCCATTTTATTTTCATATTTCGAAATTTTTAACCTTATGCTTATAAGTGAATTTATTCAACACACACTTTTCATTAGGATGGTGGATTCTTCCCAATCCCAGGACTTAGCTTAGGACTTTTATATAAATTTCCTTTTTAATCATAATTAAAATTGTCAGTTAGATGTAAAGTTCATGTCCTACCTCCGAGCTCAGTGAGAGACTTCACGACTTTGACAGTCTCAGCTCAAGGGAATGCGTCTACACTATGCCTGGTGTAGATCAGAAAGATCATATAAGGCTTGGGGAAAGAAACAGTTTGACGATTAGGCCGGGCCACCTAACGTTATTCAGAGCTGTGGTCCAAGCTGAGGCCAAGAAGCACAGGACTTAAAGAGTTATCATAAACTCAAACTTAAGCCAAACCTTTTAATCAGCAGCCAAAAAAAAATTCGGATGGAAAGATAGCCCTTAATATCAAAATATACTCATAATCTGCAGCCTGCATTAAGAGCAAAAATTCTTACCTTTCTGAGCTTTTCTTAGTCAACTTTTCAAATTCAGAGTCTTTCTCTGTAGACTACTCCAAATTAAGCCGAAAATCAGCTAGAAGATATTCAGTGCTTCTTATTTTTAATTTGCTTTCCCTTTCTATCAAAAGACATACCTTTCCATTTCCCTTATGCGCACAAACAAAAATTTAGTTTCATATACTTTGTTTTAAGTATTTTACACAGATTTGATTTCTTAACTTAAATGAAAAAGCCTTATAGGTTTATAGGTTATTTTTAACGAACTATTGAAGATTTTTATGACAGCTAAAGAAAGTTGACATATTTTCTCATAGATATCTATTAAATTAAATTAAATGACAGCTAAAGATGACTGCTTAAATTCTGGAATATCACTTGGTGGAATAAATAGTGCTATTCTATACATTTAAAATAAACAATATCTTTGAAAATATATTATATGATAATTACTGTTCCTCCCTTTGTGAACAAGAAAACATTGGAAAAATCCCTATTTTTAAAGAAAAACTCTATTAGTGAGTAACTTTTTATTATAGAATTTGTTTATAAAAATATTTTTAACATATAAGTGATAATTCTTATAGCGAAGCCTCTAAACTATAAATAGCGCCTATTCTAAAACATAAATTTTACAAATTAAGCTTTGGATTTTTTTATCTCCAAAAGCAATTCAGTTAAAATTTAACTTGCTTAATTTTAAAAAAATTTAGCACGTGAGCGAGAGTATTTTCTTTGCTTTTCATGGAGGGTGAGCTAGTGAAGAAGAAAGCCCTTCAAGCATGCAGATTAACTAATTTATGTTGGACTGCATTTGACACTCCCAGATCGCCTTGGGTTGATCTTGCAACTTTGAACTCCCGAAGTTAGCAAATCCAGCTTAAAGCAGATATTTATAAACTCAAAGAATTGGCTTATCTATCAAAAAATCAAGGCTACTTGGTTGGTGAGCATTAGAAAAAACCCAAACAAAAAATATTCTCACTAGTCAGATATATAATTTAAATTTAAAATAATAGCACAATTAGCACTCAAGCTTTAAATTTCAAAAAATTTAAATAGACATCAAAAAAAAACACTTATAGCTTTGAACAATTTAATTAAATATTTTGTTTAATTTAAAAATTAAAGTTATATGATAATGTGGCTCTATCAAAGTGTTAATAAGTTCCCATAGCAAGAATGCTTACATTTTTTAGTTATAAAAATATGCACAAGTTATAACAGGCTTAAGTAGATACTCCTTATTCTTATGCCTTCATGCTAAAGTTAGCTTTTTCTGGCGCATTACCATTTGATACTCAGTGCGCTGCTTTTAAAGTTCATTTCTGCTGAAATATGTATCATTTCATAATTTTGAAAGTATTTAATAAGTGATGCTGCTCTCTGCTAAAGCCACTTAAATAAAGAGTGCTCCAGATGTAGTGATATACTTGGAAAAGTTCAATAGTCTCTGCAGTGCTCAGAAGGATTTTTTTAAGAAGGAGCTGATATTTATATCACCTTACTCCCTCCGTGAGAGCTTCTAGTTTTTTGGGTGAAATAAAAAATTTCTTATATCTTTTATAAAAAATATTTTAACATATAATTAATCATTATTATAATGAAATCTTGAGCAAGCAAAATTATTTTATGCTTACGGAGGATTTAGTGAGTGAAAATAAAGCATTTCAGAGATATACAGCCTGACTGATTTTTTAGCTTGGTTTTTTCTGACGCTTTCCAAAGGCTTTGGGGAGTTGATCTTGCAACTAGAGAATGATTAAGAATTTCCTCGAACTTATCGCAGATGTTAGCCCATTCAAAGAATTTGCTTATCCTTAAAAAGTTTAAAGACAAGCTTTTCAAGTGAGTTAGCAGCATTAAAAGCTACCCAGCAAAAGCTGCTCATATCATATATTTAAGCTAAAAATAAATAGCATATTTGGAATATATGCTCGAATTTTAAATAACTTAAAAAAATGCATCCATAAATTCAACAATATCTTTGAATTAAAATATCAGATTTTATTAATTTTATATATTAAAGCTGATAAAATAATTTAACTTTATTTAAGAACTAATAAGCTGTCCCATAATAAAAATGGTTAGATTTGCTTTAGTTTATAAAAAGATAGACAAACTATAATTGGTTCAATGCCAAGGAGATACTTCATTTCCATTAGAACAATGCCTTCGGGTTAAAATTACCTCTCCTGGCGCAATAACGTTTTAAATCTAATGTGCTGCTTTAAATTTTATTTCTGTTTAAATATTCATGATTTTCAAAGAAATTATTAATAATTTTGTTCATTTCGAAAATAATAAGTCTCTCGATATTATCTAAATTTAAAATTTATTTAATCACTAAGTTTCAATATTCTTAATATCAAACTTAGCATGGTAATCATATGATTTGTGCTTTGTAATTTCTCATATATAGCCAGAGCTGCTTGCTAAATTCAATACTTCTGGGCTATTTCTTATGAATATTCAAACTAATATAAATTTCTTAAATATAAAATTTTGATTAGCATGCGGGCTCTTCCCATATCCAAAGGCTTAACTTTAGGCTTTATATTAATTTTCTTCTTAAAAGTCTAAATTTCCTATTCATTTACATCTAAAATAGTATAAATTTTAGATGTAAAGATAAACCCTCTGTAATAAATATCTCATAACTTATGGCCTATATTCAGAACGAATTTATAAGCTTTCATTAGCCAACTTCTCAGGTCTTAGTCACTTTTAAAAGACTATTTCAAATTTAATCCAGAAGACATTCAATGCTTCTCATTTTAGATTTTCTTTCACTTACCATCCTTCCATTTTCTTTTAAGATCCAGGAACGAGACTTTTGCTCCTAAAATTTTACAATTATAGATCTCCTCATCCAAGAATTGTATTAAAAGCAAAAAGAAAAGTTTCTTTATGTCCTTTTTTGTAATGTTTTAGGGAGATTTGAATTTCTTACTCCCCTCTGTGGATGAACAAAACCATTGAAAAATATCCAATTTTTTGTATAAAAGCCAATCCTTTGTGAGCGAAAAAAAAAAATTTATGAAAATATATATATACAAGCAATAATTATTATAATACAACCTCTAGCTAATATTGGCTTAATTTAAAATAAAGTTTGCATTTTAAAAAAATTTTACAAATTAAGTAATACTCGCATTAAATTATTTCGAATTGGGATTATTTTTAAATTTTAAAAAAAATTGCATCCGTAAAAAGTTTAAAGATAAATTTTTTCAAGCGAATTAACAGCACTATAAACAGCCCTAACAAAAACTACTCATGCTATATAATTAAGATAAAAATAAATAGCATATTTGTAATACATGCTTTAAATTTTAAACCAATTAGAAAAATATATCCATAAATTTAACAAAATTAATCCTATCTTTATAATTTGATTTAAAATATAAGATTTATTAATTTTCGATATTAAAGCTGATAAAATAATTTAACTTTATTTAAGAACTAATTAGTTGTCCCATAATAAAAATGGTTAGATTTGCTTTAGTTTATAAAAAAATGGGCAAACTATAATTGGTTCTATGCCAAGGAGATACTTCTTTTAATCGAAGCTAACAACGCCTTCGGGCTTAAATTACCTCTCCTGGCGCAGTGACTTTTTATATCTAATATGCTACTTTAAAGTTTTATTTAAGCTTAAATTTATTTATGATTTTCAAAGAAATTATTAATAATTTTGTTCATATAGAAAATAAATAAGTCTCTCAATATATATTTAAAAAATTTTATTTAATCACTATGCTTCAATATTCTAAAGGTCAAACATAATACTATAATCATATGATTAGGGTATTTTAATTTCTCTTATATAATCCGAGCTGCTCTTCTGCATTCAATACTTCTGGACTATTTTTATAAAAATTGAAACAATACTCAATTATTTTTAAAAATATCAATAGAGTATTATAGGATAAAGATTAATGCAATTTTAGACTAAATCAAGAAATTCCAATAACTTAATGACATAAAAATATTTAAGTTTAAGTTTATTGAATTACTCTCGCAAAATTTTTACGTTAAGTCCCCTTACTCTTGAGGTTCAGCTAATTTAACAGCTCTGAAAAACCGTAGGTGAACCGGCCTAACCGTCAAACCGTTAAAGTTAAATAGCCCGTTAGGACTCCTCTAGTCATCGCCAGACACAGCAGTGACCTCTTCACTTCAAGCCGAGGCTCTCAATAAGTTGGACTTCTCTCACTGAGCTCGTGATCATAGGTCCATCCTACGAGGCAGGTGCTAGGACCTATCACTAACTGACATTTTTTTTATATTGTGATAAAATATTAAAATTAAAATTAAAATATGGCGAATTTCTTGCATATTTAAAACGAGGTGTGGTATTCCCTGGTGAGCAGGTTATTTCCTACAAGACTCCAAATTTTCGAGAAGGGCACTTCCTACCTCAGGGCAGAGACTGGGCCATGAAAGTGCTAGAGCCCAAGTAGGTAGCTGAGTTCAAAGAAGAGTTGTTGAAGCCCAAATTTCAAGATTGGCGAACTATGCCAAGGCGACTACACTTTGATACTAGAGGATATAGTCCAAAAGCCCATAAGATTTTGAAATCAGCCTTGGCAGCTAGTAATGTATTAACTGGCATTAAACCTAATAAATCTAATTGAATGGTTTGCCAGCAATATTAATATTAGCAAGAATTAAAATTATAAGGATTATACAGTTTAAGAAACAATTTATTTAAAGCAAAATTAAGCTAAAATCTCCAATCATAGCTATAGGTGTCTTAATTGATATACTTTGCAAAAAAGTATTTGATGTATAGTTAATACATAAATAACTAAGATAGTAAGAAAGAAGAATCAGCCACTAAAAGTGTAGACAAAAGAAATCAAAGATCTTAGACTCTACATATGCAAAATCTCTAAGCATGCCCACCCAAACATAGGAATAGAGATCAGCCGCATCATGAATTCATTTATCCACGACATTTTCTAAAAAGTCTGCTTTTAAACAAGCAAACTCGTGAGATACTAAAAGAAGATCACCCTCAGCAGCAGAAAAGTCCAATATTTATTCTCCCTTATGAATTTACAAAATATACAAGTGAGGAACAAAATCAGATATCAAATTTACTTAAATTATTGTAAAGTAATACAAGAAAGTGCTGCTGGATTATTATTTTGAGTAGCAAATATAGAATCCCTGGTCCAAATAGCTTTAAAATATTGTCAAGCTTTTATAATATATTTCTATTGCTTACAGCAAAAAACAGAAAGGACAAGGATACACAGTGGCAGTGTTAGCTATAAAAGCTGAAGACATCATCAGCACTGGCAATCTTATCAATCTAGGGCTAAGGTAAGATGCTATTTTTAGTGACTGAAAAAGGGGTGATATCCATTAAGAAGAAGTAGAGTTGGCAAGCTTTATTTTGGTTTAAAGGCCAGTGTTGTATTGATAAAGGGTAAAATAAAAATTAAAGTCTAAAACTAAACTACAGGTTTAATCTGCAGGGGCCTTGAATTAAGCTTATGACTTATCCCATTATTGTTTTTTGCATTAATCCTAACCAGATAGCCGATTTCTTTTATTTATTTTAGCTCACTCTTTATCGCAAATATTTTTATCTTTGGGGAAGAATGCTATCTCATAATAAGATAAACATCTAAATTCGTGCTTTCCTAAGGTTTTTAAATGTTTATATACTTTTAAAAAGTCTTATTTTCATAAATGATTAATTTATTTAAACGATTTTATTCGCTTGGATTCATTAAAATAATCAAATTGTTATTAAACAGCTTTTTATAAGCATGGATTCTAACCAAATCATAAAGCATCTCTAAGATAAAGTTAAATAGCATATCTGGAATACATGCTTTAAGTAAATTACAAAAATATATCCATAAATTTACCAAAATTAATGATATCGTTAAATAATTTGATTTAAAATATCAGATTTTATTAATTTTATATATAAAGCTGATAAAATAATTTAACTTTATTTAAGAACTAGTTAGTTGTCCCATAATAAAAATGGTTAGATTTGCTTTAGTTTATAAAAAGATGAGCAAACTATAATTGGTTCAATGCCAAGGAGATACTTCATTCCCTTTAGAACAATGCCTTCGGGTTAAAATTACCTCTCCTGGCGCAATAACTTTTTAAATCTAATAATTGCTTTAAAGTTTTATTTAAGCTTAAATTTATTTATGATTTTCAAAGAAATTATTAATAATTTTGCTAATTTGAAACTAAATAAGCCATTCAATATATATTTAAGAGATTTATCTAAATTTAAAATTTATTTAATCACTAAGTTTCAATATCCCAAAGGTTAAAAATATCATGATAATCATATGATTTGGGTATTTTAATTTCTCCTATTTAAACGAAGTCAAGTAAAATTGAAGAAAACTTCAATAAAATGCCCTTTCAGTATCTTAACGAGAATAAAATTAAGATAAATTAAAAAACAGTTTAAAATTTGAAAAATACAGTGTCCTAAACATTTTTATTGCCAAAAACATCAGACGTGGAAGGTCACAAAACTCTGGATAAAATCTTGTCTTTTTATTATGTCGATATCGTTTAAATTCGGCTACAGGGAGTTCCCATATTCTTAGAAGCATGGACTTTTGAAGGATGCCTGAAAAGGATTCAGTGGAAAGACGCTAACGCTCTGGTTTCAATGGGTCTCCCTACCTTCGCTCTACCTAAGTCGAGTTGGCTGTGTTCCAGCTAAAAATCAACCTTCTCGGGTTGGTTGAGTAGAAAAGCACTATGCCTTCCACTTCCTACTAGGACCAGAAGTCCGCCCATTGTTGGGCTTGCCTTGTAGACTGGATAGGATTCACTGTGAAAAATAAACCTCCTAATCAAATCTTGTCAATCGAAGATTTTAGTAAAAGTAGATCGCATAACTGATGACTAACTTTTAATTTTGTATGTCTATAGCGCTTATTCAAAGAAGGCTATGCTTGCCATTTTTATCATTATATGAAGCCAAAATCCAAATTAACCTTTATCAATATGCATCCAGACGACTTTGGTTATCCCTAAAGTAGGAGATGGAGAAGCCTTTTATATTGCTTACTCCTAGATTGGAAAAAGAGTTGGCTCTGTAAGAGAGCGATAACCGTAATTAATAATAAATAATAATATTGCTTACTCCTCCCCCGTGAGCGAACAAAACCATTAAAAAAAATTTTTATTTTTTGCCCAAAAACCCACCCTCCGTGAGTGAACAAAAATTTTTTATGAAAAAAAATTGATATATAAGCGATTATTATCATGAAATCTATAACTAATTCTGTTTAATTTTAAATAAATTGCATTTCAAAACATAAATTTTAAAAATTTAAATTAATATTTGTTTCAATTTTTTCGAAGTTGGGAATTTTTTATATTTACCCCCCCCCCCCCTCCGTGAGCGAACAAAAAAATTTTGTTCGCTCACGGAGGGGGGTTAATTTTTTTTTTTTAAAAAAAATTTATATATAATTTTATAAAAAATATTTTTTTCGAAATTTAAAAAAATCCTAATTTGCAAAAATTGGGAAGCAAATATTAATTTAATTTGCAAAATTTATGTTTTAAAAACGCAATTTGTTTAAAATTAAACAGAATTAGCTCTAGATTTCATTATACTAATTATCACTTATATATCAAAATTTTTTTTTCCATTAAAATTTTTTCTATTAAAAAAAATTTTTGTTCACTCACGGAGGGTGGGTTTTTGGTCAAAAAATGGCGATTTTTCTAATGGTTTTGTTCGCTCACGGAGGGGGGGGGGGGAGTAATAAGATAATTAAAATATTAAATTTTATTAATTTTCGATATTAAAGCTGATAAAATAATTTAACTTTATTTAAGAGCTAATTAGTTGTCCCATAATAAAAATATTTAGATTTGCTTTAGTTTATAAAAAGATGGACAAATTTTAATTGGCTCAATGCCGAGGAGATACTTCTTTCAATGAAGAGGCGCAATGCCTTCAGGCTAAAATTACCTCTCCTGGCGCAGTGGCTTTTTATATCTAATTTCTCCTTTTAAGCTTTATTTCTACTTAAATTCCAATAATTTCATAATTTGCAAAGAAATTAAGTATTTTTGATAACTTAGAAAAATAAATAAGTCACTAAATATATTAAGGTATTTTGCAAATAATTTAATCACTGAGTTTCAATATTCTAAATTTCCAGCATAGCATGCAATAAAAAGAATAATCACATAATTTGCATTTTGTAATTTCTCCTATAGAACTCGAGCTCTTTTTATTTGGCTGCATTCAATATTTCTGAAGCAACTCTGGGATAAGATTGGGATCTTTTAGCTTGCTTATGTAAAAGAAAAAATTAGTATTGGAATTCTCGATTGTAAGTCTTGGCTAAAGCATTTTTGAATTATATGAGGTCTATTGTAGCTAAGCCTAGGAATTGCATCTTAAAACTTACACTAACCCTCTCAGTTATCGAAAAAAATCATTAAAAAAATCCTATTATTAAGTATATACTTGAGCGAAAAAAAATTGTTTGTGGAAAATATTGTGTATATAAGTGATAATTAGTATAATGAAATTTCTAGCTAATTCTGTTGAATTTAAACGACTTGAATTTTAAAATATAAATTTTATTAATTAAATTTATTTTTTTACTTCAATTTAAAAAATTACTATAGAATTATATATAAAACTTTTAAAAAAAAAATTAAACCCCCCTCATGCGAGCGAGCAAAATTATTTGGTTAGCTCAAGGAGGGGAGAGTAAGCAATTTTTTAAATCTGTCAATATTGTTGCACTCTATTCTTCTCTACTTTTTCATCTTTTCCTTATTTTTTGTGTATTTAAAGCTGAAAATACAAAGTAGGAGACTCCACGAATAGTTAGACCAATTACCTCTTATGATGAATAAAAATAATTGCTGAGACAAAGAAGGTACCTATTTCTATCAACACCAACCCAATTGCCTTTACTCGGCCGAGTTATGGCTGACTATAGACATCACCCAGGAGCTTATAAAGATTTTCAACTCAACAATGTTCAAATTCGTTAGTAATTCAATAATGATACCCTCTTCGGCATTGCTGGTCCTCAAACGTACAAGGATAGCTCCAAAAGCACAATAGCATTCTCTTGTTAACGATATCTTCATCAACTCATTGAAATTTTCAACACACAATTGCAGCCTTGATCAGCAAAAAGACGAATTCTATATGATGGATGCTGTGAACTCAAGAAAATACAATATTGCTTTCTTCTCTACGAATCTTTCAATATTGATGCCAGAATCTCAATTGGGTCTATTTTAACTATTTAGAAAATTATAAATATCAGTGCTCTAGTCTCGGTAAGGGACTTCTGAGGAAGTGGCACTGAAATTTAGGCTTCTGAGTTTTGGTTTATAAGAGATATACTCTTTTCGTTTTGTTTGTAAAAATGGGCAAAAAGGATTCATCGAAATATGAATCAATATTCGTAAGGGATAAAAGAGCCGAAATTTTCTTTAAATGAATCAGAGTCTTAAGTTTCAACCAATATTTATGTTTATTCAAACTTCGGATCAAATATCTCACAAAATTAGGCTGAAGAGCAATCAGTAAAAGCCTATTTGTTGAAATTCCTCAAAAAAGACGAGAAAAAAAAGAGAAGTTTTACAACATTCTGCACAGCTCTCAATACCAATTATCCTCCAAACTCGATTCTGAGATGCTGCAGACTGCCATCAGGAGATGGGGCAGTCATCTTCAAAATAAAATCAGTATATGAAAATTTCACAAAAATTAATTTTTTACAATGATAATTAAAGGAAAAAAAATTTTGGTACCCATAGGATCTTTTCTTCTTGGGGGAGAGAAGGTACTAAATTAGTTTTATATTACCTCCTGATATAGCTATTGAAAAAGTAATTGAAACATTAGAAGAAATGTGCAAAATTAAAGAAATTTGTGCCGATGACACAAGTTTTCATGAAGGAAGAAGACAGACATTGAATATTATACCAGAATCCAAATTTAGGTTTATGGAGAATTTCAGAATCTATAAGAAGCACTTAGTTTATCGGATGCTTAACTATAGGAGACAAATCTATCTGAATAAGACATGCAGGAACGATGCAATGCTCTAAATGTCAAAAATTGAGATAATCATGACAAAATAATGGAATTAAGAGAGAAGGAGCATCAAATAAAATTTTCTAAAGAATCAAAAAGAGATAAATTAATTGCTCCAAATTGCTTAGGTTCTCAAATTTATTTTAAATCGCTGAAGATGAAAAAAAGAAAGAATTAATTAACGAAAGGACAACAGTTAAAAGGAAAGTTTCTATTATAAAAATAAAGGAGATTAAATCAATGAGAACATAGATAAAAAGGAAATTCCTTTACAAATTACAGATAATAAAATAAATGAAAAATCAAAAAATTTAGAAGGAAAGCATGATCAAAAAAAAGAAAGTTTTTCAAGCAATAGTCTGAATTATTTTTTAGCTTCTGACACTTCTCAACTACCTTAGAGAATTTATCTTGCAATTTTTGAACAATTAAGCTGTTCTTCAAGCTAAAAAGTCCAGTTTATAGTTGATATTCGTTAACTTAGAGAATAGGCTTATCCCTCAAAAGTCAAAGCTAACTTTTCAAGCTGGATGACTAGCATCATCAACAAAAATATCCTCAGACTATATAATTAAATTTTAAATTAATAACATATTTTGGTGCTCAGGCCTTTAAAAGAATTGAAATATCAATTAGTTTAATAAAATTAAACTATCTCTATTAGATTTTGTAATTTTTCTAAATTTAAGCCAAGGCAATAATGCACTTAATTTAGATTTTATAAGCTCTCCCATAATAAAAATATTCATATTTACTTTAGTTTATCAAAAGATGGACAAATTATAATTGGCTCAATGCCGAGGAGATACTTCTTATCTTCATGATCCCAAAAATGCCTTCGGGTTAAAATTACCTCTCCTGGCGCAATGGCCTTTTATATCTAATGGTCCGTTTTTATATTTTATTTCTGCTTAAATTTCAATAATTTTAAAAGAAAAGAGGAAAAATAAATAAGTCTCTTCCTAATATATTACGGTTTTTTATCGGAAGTTAATTTAATCACTGAATTCAATATTCTAATTTCAAGCATAAAATTGCAATAAAAAGAATAATCATATGGCTGCATTTTATTATTTCTTATATAGAACTCAAGCTCAACTTGGCTTAGCCCTGCTCTATACCTCTAAAACATTTGGGATTTTGATTGGCGCTTTTTAGCAGCCTCTGCTATATCCTAGATGCTTGGAAACATCAGATGAAGTCTTAGCTAAAACAATGCTAGGGCTATATTTATGCTTATAGCAAACCTTTAAAATCCTCTTAATAGTTATTATCATCAATAAATTTTTCAGGTTATAAAATATCATTGAAGCTAATATTGGCATTGCAAAGACTTTAATAATTTATATTCTTATGTTTAATTATTTTCAGATATCAACTATACTATCAATAGATAAAGCCTTATATGCAATATATAATTAAATGCAAATATCAGCTTATTTACTTTGCCAAAAAGTATATACATTAAAATGGTGACCAACCCACTCTCTTAACTAAGATCATTGCATCTTTATATAATTATTATGAAATAAATCAAAAAATAATAAATTGTTTATTGATTAAAAAATTTGCACTTTTCTAGTTCAGTGCTTTAGATTTAAATGCTTTCTTTGATTTTCTAATTATTGAATTATATACTCGCAAAAGTATTTTTCCTTAAAAACTGATTTTAAACTTTATCTCTAAACCAAAAATTAAATAATTTAAAATTAATGCTAATATTATCAAATTCTATTATATAAAACTACCACATTTGAAGTTAACAAAAAAGTAATAAAACTTTCATCAAAATAAATGCTTGTATTTAAATTGTACCCCCAATATCTGATGAAAATGACAAAGAGATTGAGTTTGTTGCTATATTAAGGGCGTCAATAAGATAGTCATTTGGATCATATGTGCTTGCAGATAAAAAGCATGTCACTGTTGTCGCAATAGTAGAAATCGGCATTATATGGTAAACTTTTACAATGACAGGCCCTGCTGGAATTGAAGCGAATCCGGCTAAAGTCAAGACTGACCATGAAAACTTACAACTTTTTGCTATTGAGCTTGAGTAATCAGAAAAGCCAACTCCTTCACAAGTGGTGGCTACAATTGATGAACTAGTAGTCCATGCGCTAAAATCAAGTTTAATTATAATTTTTCCATTTCCAGGAATAGCATTAGCAGTAATAAAGTCATCGTGGAGTCTACTGAATCTAAACCTAGAGTGTATGGTTTATCAACAGTACAGGTGTCTCCTATAATTGTTCCTCCATTGACTATTGACGGTATATTCATTATTGATTTGCATTTCGCTGCTCATGGTGATGGGGGTGATGCTATATAAAGCACAAAATTTAAAGATGCGCCGTCACTAGATAATCCTGTCGTCAAAGGAGGAATCATGCCACTAATTATTAATTCTGATGGCTCTGAGCCTAAAATTGTGATATCATTGGGAAAAGTTCCTATTATAAATCCTCCAGAAAATGAGCTGCTTGACGATGATACAGAATAAGAAGTTGACGGCACGCCATCTAAAGTTAGCGAATATGAAGATGACAATGTGAAACCTGGAGGCAAGCCAATTCCAACTCAATCGCCTACTGAAATCGTTGTAATTGATGGGAAAGTGACATATACGCTTGCAGGATCTGCTGGCTCTCCAACTGTATAGCTTGCTGGATTTATTACTAATGTTTCTGAGGGAATATCAGTGCCAACTCCCAATGATAGTCTTCAACGATACAGGTTCATCTTGATATTTGGGTCTACTCCATCTAGGACATAATAAAAATTTATATCTACATTTAAAAATGGTGTAAATAAATGACGAAATTTTGGGGTTTATGATAATTGAACATAGCCGAATTTCTTATATTGCAATATTTTTATTAGCAGAAATTGGAAATATTTGAAAATTAACTCTAAGATTGACGCAATTTTCATATAAGTGATTAAAATAAAATATTTTATTTGAGATCAAGGAATATAAAATTGCTAATTTAATAAGAACCTAAAAATGTCTTAGTCGGTGCATCAATCGGCAGAAATAGAGTTACAGTGCCGCCGCTGCTGACATATCCAAGGCTTGAGATAGTTACTGTATTTGAACTGATTGTGGCCTTAGGAGTAATTAATGGGGATGTAGAAATCACTGGAAAATCACTACCATCTACTAAGCCAGAACCTAAATTAGCAGAGACTCCATCAGTAAAATTAGGTTAGGCTATTTAAAGTCAAAAGTTAGCTATATTGGTGACGCAATTAAAAAGACTTCCTATACGAAAGGTTCTAAAGTTTACCCCTCCAGCTAGAGAGCGTATCTCCTGAAAAGGGTGCCAGTTCCGTACCTTAATTCTCCTTATGGCTTCAGTCTTGAGTTGGTGACTTATAGATTTCTGAGGCCCTGCGGATGGTGATTGGAGTAGCTAGATTCCAAGAATCAGCTCCTTGGAGTCTGTTGGATGTCAAAGTGCCTTCCCTTGCTAGCTACATGAAAAAGACTGCTCTACTGTGGCTTGGACAAGACTCCAGTTTCTCAGAATATTGGCCCTCAGATTCAAAAGATGTTGTTGGCACTCCATTTCCAACTGCAAGAAAGACAGCAAAAACTATTCGATGCTAATTATAGAAATTTCCCATAGATGGCGCTGTTTGCCCTTGATTTGCCCACTGGGGAAAATTTTTGGTTCGGCCAGTCCCATATGGTTTGGTCAAACCAAAAAAATTTTCTCATGGGCAAACCAAGGGCAAGCAGCGCCATCTATGGAAAATTTCTATACTTGGGGCTAAATTTGTATAACATCTCGGAGTCCTTCCCAGTAGAGGACAGGCTGACATGTGCCACCATTTTAATGTATCAATCAGTAAATATAAGCTCGAAATAATAATGATTTGCGTGGTCATCAAAATCGAATTCTCGATTTAAAGCGTGATAAACAGCCATAATAGGGATTCCAGCAGCTTTGCCTCTGCATATATGATCAACCATAAATTCACCATCATTTTGTATAGACATGACTGAGAAAACATAATTGTAGAACTCAGTAGCTGTTGAACTTCCAGGTGGAAAGACCTTTGCTCAGCACTCATAAAAAGTGGCGATATTTGATTGAGCAAAAGGAAGAGCAGTCGTTTTGGTATCGCTACTATCTGATGGAATTCCATAAACAAAGAAAAAGTATGGACAGCTTATATTTATACTCTAAATAAATTGTTTAGACGTTGATTAGAAATTTCAAGAGTTAAAGCTAATAAATAAGATTAATATTTAATATAGAAATTTTTTTTATTGCTTATATTAGATTATTAATGCTTTTAGCAAATTACTCATTATTAATTTTTTATAGTAAAGTTAGAGCATATGTAAAAGAAAAAAAATTTGTATAAAAACGATTAAAAGAAATTTTAATAATTAGGAATTTGAAATATAAATAAGCCAGCAAGTATGGATAGGAGCCTTCTATTCCTGGAGAAGTATTTCCAGTAAATGTAATTGAAATTAATCCTGGAGAGCCAGCAATATTGTTTGCAATACCTACAGATGCTGAAGTAAGAAAATAGTTATTGGCGGTATCAGTTAATGCCGTATCAAAATATTCTGCGGTAGTCTTAATAAAAGTCTGATTTATCTGCACTTCTGAATTAGAGAAAGGCAAATAAACAACCAATTTAGTCCCAGCTGTCCAGGTTGTTGATGGTTGAAAAAATCATGATAGAAATCCAAATCACAGATTACCCCCTACTTGCATACCGCTATAAATAAAAAAGTCTCCATAAAACTTTTTGTTATTGTTTGCATAAAACTTGAAATCAGTCATAGATAAAGAATTTCCGAATTGCCAAAAATAAACTGAAGCCAAGACATCAATATCTGCAGTCCCATCATTGCTTATTATTGAGGCAACTTGAGCGCCTGTATTTAGCTTGGCCAAAACTGTAATTGAAATAAACGAAGAAGCTGCCAAAGGAGCTCCGTTTATAGAAATAACAGCTGAATTGTCATATAAAACATCACAAGTAGTTCCAGGGATATAATTATTCAAATAGCACAGCCCAGATATTCCAGAGCTAGGATCTCCAATATCATGATACCAATATTCAGACAATATGTCTACGTTTAAAAATGTGACAGTGATTATTCCTGATGAAATTGCATGGGAGATTTGAAAAGTCAGCTTTGTGAAGATTGAAAAAGAATTGCTGCTTGGGATGTCAGTAGGAAGGACATTAGTATTATAAGGAGCTCATGAAGTTACTGCAATTATTCCAGGAACTGGGGTTATAGGTCCACTACAAGTGTATTGGGCGATTAAATTGCTTGTTCCCCATCTTCATATTTTTAGTGTCCAACTGTAGCTTGAAGATGGAATAGACGATGATGGAAATGTGAAGGAGGAGACTTTAAGCTTAATTTGGTAGCTTGAATTAATAATCACGTCTTGAAAAAGCCCATATATGTAAATGCTAGATGCTGAAGGATTTAATCATCCATTTGTTCTATCAGAATCAGCAATAGTACAGGGCAAAGAATTATCATTTTTAGGCCCTTTAATATAATTGGTTACAGAAGGAATGTCAACTGATGCACATGTAGGGTTTGTAGAGACAGTTCAATGGGAATCAGGAATTATTTCAAAAATGTCATGCTTTCAAAGATTGAGGCTAGCGGGGACTACAAAGGAAAAAATAATGTCATCTTTTGAGCCAACAATGACAGTTGTAGAGGTTAATGTAGCAGCAGTTGTTGTCATATAAGATGAACTTGAGACTGAGGCAGAAACTAGAACACAACCAAATAAGTAGTTTGCATCATAAATTTTTCCATTTGGGGAAGATCTAGTACATTAAAATAATATAGAGGCTTAAATGCTCGAGATTGATCTGCTGAATTCTTTATAAGCGGAAAGGATGAATAGTATTTGATGGAGACCAGCCAAATTCTTAAGGATAATTTAATTAGATCTAGTAATCACTTGAAATGGCCCATAGATGCCTGCAGAAGGCAAGGGAGTCGATAAAGCAAATTGTAGCGTCATATCTCTGTTTCCTATTATTGCGATTGAGTTTGATGTATATGTTGTAGTGCTTGAGAAGCTTGATGGGACGATCAATTGGACTATTCCCAAATTTCTAGTAGTGTTTATTGTAGTAGAAGGTCTAAAATTGAGAGTTAATAAAACTTCGCTAGTCCCAGAGTTAGCTTGGCTAAGTTCTATAGGACTAGAAACTCATTTGCTTTGCCATCAGATTATTTTGCCAGGACTAAAGCCTCAGTTTTTCAAGGTAATATTGGAATTTGCAAAATTTAGCCAAATCAAAGCGATAAAGCATATCAAAATTTTGGTTTTGGGCTGAATAATTCTAATTGGTTTAAATGCGCTCGGGAAATGACCTGAGAAAATTTTATTTTAATATTGGGTATAAAAATACATATCTCGATTATATAAGGCATGAGAGCTAAAAATAGAAAGTCTATGATAATAAATTAATAAAAATACTTTATTCCCAGATGAGAATAAAGGAAAAAATTATTTGTAACTTTTACGCAAATAAAAAAGAAGCTTAAAGTATATATCATAAAATTGCAAGTTTTTTGTAATACAAAAGGTTTGAGGAAAGGAAAGCAATTAGAATTCTATCGGATATTTTGTGTTTTGCTTGTAAAAATACTATAGCAAAAATATAAATTGCTGAGTTTTTGATTAAAATTTGGCCGAGGTAATGGCAGTTGCTTAATTTTAGCCTGCATATGCATTATTAATTAATAAAAGATAAGCGCTTCAGCATGGCCTTAACTTTTGCTTATAAATTCGATTATTAAATATTTTCCTTTTTATATCGAAAGAAATTTAAATTAAGATTTATAACTTTTAGCAAGAAAATGTAATATAAAATAAGGATAAAATCATAATACGAAGAATCTTGTAAAAAAGTTTGCTTTAGAAGTGTAGAAAACTTCAATAAAACTTAAGTTTTCCCTATACTTATAATTAGATGAATTCTTCAATAAGAGAGAGATTAGATTAGAGAGGGTTAAAACAGGGTTTTATTCCAGTCCCTGATCCAATCCAGCTTCAGCTTCACGCTCATGTGGCGCTACCACGAAAGCCACCCTAAGCCCTTTTCTGTCGACGTCACCAAAATGGTGATGTTGACATGTTTTGGGGAGACTAACCCGAACCTACTTAAACCAAATATTGCAGCACAGGACTCTCTTGGCCCCTGGTAGTGCTCAGAGTATGAGGGAAGCGTCCAGTACCTCCTTCTGAAACTACCTCTGCCATTTAGGCAGCATAATGCTTCTCCAGAAGTTCCCCTTTGTGTTACACCACCGGTCTTCTTGTCTGTGGGTCGAGAGTGGCCCAGTTAGCCCAGACCGCACCTACCCCGGAATTCTGCCACGTGGCTTCCTGCCAGTTTTTTATTTTTCTGGCAAAAATTTTGAGATCATCCTTCCGCTACTAGGCATGAATTATATCTTCAATTGAAGATAATAAAAAAATGCACTAATCGTAAAGAGTTAAGAGAGAGACTAGTCACAGCTTCAAAGGCTGTATTAAAAGTGCCCAAAAATGAGAGAATATTAGCAAATCTCAGAAAAGTCATTATGGCCGAACAGATACTCAAGACAATTGGAATATTAATGCCCTTGTGGAATCCATAAGAAAAAGTATTTGGAAAAAAGCATTCAATTTAAATAGACGGAGATATAGACTAATATCTGCTAGTTCTGGCTAGCTCTCCTCGTTTAACAGTATACAAAACCGTTAATTTTCTTTTCAAATTTTGAATACGTTCCTTGATTGATAATAATCGACTTGATCTAAGACAGAAAGTCAAAATTAGGGTAATGCTAATCAATAAAAAGCTTATACCAAGATTTACAGGCTATTCGATTAACTTTCTTATTAAGAAGCTAATATTTTTATTTTATCAAAATTAATAATAGAAACGATTCATAATGAATTTCTTTAAATTAGGTTTCCATTAGATAATACTATTTGAGCATTAAGAGTAAAATAAAGCATTTGAGAGCACTAAGAAACACAGTTTTGGCTAAGTTTAGCCATTTAAAATTATTTTAATAAGATGCCCTTTTCAAACTATAACACAAAATAACCAATTTTAATTATAAGCATGAATTCAAATAATCAAAGAAATACTTTAAATTAGAATTTATAATTGTGCAGTCCTTTTAGAAGAAAAAATGTTAAAAATATATAAAAGTTCTTATATCAAAAAATAAACTATCGCGGCATTTAAATATAGACCCCACCAGACTTTTTGGAACCTGTAAACAGTCTACTGATCGCAACCATGACCTATTCTGGCTGGAAATAGGAGATTGGCTAGGACCAGTAGGCTAGTTTACAGGCTCCAAAAAAGTCCCAACAGAGTATATTATTATATCAAAAAGCGGAAAACAAATCTTTTATGTTCAAGAAGCTTTAGCCTATTATTAAGTCATTTGGACATCTATAGTCTATATGAATTATATAAATTATCAAATTTGTTGAAAATTAAGAAAATTTTCAGCTTTAAATCTGATAATTAAGATTGAAAAGTATGAATCTAATTTTTCAACTAGACTAAAATCGATACGGTAAGTATCATCTACTTACACTTATTAGATTATAGAAAACCTCCTCGATCCTTATTCCCTTCCATAACGCTCCATTCGTCGACAATCATCTCACGACCTTCAAAATCCTGCTCCTACTAGATATGGGCATGCACATGCTCTCTGGTAGTTGGAAAGGTTGGGTCCGTACCGTACGCCAACGGGGCTTGGCTTTTAGAAAATTCAAAAAATAAATTTTTCTGGTCACCTGTCAGCTAAGATGAAAATTCTTAGTTCAGGACACAATGCCTGGTATCGCGCTCGGGAAAGTTTCCGATCAACCAGGATGAAACTCACTGGCATTGCTGGACACCCTTTCCAACTCCGAGCTCCAGCCCTATCAGTGGGCGAATTGCCCGCTGAGATCACAATTTTTGTGTCGGATCAAATTGTAATTTTAGCAGACAATTTATCTACCGGAATTGCATATAAAGCCTTTACCTGGTTGTAAACTTGCGGTCTATCAACTCAGACATTGCACTTCACCAAACCATGCAAAGCCTGGCCGAATACACAGACCGAATGCCAAAACTCCTTCCACAAGTTTCCCAGGCCTCCCCAACTGCATCTGCTAGAAGATTTGGTTGGTTCGCCATGCCATTTTTATGCATATGCAAAGTATCATCTATTAAATCAGAATTTTTCACGGTCTCAAAGACATACATTTTAGTTGATTTTTCTGATATTGTTTGAAACTATTCATTTTTGATAATAAAAGACCTGAAAGAAAGTATATTTTTTTGAAACTATATTTTAGTTCTTCTTAATATATTGACTTTTAGAGTTTATGAGGAATTTTTCTTCTTCCTCAACTTACAAGCTTCCATACTTTCTACAATTTTTCGCAATGATAACTTAAAAATCGAATTTCTAAGGCTCGCTTTTTTCACTTGTCTAGTAAACTAATTGTTATTTCTTAACGTAATTTCTTTGACTCATTTAAAAATAAATAATTATTATTTTTTTTGGACTTTTTCTTATACCAATTTTAAATAAATTCGATTTTTAATTAAAATATGAAAAGCCTTACAAGCTTTCTGGCCTTTATGTGACTCGCTATAGGATATTCATACATGATTACCAAAGGTAGCTACTTATATCCTGGAAAAATTAGCTGATGGAAAGATAGTTGGGCTCCTCATCCTATTGAGCTCTCTCAAACCAATTCTGGGACTGCTGATGCTACTGTGACTGTTCATTTCAGACCTAAAACATCTTTACCTACGACTGGGAATTTGGGATATGCTATTGTGACTGTGCCATCAACTTTCTCAACCACAACAACTTATACTTCTAGCTCTATGGCAATTATAGCAAATAGAGATATAGAAAATTTTCCATAGATGGCGCTATTTGCCCTTGATTTGCCCATAAGGAAAATTTTTTGGATTGACCAAACAATATGGTACTGGCTGAACCAAAAAATTTCCCTAGTGGGCAAATCAAGGGCAAACAGCGCCATCTATGGGAAATTTCTATACTTCATTTTCATTTACACTGTCAACAGATTTACCTTCTGCCGGAGTTTATGGACCTTTTCAAATAGTGACTAGAACTTCAGCTAATGGGCAAATTTATGATGCAAACTACCTTTTTGCTTATGTAGCAGTGTCAGCCTCAGTTTCTACTCCTTCTTCTGGCTCTTTGGCAGTAGACACAGTCACTTTAACCTCTACCTCAGCAGTTGTTGGCTTATCAGATGGGCTTTACTTTACTTTTGAAATTCCTGCTGGCACAAATCTTTGGAAACACGACATTTTTGAAATAGTCCCTGACAGCCGCTGGACAGTTACTTCAAGCCCGACCTGTGCTTCTGTCGATCTTTCATGCACTAATAACTATATAAAAGGTCCTAAAGGAGACAATAGCTTACCTTGTGCAGTAGCTCAGTCTGGAGGAGCAAATGGAGGGTATAATACTGTGAAATCAACCTATGATGCGGAAAACAGTATTTATATATATGGGCTTTCTCAAGATTTGATAGCACGAATAAATAGCTGCAGCCTTGACTCACATTCTCCTTACTCCCGCCTCTATGAGTGAACAAGAAAATTGGAAATCCCTACCAAACAAATTATTTTTTAATATATAATAATTATTATAATAAAATCCTTAGCTTGAATTTTAAAACATAAATTTTATTAAATTAAATTAATATTTACTTATAAAAAGTAGTCCTAAACTTAATCATAATCTTAAAATGTGATTATAAATACAAGTTACCAGATCAAGCTCCAAGTTTTTAGTTTTATTCTCCCTCTTGCAGCTATTTCATCATCCAATTTCAGTTGAAATCTGAAAATCTGGAGATGGGGTACTTCTAATTTGCTTGCTCAATTTACTGGAACTGGACCACTAACACCAGTTCCAGGAGTTGTTACAATTGACTCATGGATTCCTTATAACACTAATTTAGCTCCAACTGACATCCCAAATAATGGAAATAGATTTTATATCTTTACTAACATCCCCTTCCGTTAACGAAAAAAAATTTTGGTTTTCTCGTGTAAGGGGTGAATTTTTTTAAAATGTAGCTGTTTAAAATTAAATAAAATTAGCTAGAGAAATATTATAATAATTATTACTTTTATAGCAACAATATTTTTTCATAAACAATCTTTATATTAAAAAATTTTAATAAGCTCCTCAAAAAAATGGACTTTTCCATGGTTTGCTCGTAATGGAAGAGATGTAAGCTGACTTTTCATGCTGCCCACACAATTGAAAATGGGAAAATCTATATACACTTTAACGACAATGCAGATGTTTATTCTGGATGCTGGTGGTTCAATTATAGAGATCCAAATAGCTGTGCAACACAAGGCAAATGCTATATGAATACCTACATGCATAATGTTTCATGTGGACTTATTGGTCACTCGGTGGTTATAACTCTATCCAATGGCGCTACTTTATCAGCGAATTCAGCAATATCAATCACCTTATTAACAAAATTATACCCAGGGGCAGGAATTAACGAAATAGCAACTTATGATGCAACTTTTTCTACGATTATTGATAAATGCACGTCTATATATATGTGGGAATTTAACCCTTCGAATTTGAATTATGTAAGCATGAGTAATTTCCAATTTTTTGCAAATGATACAAATATCATGCCTCCTGATGGTATATTCCCTATAGGAAAACAAATAGGAGGATATGATCAATATTTAATGTGATATATTAAACCAGCAACTAGTTGGGATATAACAACTATATTGAGAGTCAATTTGCCATTTTCTAGATCAGGTGTTCAGCTACTTCAAAGCTATATATAGCCCCTGAAATATTTAGATCATTATTGCCTACATTTTAATTTTCAAAATTCATTTGCACTTGCCAGCTTTTTTGAAAAGTAAAAACGAAGATGACAAATCTCCGTTTATGGTTTTAAGGTGCCTAATCAGACTTATACTGTATAAGGCAGGTGTCCTGTACCATATTTTTTCTGGTCGGTATTCTGCTGGATTATAGAGATCTATTAAGGTGCATGAGCTATAAGCCCATCCGCCCAATATTCTGAAGCTATATTAACCGCAAGTGGAGGGAAACTTGAGTCCTCTTTCAATGCACATAACTTTTATCCTGGAAATCCTGGATCTATTTCTATCTTCTTTACTTCGGGAAATTACCCTACAACTACACAAAATCCATTTTTCGCGTTTTCATTTGGGAATGCCGGAGATAGGTCGATCGCATTACCATTTGTAAGTTCAAATGTGGCTACTTTTTATGAGTGTTGGGCAAAGGCTACATCTTCAACAAGTAATTCAATAACTGAATTTTCCAGCTATGTTTTCTCAGTACTTACACCACAATTTGATTCTAGTTTAACTTTTAATCAATTATGCTATAATAATTTAGGTGGAATTCCAATTTATGCAAATTATCACGCTTTGAATATGGATTTCGACTTCGGGGATACGACAAATCATTATTACCTAGATGTTGTATTTGATGATATAAGTCCAAGCGACATATGACCTGATGCTATTGACGGTGGGCAAATTCCTGCAACTTCAACCACGCCTGGGGTTACTCCAAAGGTGACTATTAGTGCATTGACGGCAACAGTGACCATTTCTGGGCTTGGATTTGTTAACTCAGGTGAGTCAGTCAAAATATTGCTGCCTAATGGAAGTGATACAAGTACAGGCTATTATACAACACAAACTTTCTATTATCTCGTAGATGGAGCTGATCCAGTCAATAAAATGATTCTATATACTGGATCAAGCTCAGGTGTCACACTTTGATTTCCTAATAATTTTACTTACTTACTTACTTACTAGGTGTTGAAGGTGTCTAGTGCCCACTCCCATAATTAAATAAGAACTAAGCCAACTTGTGATGCCACTGAGCCATCTTGGAATCACGGTGATCAGCCCACCGACCAAGCCTTTGACGAAGCTCCGCCTTCAGTCAGCCGCACGTCTCACCAGACCTATTTCCGTCGCTCTCCCTGGCTCAGCTCCTGCACGTGTTCTGTCTAAGGGTCATCCTCCCGTGGGATGTGCTGAGAGGAAAAACCTGAGCCTCTTGAATGAACTGAGGAGCAGTTCCTCTGGTTATCCCCAGAGTTAAAAGGCTATTGCTGTGCAGAAGTTCTCGAGGTAAAAAACCCCAACCCCATAAATAAAATTCGATGAGGGAGAAAAATTAGCAGAGCTAATTTCTCCCTAACCGAATGCCATTTTATTTATTCCTACTAATTTTGCAACATTAGAAGTAACAAGTCCTTCAAGTGGAGATTACTTTGTTGGGCAAGCTTCTGTTACTACAATAATATCCGCAAAAGATGACACTTTGTTAATGCAAGACATAAATCAAGGCTGGATTGGAATTGGAATACCTGCAGGCTTTACTTCTTCGTCTACTAAATTGACCTTAGGCTCAGCTTCTGCAGACATTTATAGTGTCAGTTCTCAAGTAGTTCATTTATAGGAGGATTTATGATTGCTCCGCTCTCAAGCAGCATGGTATTTACTCACAGTAGTGAGAACATAATTTCAATCGGCCTAAATGCTCCATTGTCTACAGGATCATCATCAGTTGGCACTGGAACACTCACTCTATTTATAGCAAGCAGTTTAACAGGTAGCAAATGCAAATTATCATCACTATCACATCCATTTAAAGTAACAGTAAAGCCTGGAAAAATTCATTTTGACAGCTGCACAATGGATAAGCCTTATACCCAAGGTCCAGACTCAGTTGATTCTACCCTCACACTCAGATTTACAATTCCAAATTCTATTCCTACAGGTGGACTAATTATGATTGCTCTGGCACCAGACACTTGGAACTTGCAGCTATCACCTCCTTTTGTCACAACTTGCCAAGGGGTAGGATTTATTGATCAATCCTCAACTAAGAAGCAAACATGTACAGTAACAAGTACTGCAGTCGTCACTTTGTCTAATTTTTCTCAAATTGCTGCAGGATCTTCTGTTATTGTGAAATTGCTCCATTTGGTCCCATCCTCCCCCTCTGAAACTTTATTAACTTGTTTTACATCCATAACCACTTTTGATGCAAATGGTTATGCTATAGACTCTATAGACAGTGATATAACGAACTCTGTGGTTGTTGCGCCCTCAAGTACCGTGGGTACTACAAGTAACAATCTCGTTATTTAAATCCTAAACAAATATTTTCTAATATTAATTAGCATTTTCTTTATTAAAACAGTTTTAGAATGATGCTATAGCAATTAACTCAGATTTTTCAGCTCATTAGTCCTCTCATCTTGAGACGCCTCAAGTTCTAGCTGAGTTTATCAAGCCTACTATCTTCCTAAGCTTATGGTAACTTAATTCTCTTTCAAGGATCAAAAATAACTATGCATTTTAAAAGTATAAATTCTTTAGAAAAACGAAAAAGTTAGAATCCATAATTATAGCAAATAAAAAAATTATAATTTTTTGTTTATAGGCTTTTTAAAAAGGATAATTTATTTGATAAAAAAATTATAAGTCAGGCTAGAAAAAACTTATTCGGAGATAGTAGATAATTTTATAAAAAATTTAACATTTCACATAAAATTGTGACCTCAATTAAATATTCATTTATTTTGCGAAAAAATTTTGCTTGCTTTAATTTGTAGCTTCTTAATTAAAGAAGTCTTTCATGAAAAAAGAAATTAGGAATCCATAACGAGGTAATTTGAGTTTTATTTCGAAATATGCAGCGCATGTAAAAGGTGAGATTAGTCTCATGAAATAAAACTTTTAGAAAGTATTTTAAGATAATTAATAATTAAGCTTTTGATATGAATTTTGTTTCTCAACATAAATTTTATGTCCGAAAGCAGCAAAATGGTATTTAAAGTCCGTTGCTATTTTTAAAAGGAAGTATTCAACTTTATAAAAATTAAGGTGCAATATTTTGATTTTGAGAATGCTATTGAGGATCCATAGACGAAATTGCTCATAATTTTAATAAATCTCTATTTAATTTCTTATTATTTAGTTACTTTGCAAAGATACTTCAAGAAAATCTAAAACCAATAAGCTATTTTTAAGGCAATACAAAACAATTCAATTGTCATCAAAAATATCTTATAAAGTTTTATAAAACTAAGATAATTAAAATACTTATCAATTTAATACATTAAAGTAATATTATTTTAATTTGATTTAATTTATTATTTAATATGTTTTATCTCATCTACATAAGAAACCTCAGAAAAGATATTTCCTGAAAAAACAGTTGCATTTGCTATTATAGCCCGATCTAGGCTTAAATTAATATCTAAATCTACCCCATTCCCTGCTTTAAACTGTCTTAAGCCTTCTTCAACATTCCAAAATAATATTAAATCTCCTTTTACATATGAAGCAATATATTTTCCACACTCAGAATAAGAAAATTTTTGAATTTCTGGAAATGCTCCTCCAGTTTTTGCAATTTTAATACCAGTTGCAGACTCTCATATCATAATATTGTAAGCACTTGCAGTTGCTAAATAATTCCCGCATGGTGAAAAGTGTGAAAAATCGTTATTAAGCTCATCTTTTTCATGAGCGATCACTGTAAATAATTTAGTATCAATATTTAAAAGTATTGCCTCATTTTTTTCAATTTCATTGTGGAATGCTGCCCATCTTCCACAAGGAGAGGCCTCAATATTTTTGATAGAAAAGCCAGTGTGGATATACTCACAATTCTCATTTTCTTGGTCTCATATTGCAATTTTGTTGATTATTTTGAAAATTAAATGCTTTCCTGAAAATCTATAGCAGGTAATGTATTCATTATCATATTTTATTGTATGGACTACTTCGCCAGATTCAATGCTGTAAATTAAAAATGATTTTTTTGAATAAAAATTTAAAGAAAATTGCTTTTTTTCTAAAGAAAGTTGTAAATCGCTGCATCATTCATAATTTTTAATTTGTTTTATTCATTTTGGAGCTTGCAAACTTCAGATTTCAATAATGCTGTTAATATAAAAAATGCATATGTCATCAGAGCACGCCATATTTTTGGGTTGAAGGCTATTTGGAATATTTAAAATCGTGACTTTATTAGTTTCAACGTTTATTATTTTCATAAAGCCTAATCAAAAGACAGTAATTCTGTTTTCTGTAAAAAACATTGAGAAAATTGTATCATTGCATTTTCTTGGTTTAATTGTATCAGAGAAATTAGAAGGTTTTAAGATTTTTGTGTCATTTTTTAATCCAAACATGCCTGCTTTGAATAGATTTAAACACCCATTATTATGCCAGTACTCATTAAAATAAGAATATTCCAATAAAGCCTGCTTTTGAATGTTAATTATTCATATTTCATTACCTTTCAAAGAAGCCAATAAACTATTATCTGCTGAAATATATACTGATTGCCCGATGATGGAGCTCAATGCGCCATCATCGAGCAACGTCTTTTAAGAGTCCACCCGGGAAATGGGTTCCACGTGTGGAACCCTTTTTGACGCGTGGAAGTTAGGATTCTCCACATGCTAAAAAGGGCTCCACACGTGGAACCCATTTCCCCTGTGGACCCTGAAAAGACGTTGCCCGATGATGGTACATTGAGCGCCATCATCGGGCAATTTCTATATTTATAATTGGGGTCTCTTATTTTTCAGATAGACTCGCCAGAATCCAACTTTACTATCTCAAGGACATCTTTATTAATTGTGATATAAAAATCACCACAAAAACTCATGAATTCGGCTTTGACTTTTTTATATTTAATCCCTAATTCAATAGATCAAATTGTGTGTTTTATGGAATTTCCTTTTTTGCCAAGTAAAAATTTATCGCTAATATTTTTTATATCATATTATTATAAATATTAAAATTATTTTATATAATTTCTTATAGATAGAAAATAATCTGTTAGTTGTTCATTTTTTCAAAAAAAGGTTACTTGATAGCCTAATTTTTTCCCTGCTTTTACTTGCCATATAGTTTGAAATCCAAATAATGATATAACTTTAATAAAGCCAGGAATTGAATATGCTAGCATATAATCGCTAAAGGCTGACATTAAAGAAGGTATTTTATTTTCTAATTTTATAACTTTACTTGTGTTTTCAATGAAATCTCATATCACAAGCTCTTCTTTGCAATATATATCGTGTTTGGTAGAGCTCAAAGTAGGAATTTGCCTTAATATGCATGATAATTAATAAAAAAATATTTAAAAAATATTGAAAATAAACTAAAGCAATATAAAATATAAAGGATCGAAGAATATGATGAGAATTTTATATCAGAGATTTCTATTCTATAATTAGAGAGCTGTAAAGAATTTATTTCGATTGATTGATCAACTGAAAATATACTTACAAAACACCTCTTAGCTAAAATTTTCATTGAGTTAAGTGATGCAACATATTTTTCACATTTTGAAATAGTGATTTTTTCTACAACTTCTGGCTCAAAAATTGCTATTTCTAGTTTTGATTTGCTCATTTTGCAGTTAGAGAAATCAGAAAAAGTTACCAATGAGGAAGTAAAATCTATATACCTCAGATCACTATTTGAAAAATTCGTTCTAATAAAAGAGTTATTTGATAAGTCCGCATAAGGAATTTTGATATTTTGCAAATTTTGATTGTCAAAGGAAAATCCACTTTTATTCAAAATTGTTGCAGCATTGCTTGATGCTAAATAAATTCCGTCTAATTCTCGAGAAAGAAGCATAATTTTGTAAAATCTTTGTTTGTCGCCTTCTGAAAGGGTCTGGTGAAAATGTCTTGTAATTTGTGGTTGATTAGAAAAGTTGAGATTATTGAAATAGGAAGATTTAACTGAAGAAATGCTGTCTAAATTTCTGATATCATTGAGAATCTTTTCTGACAAATAGATCTCTAAATTTGATGATTTATTTTCTTTTATTCCTTTAGGCTTGTCTTTAAAATACTTAATTAAATATAAAGTATTTCTTTCATTAGAAGATTTTTGTTTTGTAAAGCAGGGAATGTGCTGAATTAGTTTTTGTGGTGATTTAGAAGTTTGATAAGGTTTCTCTTCCATTATAGTAATTATTTTTTATATTTCACCAGAAATGGAGTTGAATTCAAAGATCTTTTGCTTAATAAGAAATTAATTTTTTTGTAATAAGTATGCTAAATATATAGGAGATATTTAAAATTTTATAAAATAACGCTTCAATAGCACATATACTCAAATTCACCTCAAATAATAATTGAAAATTATGGCTTTGTCCCTCCTCATAGTGTTTTGATTTCACTAATCCATTATCATCAAAAATAAAATTCTTTTATATTTCAAATCAAAAATACATCATTTTATAAGCGTGAAGTAATATACTCATACTCAGAATCAGAAAATCTTCCATATCTTATAAAATTTTATCAGTTTGAGTAAATTTAGCATCAGCTATTGTTTTGTAAATTATTCCAATCTAAAACAACTAATTTAAAATTTCATGAAGTCGGAAAGCTTGCATAATGTGCTAACTAAGTCTATATATTGATTATTTTTGCTCATTTCATGGCATACCAACATTGATATATTAGTGTCATAAATAAAAATCTTATTTTTCTTTTGGTTTCATTCAATACACTTTTCTTTTGGGAGAAAGCAAGTAATATCAGCTATTTTAAATTGCATTCTGCTTTAGTTCGAATCATAAATTAATCTAGATTTTACAGGGCTTTGTAATATATTATTTTCTTTCAATTACAACTTCAAGCTGACTTATTAGATAATGTTTTAATTCTTTTGAGATATTGCAGAATTATTGGATAATATAGCAAGGATATAAAATAGAATTGAAAAATAAATAGACTTATTATATGAATTTATCAATTAAATTTTTACATCTAATGGCGGCATCTTGCGTTTCAATTGATTCAAGTCCTTATATAGAGAGAAGGTGAGCTTACTATCTCATTCAAGTCACTTCTTTTGTATTTGCAGTTTTAGCTTTTTATTGCTCACTATAAGGCTCACTCTTTATAATAAGTTATTTATTTTTACCACAAAGAGAGTTGGTGTTTATTATTTAATATGTTTTATCTCGTCTACATAAGAAATTTCAGAAAAGATATTTCCTGAAAAAACAGTTGCATTTGCTATTATAGCTCGATCTAGGCTTAAATTAATATCTAAATCTACCCCATTCCCTGCTTTAAACTGTCCTAAGCCTTCTTCAGCATTCCAAATTAATATTAAATCTTCTTTTACATATGAAGCAATATATTTTCCACACTCAGAATAAGAAAATTTTTGAATTTCTGGAAATACTCCTCCAGTTTTTGCAATTTTAATACCAGTTGCAGACTCTCATATCATAATATTGTAAGCACTTGCAATTGCTAAATAATTCCCGCATGGCGAAAAGTGTAAAAAATCGTTAATAAGCTCATCTTTTCCATGAGCGATCACTGTAAATAATTTAGTATCAATACTAAAGAGTATTACCTCATTTTTTTTAATTTCATTGTGGAATGCTGCCCATCTTCCACAAGGAGAGATCTCAATATCTTTTATATTAAAACCAGTGTGTACATACTCACAATTCTCATTTTCTTGATCTCATATTACAATTTTTTTGTTTATTTTGAAAATTAAATGCTTTCCTGAAAATCTATAGCAGGTAATGTATACATTATCATATTTTATTGTATGGATTATTTCGCCTGATTCAATGCTGTAAATTAAAAATGATTTTTTTGAATGAAAATTTAAAGAAAATTGTTTTTTATCTAAAGAAAGTTGTACACCGCTACATCGTTCAAAAGTTTTAATTTGTTTTATTAATTTTTGAGCTTGCAAACTTCAGATTTCAATAACGCTATCAATATAAAAAATGCACATGTCATCAGAACATACCATACTTTTTGGTTGAAGGCTATTTGGAATGCTTAAAATTGTGACTTCCTTAGTATCAATGTTTATTATTTTCATAAGGCCTAATCAAAAGACAGTAATTGTGTTTTCTGTACAAAACATTGACTCTCCCCCGATCCTTGATCGGACAACTCGCCATCGTTCGATCAAGGATGGGGGTTAAAAAAAAATTTTTTTTGGGAAAAAATTGTATATATATTTTTTTTGATTTTACTTTTAAATAAGAGGGTTAAGAGTATTTAATAATTATTTTTACAGCAAAAAATTAAATTTTTTAATTTCATAAAAGTACCAATTTTTATTATTTTTATTTATTTAGTTATCCTTTTAAACGGTATAAATTTTAATTTGTTCCTTGTTAAATTAATTTTTTTGTTTTTAAATTTTAAAGAATCTCTATTTTTTAGATTATTGAGTTTTTTAAAGCCTAGTTTGATGACTAAATCACTTCGGATGGTTGATTCCGTAGCTTTTTGTCGTCTCAATATCTCTGAAAACAACTTTTTTAGGTGCATCTTCCCAAGCTTTTGATAATTTATATATTTTTATATATATAAAAAAATTTGCATGATATGAAAATCGTTCGATCAAGGATGGGGGTTAATTTCCCCAATTTTTTAGGAATTTTTTACAGTCAATTGTTCGATCAAAGATGAGGGGGGAGTGAGGAAATTGTATTATTGCATTTTCTTGGTTTAATTGTATCAGAGAAATTAGAAAGTTTTAAGATCTTTGTGTCATTTTTTAATCCAAAAAAGCCTGTTTTGAATAGATTTAATCACCCGTTATTATGCCAAAACTCATTAAAATAAGAATATTCCAATAAAGCCTGCTTTTGAATATCAATTATTAATATTTCATTGCCTTTGAAAGAAGCCAAAAAATTATTACCTGCTGAAATATATTTATAATTGGGGTCTCTTATTTTTCAGATAGACTCGCCAGAATCCAACTTTACTATCTCAAGGACATCTTTATTAATTGTGATATAAAAATCACCACAAAATCTCATGAATTCGGCTTTGACTTTTTTATATTTAATCCCTAATTCAATAGATCAAATTGTGTGTTTTATGGAATTTCCTTTTTTTCCGAGTAAAAATTTATCACTAATATTTTTTATATCATATTATTATAAATATTGAATTATTTTATATAATTTCTTATAAAATAAAAAAAAATCAGTTTGTGCTCATTTTTTTCAAAAAAAGGTTACTTGATAGCCTAATTTTTTCCCTGCTTTAACTTGCCATATAGTTTGAAATCCAAATAATGATATAACTTTAATAAAGCCAGGAATTGAATATGCTAGCATATAATCGCTAAATGCTGACATTAAAGAAGGTATTTTATTTTCTAATTTTATAACTTTACTTGTGTTTTCAATGAAATCTCATATCACAAGCTCTTCTTTACAATATATATCGTGCTTGGTAGAGCTCAAAGTAGGAATTTGCCTTAATATGCATGATAATAATAAAAAAAAATATTTAAAAAATATTGAAAATAAATTAAATCAATATAAAATATAAAGGGCCGAAGAATACGATGAGAATTTTATATCAGAGATTTCTATTCTATAATTAGCGAGCTGCAAATAATTTATTTCGATTGATTGATCAACTGAAAATATACTTACAAAACACCTTTTAGCTAAAATTTTCATTGAGTTAAGTGATGCAACATATTTTTCGCATTTTGAAATAGTGATTTTTTCGACAACTTCTCTATCTTTTGGCTCAAAAATTGCTATTTCTAGTTTTGATTCGCTCATTTTGCAGTTAGAGAAATCAGAAAAAGCTACCAATGAGGAAGTAAAATCTACATACCTCAAATCACTATTGGAAAAATTTGTTTTAATAAAAGAGTTATTTGATAAGTCTGCATAAGGAATTTTAATATTTTGCAAATTTTGATTGTCAAAGGAAAATCCGCTTTTATTCAAAATTGTTGCAACATTGCTTGATGCTAAATAAATTCCGTCTAATTCTCGAGAAAGAAGCATAATTTTGTAAAATCTTTGTTTGTCGCCTTCTGAAAGGATCTGATGAAAATGTCTTGTGATTTGTGGTTGATTAGAAAAGTTGAGATTATTGAAATAAGAAGATTTAACTGAAGAAATGCTGTCTAAATTTCTGATATAATTGATAATCTTTTCTGACAAATAAATATCTAAGTTTGATGATTTATTTCCTTTTATTCCTTTAGGTTTTTGTCTAAAATGCTTGATTAAATATAAAGTATTTCTTTCATGAGAAGATTTTGGCTTTGCAAAGCAGGAAAGGCGCTGAATTCATTTTTGTGGTGATTTAGAAGTTTTGCTATCTTTCTCTTCCATTATAGTAATTTATTTTTTATATTTTATATGAAATGGAATTGCAATTATATCTTTTGGCTTATTAAGAAATGAACTTTTTTGGTAACTATATAGGTCTTGGGCCTATTTTGAATACCTTAGGACTATAAGAAGCCCAAGAGTTGGCTCAATCTATAGCATTTCCCAAATCAGCCTGATCAGTTAATAAGTGGCCATATCAATTTCACTTGTCAGCTAGTGAAGTTGACTTAATAATTATTGAGACCTAGCAATCCCACCAGCTGAACAGGCACTTCATAGCTAGGGCGATCAAAAAAAAGTTCTGGGCTATATATAAATAACACTTCAATAATGCATATACTCAAATTCACTCCAATAATAATTTATAATTAGGACTCTCTCCATCCTCATAGTGTTTTGATTCCACAAATCCATTATAATAAAATCAAAAATTCTTATATGCATATATTTAATTGATTAAAATCATTGCCTACATTAATATAAACTACATCAGTTAAATATTTTCTAAAAAAATTAATATCTGATGCTATAACTTAATCTACAGCCAAAGTGATAGCTAAATCTTATAGCTAGGGAGGATATCTAGCGTGGGGCTTTTTTGGCTTTCTTTCAAGCCAAAAAAGCCCCGTGCTAGATATCCTCCCTCACTATATATTTTCTTTTTTAAACTATCTTCATTATTTCAAATCCAAAATAATCATTTTCTCAGCCTGAAACAATATATTCTTATCCAAAAATAAAAAAATCTTTCTTTAGTAATTTTAGCACCAGCTATGTCTTTCATAAAATATTCAGTCTAATTGAAATCATAAGGCATAATATTTTATTCTAACTCCTCCCCCCCCCCCCTCCGTGAGCGAACAAAACCATTAGAAAAATCGCCATTTTTGACCAAAAACCCACCCTCCGTGAGTGAACAAAAATTTTTTTAATAGAAAAAATTTTAATGGAAAAAAATTTTGATATATAAGTGATAATTAGTATAATGAAATCTACAGCTAATTCTGTTTAATTTTAAACAAATTGCGTTTTAAAACATAAATTTTTGCAAATTAAATTAATATTTGCTTCCCAATTTTTTGCAAATTAGGATTTTTTTTAAATTTCGAAAAAAATATTTTTTATCAAATTTATATATAAATTTTTTTTTAAAAAAAAAAATTAACCCCCCTCCGTGAGCGAACAAAATTTTTTGTTTCGCTCACGGAGGGGGGGGGGGAGTAAAATATTTTTTTATAAAAATACAAGTATATTGGCTCTATTCAATCTAAAGCGAATAATGCAAAATTTTATGAAGTGGCTAAAAGCTTCCATAATCTAAGCATAAGTCTATATATTGATTATTCTTGCTCGTTTCATGGCAGACCAGCACTGACTGCTTAGTGTCATTGATAAAACCACATCTTTCTTCTAGGCTCCATACAATACATTCTCTTTTGGGAGAAAGCAAGCAATGCCAGCTATTTTACATTGTATTATGCTTTAATTTTGAATCATAAACTTAATATTGATCTTAAAGGGCTTTTTAATCTTTTCTTTCCTTTAAAACTTCAAGTGACATTAAGCTGACTTATAGTTAATTTTTTCAATTCTATTACAGAATTATTGAATAGTGCAGCAAGGATATAAATAGATTGAAAAATAAATAGACTTATTATATGAATTTATCAATAAATTTTTGCATCCTAAATGGCTGGCATCTTTAGTTTCAATTGATTCAAGTCCTTATAGAGAGAAGGTGAGTTTATTATCTCATTCAAGTCAATTATTTGTAGTTTTAGCTTTTTATTACTCACTATAAGCCTCATTCTTTATAATAAGTTAGTCTTTTTACAACAAGAGAGTTGGCGTTTATGATGATAAGGGAAAAAATTATAATCCAGGCTTTACCAGCAATAGCACAGAAAATCAGGAGATTCAATATATATGAAATTAAATTTCAGACTAAAATTGGAATAATGCATATAATAAGCTGAACCCTAAAAGAAGTGAATAGGAATGGGAGGCTCTTTATTAAAAAATTACATCAAATTCAGTCATAGAGGAACTCGAAAAATGAATATTTAAAAAACATTAAATTTATTTCTCAGTTACTGATGGTTGCTTTCTGATTTTAATCTGCATCATTTTTGGTGACTGTTTATCATATAAAATTTAGGAAATAAAATGACTCATCTGCAGCAAAAGGAAATTATGATCGATAGGTTACTTTCTGCTACTTTTTCATTGCCTAATATCAACATCCGGCTTTATTTAGGCATTATTTACATTTTCAACTAGCATCTAGATTTTTTAGCACAAAATTTATATGCTCATTCTTCCTATATATGATTTAAATTTAAATAATAATGAAGATTAGTGTTGAAAGAAATATTTTGGTATCAAACTAGAGTATCATCACTATTTAAATTTGCAAATCTATAAAAAGCGCTGATCTAATTTCATCTGCCCAGCTATTTATAGAAAAGAGCTAAATTTACTTAATTCTCTACAATTAATAAATGGGGAATTTTCTATTTCTTTTTAAATAGTAAATGCTTTTTCTAATAAAGCCCAACTAACTCGAAGATTGCTTTTTTGCGTGAGAGTTAGATTATTGACGATAAAGTCAATTGCTATTATTTAAAAAATCATAAATGAGCTACTTTTCTTGTTTTCCTTTTTAATTTGGCTTTATGGGCTTATTAAAATTCCAACAGATAAATGCTGAATATTTGACTATAATTCAGCAGAAAAACTTTTATATTTCAGAGTTCCATTTAATTTTGGGCCCAATTTTATTTTTTCAATTTTAATAAAATTTCTTTTCTCCAAAAGGGTATATTATTTAAATTTCTACTCCTTTGCAACGTAATTAAGGTTTATTTTGTCGCATTGTGTATTTCTAAGTAAATCTCATCTTAAATATAATTAAGCTACCTCTTGACTGACAATAAGCAACCTTAATTCTGAGATCTGAATTTATTGTATTTTTTAATACTCTAAATTAAATTTTATTTATTAGAATAAGTTGCTAATCAATATCACATTTTAAGCATCTACAGTTGTTTTTATCTTTTTTATACTTTTTTTCCCTGGATTCATGCCTCTTTAGCTTTATTTCTTTTATTTTTTTAATTTCGACAATTTTCTGTTGCTTATATTCCATAGCAGCGTTTTCCTGAATAATAATTACATTTAGCGTCCAAATCCCGCTTTGGCCTTTGGTGAAAATGTGCCCATTGGCTGCAAGTTTTGACAGAGCTAATTTTTCGATATTTTTATTTTTATATTTTTTTGAGTGCTTTGTCCGAAGGTTCTTGCTGTTAGCTACATGCTCTATTAATTCTTGTAAAGTGGCTTTACCACACCTTCGAAGGTATCCAATTAAGGTTCCTTCAATTGTGCTATAAAATAGATAGGCAAAACTGCAGAGGGATGGCTCTGTAGAATTATTTCTTGTTATGTTAAGCTCCATTTTAATTATAAGAGCAGCATTAAAAAATATACTATATAAGAAAAGTGGATAAGAAATAATTTATATAATTTTAATATTTTATCTGCAAGTTGTAATTACCATAAAATCTATAAAAAAAAATTCAATAATTTTTCTTACTCCTTCCCCAAAGTGAGGAAGATTGTTTGTCGTCACAGAATATTTTAAATTAATATTTATAATTAGCTAACTCCATCCATCCTTGATCGAACGATTGACTGTAAAAATTCCTAGCTTTATAAAGATAAATGCTTTTATTTATTTTACATAATAAGCATTGCCAGCTACATAATTAAACATTTTAATTTTAGCTTGGCATTCAAACTATTTAGGTACAAAATTTAAAAAATGGAGCCAATACACTAATCCAAGCAAGCTAAAAAAAGCGAATCATGCATACGAACATCGCAGGCCCCTTAATTCAACTTCAAGAAACTACCCTCAAAAAATTTGCATAGAGCATGAAAGCAGATAATTAAACATTTCATAAATATTTTATCATTTTTTAAAGAATTTAAATTTAATATTTTGAGTTTTAAGGCACTGCGCATCTTTCTCTTTGCTTCGTTAAATATGTATGCCATCGAATAGGCTTCGTCCTTTACAAAAAAGCTTTCGATAAAAGAAGTTTGAATATCTTCGATTTAAAACAGAATTTTTGTGAGTCATTTTAGACCCAAAAAGTTGGCAAATCTATTTTATGAAATTTTTTTGGAGCTTTTAGCCTATTTTCATTACATTTTGATAACTTTAATATCCCTTATAGATTTTTACTATATTGAATTTGCTTATTTTAATTATTAAATTGGCTGAATGACATTTCTGATCTATTCCTTGGCATTTGTAACGCGCCTATACACTTATTTGTGTTAATTGCCTATCACTAATCTTCATTTTTATCGCAATCTCCATCATTTTTATTTTTAGCCAAATTTATATCGAATTTATTTCGGCACAGAAAATCTCATAAAAGCCTTATTTGGTCTAATTTTATAATTTTCATTCTTCCTTGAAGAGGAGTCACTGATTTTAAGCAATCCATGCACTATATCAAGTAATGCAAAGAATGCATTTACTCATATAGCTTATCATTTTATAATTAGAGATATATAATTAATTCAGTTCAGGATATAGATAAATTGGAAATTCCATTATTCAAGAAATACAAATTTGCATAGAGCATGGAAGCATAATTAAATAAATTGGCCATTAAGCAAAATATTTAATTTTAGAAAATTTAACATAAAAAATATAAATTTTTATATTTGAATTCCATTTTCATATAATTTACAAACTTAATTGATTTTTTGGACATCTTTTTCTATGTGGATTCATTGAATTTTGGGATATATTATACCTGATTTAGTGCTTAGCCTTAAATCTAAATAGCAAAAGAATCTTAAAGTTATTACTAAATCTAATTCAAATTCCTTGATAATTCTGCTTTTAATATTGTAAATATTCTAATTAGTAATCTGCATTTAAATTCAAAGTTTTGTATACTTAAGTATTTATTTATAAATTTTATGGAAAAAGCTTGCTATGTATTTGCAATTTTTTGATTAAATTTTTTGAATAAATATTTGAGCAAGATAAATGACAAAAAATTAAATTTATCTATAAATAAATCAATAAATTGAAATCTTGCAATTATGCAAGTATAAAATTTTTAAATCCTACAGGACTGGCATCTTGCGTTATAATTGAGTTGAAGTTTTCATAAAGAAGACAGCAGAGCTTTAGAGTTAAATTTTCTTCAGGTAAAACTCCTTCTTATGCATCGATAATCTTCTCTCGTTCTCACACTCAGTAGGCCTTTAATTTAAGCTTATCATTTTTGAAAAAATAAAGGTTTTGGTTCAGGAAAGTGGGTGAGAGAATTTATAATTTTTTATTAAATTCTGGCTATTCAGCAAAATGCTGAGGTAAAGTTGGTATTTCTAAGATATAGGAGCACATTTGGGAGGAATCAGGGACTGGCTAAATCTTAAAGGAATATATGAGGATTTTATTGAATTTCTGTAAAGCCTTTCAGTCTGAAGAATTTTTGAAGTCTTCTAGATGAAACCTTGGCTATAATTAAAACCCAAGAAGACAGCCCTGTTGGAATTATAAATTTTATAACAGCCAATGCAAGTATGGCATATTTCCACGTATTAAAGTCAATCGATAAAATATTTTTCTTCCAAAATAATTTCACAATGCGACTTTAAAGAAAATTTATATCCTATCCTCTTAGATAAATTTCGGAAAATAGAGTCAAAATTTTTATTGAAAAGCTAATATAAAAAATAGCTGAATAATCTTAATTTTTCAATTAAAAAGCCCCGAATGCACAGTAAATTAATATAAATCAATGAAAATTTTAAAATAGCTATTGAACAAAGACAAATTAGCTGATTCACTAAAGTCATAGTTAAATAACTTAACCTTGCTAAAGTAGCAAGCACAAAAATAAAATGTCGACGTCAGTGACCAGTCCTCTCCGGGCCTGCTTCAAGTTTAGGGACCTTGCTGCGACCTGAAGCCAATCAAGCAGGAAAGGGAGTCCACGGGTACGGGGATTTGTGTTCCGGCTGGGTTGTCTCCCTCATCCGGCAATAAAGACTTTGTGCCTTCACGATGGACACATTTGGGAAAAAGGCTTTTTTTTTACCCCTAGAGACCACTATTGCAGACGACGGCATAGTTAGTACCGATACTAGCTAAGGTTTCGAAACAGCATTAAGAATCAGGCCGAAAGGAGAGCTATCTCTGGTAGAAATGCTGATATACCCAGGGAGGTTCGCTAGCAGCTGAACGAGTCTTCTACGACAACTCGTCTTGAGTGAGACTTAAAAGGACGAAGACCCTAATCTTTTATTAATGTTAATGCTAAATTAGCAAGCATAAAATTTTTAAATCCTAAAGGACTGGCTTCTTGTGTTTCGATTTGGCTGAAGCTTCCCTCTAATTTAGCTAAATCCTGTGATTATACAAAGCTAAGCACAGAAAGGTCAACCATCATCAATCAGTTGCATTTTTTGGTGCCGTTAGGTATCTCCATGAATGTAGTTTTTCCTTATATATGCTCTATTTTGTGTAGATTCTCCATCACTTTACTTCGCTCTTAGCAAGATTTTGAATTCAAGGCTGTGAGAAGGAGTGGCTATTGTTGCATCATTTAAGGATTGCACAGAAAAGGCAAGAGATTCCTAACTCCCCCCCCTCCGTGAGTGAACAAAGCCATTAGAAGAATCGCCATTTTTTGCCCAAAAACCCCAGCTCCGTGAGTGAACAATAATTTTTTTAATAGAAAAAATTTTTTATGGAAAAAAATTTTGATATATAAGTGATAATTATTATAATGAAATCTAGAGCCAATTCTGTTTAATTTTATAAATTAAATTAATATTTGCTTTCCCAATTTTTGCGAATTAGGATTTTTTAAATTTCGAAAAAAAAAATTAACCTCCCTCAGTGAGTGAACAAAAATTTTTTTTGTTCACTCACGGAGGGGGGGAGTAAGGTTTGAAGAGGAAATTTCAGAACATAGCAGCCGGTATTAAGAGGCATCCTCAATCTAAAATTGAGAATTCCTCCCAATATAAGCTTCCAAGTTAGGAAATGAGGCAAAAAATTGAAGGTGGTCTAGGACCTTAAACTGTGCCCAGCTTCTTGAAATCAGAGAATTTCCCTAGATCAAAGAAGAATCCTCAGCGTCATCAGAAGCACAAGGAGGCAGCCCTGCAGGAATTAAAATTTTATAATGGACAAATCCAATTGGACATATTAATACGTATTAAAGTGAAATTTATTATGAATTTTTTATCAATAAAAAGCAGCAAGTCTAAATATTTTAAAGTTAATATGCAAAATAACTATTTTTAAATAAAAATACCTTTACTAACCCAAAATAATTTAATAAATAATCATTTATTTAGAATGGCATGCATTAAATAAATATTTATTAACAATCTTCGTTTAAATTATCCATGAGCCTGATTACCCTAAGTCTAATATAAAATTAATCTTTTTGTACTTAAGTAGGATTAAGATTATTAAAGTCAGAACCATATTGGTGACGCAGTCCCAAAGATCTCCCCTACGGAAGATTCTACCACTTTACGACTCCAGTCTTGAGGGCAGGTTGACACGTGTAGCCATTTTAATGTTATTTTTGTACTGAAGTAAGTAGTTAAATTTTTGACTGCTCTATTTAATTTAAACCCTAATTATGTATCGCTTTAATAATTTCTTCTTTGCATTTGACTTAAGGAATTTTGTTTTATCTTGCCGTGCCTATTCATATAAGAATTTTTTAAATGATAAATTTAAATAATTCATGCTAAATTTGCAGTTTTTCAGAGTCCTATTTCAGAAGATTATAAAATTAATTTTTTATTATATTTCTTAGCCCTAAAAAGCTTTGAAGTTAAGGAACCATGAAAATCGCTATTTAATGAAATATTAATCGGTGAAAATTAGATTATAATTCTCAATTCGTTATTTTTCTATATGAAGCTATAAAAGTATTATCATTTGATTCCACATGCTCAACTATATATAAATAGTAAAGTATTAGTTTTTGTTAACCCCTCAGAAAATTGATTGGAACAGATTTTCATATCTTGGGCAGTTTTATCTATTTTAATTTCAAAATACTATAAGGATATTATTTTCGTTATTAAAAAAAATATTAAAAAAGTTGTTTCATTCAAAGAATTAGAAAATTTATGACGTAGTCAATCGGATTTATTCAAAAATAGAAGAAGAAGGCTTTACCATTTTATAACTTTTTAACAGTTTAGATTTTCGATTAAAAGGATTTTTTGAAGATTTCAAGCAGAAGAATGCTGATGATTTATCTTCTTCTGATGCAGTGAAGCCTTCAAGATTCTATTTTTTAAATTATTTGTGGATGCCAAAATTGGTTTTGGCAATTTTCAAAAATTATCTTTTCTCCAAAAGGGATATATTTAAGACTTAAATATCAGAGATAAAGATTAGGATAGTTTGTTAAAGGAAGGTATTAGTCATATTAGTGATGCAGTCTTAACGACCTCCTTTAAAGAAGTATCATCCAGTTTGCTAAAATTTGTACTGTGATCTATCCGTATCAGCCAATCCAGCAAGCTTTTCCTTATCTGAGCTTTTTATCTTAATCCCACCTCACTCTGTGAACGAACAAATCACTGGAAAAATCCCTTTTTTTTGAGTAAAAGCCCGCCCTAGATTTTTTTATAAAAAAATTTATATATAAATGATAATTATTATAATTAAAGATCGAGCTAATTCTGTTTAATTTTGAACAGCTGCTTTTTTAAACATAAATTTTAATAATAAACTAATTTTAACTTACCAATATCATAAATTGGGGGTTTTGTAAAATTTCGGGAAAAAAATTTACTATAAAAGCTTTATATATATAAATTTTTTAAAAACAAAAAAAATTATGTGAACGAAGAAATTTTTTTGTTCATTCATGGAGGGGGAGTTAGTGGAAGCTTATAGATTCGCAGCCCTGTAAAAGGCTATGGATAGTAGCTTTATTCCAATAATCAACTATACAAATGGCCCCAGGATGGCGCTATTTTGCGCCATCCTCAGGCAATTTGTATACTTGGAGTTTGTCTGTTACAAAGTGACTTCGACTACTAGAGAAAGAATATTCTTCCCTAAAGTTGGGCTGATCACTCTATTTCTCAGTAGAAGAATCAAAGTTCCGACAGAGATTGCTGGGCCCCTCCATTTTTGACCAGAGGAGAGCAGCCAAAAACTCAAAGATACCTTCCAGTCTGCTGTATCCTTAAAGTTTGGACTGCTGTACCAAGAGTTTTTACAAGTGTTGCCATTTTTTAATTTATATATCAGATTTTGAATTATTTTACTTTTTCAATGCATTTAATGCTAATTGATTACTCCCCCTTTTCGTGAGTGAACAAAAAAAATTTTGTTCGCTCACTGAGGAGGTTAGTTATTTTTTTGAAGATTAAAAAATCCCAATTCGCAAAAAATTCGAAAGCAAATATTTATTTAATTTGCAAAATCTACGTTTTAAAAAACAATTTGTTTAAAAATTAAGCAGAATTAGCTAGAGATTTCATTATATGAATTATCACATATATATCAATTTTTTTTATAAAAAATTTTTATATTAAAAAAATTTTTGTTCACTCGAGGAGGTGAAATTTTTGGGCAAAAATAGGGATTTTTCCATATGGTTTTGTTCGCTAATGGAGGGGGAAGTTAATTAATTTCAATCGCATTTTGTACTAGTAAAATTCTTACTACCCCCATCCTTGATCGAACGGCACGTTACTGTTCGACCAATGATGGGTTTAAAATATTTGTAGAAAAAATTATATATAAAAATAATATATATTATTTTTACTGTTTTTGGTGTACTTTTTAAATAAGAGGAAAGATACTAAATACTAAATCTATTAAAATGAAAAGCCATGCTATTTAAAAATTTTTAGTTACCCGTTCCATTCTATAAAAATATTTCTGTTTCTTATTAATTCTTAACTTTTTAGATTATTAAGCTTTTGAGGCCAGTTTTGATGGCTAAAGCACCGTGAAGATTATTAAGAAAACACGTAAATCACTCTTAATTTGCCAATGCAAACAAAGTATTAATTTCATAAATTATAATAAATATTAACTAATCTATTGATTTAAAAATTTGGAATTATAAAAATCATTCAATCAAGGATAGGGTTTAATTTTCAGAGTTTTTCAATGGAATCATTCGATCAAGGATGGAGAAGTTAGCTAATTTTCGTGAAATTTGGAGTCGAAATCAACTCTGTATTGAAAAAATATAATCATTTGTATATTTTTAAATTCTAAAAAATATTTAGCTATTAAAACGAAATTTAATCAGATTTCACACCGGTGGACTTTATCTTTTCTCTTTCATGCAGTTTTCCCTTCGACTCATTTATTTTTTTAATTTCAACTATTTTCTGTTGCTTATATATTTTTTTATTTTATTTTAAAATTAGGATAATTTCCAAATTTTTTCATAATTTCCTTATCTTCTAATTTCTTTTCAAACTTTCATATTTTTCTCTTATGAATTTTCTTCATAGAAAAATATGTTGCTTGTATTCCATTGCATTATTTTCCTGAATAAAAATTACATTAAGTGTCCAAGTCCCGCTTTGGCCTTCGATGAAAATGTGTTTTTTAGTCAGAAGCTTGGATAGAGCTAGCTTTTCGATATTTCTGTTCCTATATTTCTTCGAATGTATTGTCCGAAGACTTCTGCTGTTAACTACATGATCTATTAGTTCATACAAAGTGGCTTTACCACGCCTTCGAAGGTGACCAATTAAACTTCCTTCAATGGTTGGTCAAGCATAACTAGGACCCTAACCTACTCACCCATCCTTACCCTCTCCCTCCCAGGTGATTATATCTACTATCGTTAGAAATTAAAAATAAAGAAACATTTAATATTAATGGAAAACAAAAAAAAAATCCCATTTCAATTCGAATCTTAATCTATAGTTTTTTAGATAATCGACAAGCCAACTTTTAAGTGGCCATAATAGGCCTTAAAAAGCTCCTTGATTCATTATAAATCTCTTATCTTTTCTTTAATGATCTTTTCTCTATAGCTTTAATAAGTGAGCAGCATAATCCTTAACTTCTGCAGCTTTGAAAGACCTTTAGGACTATCTGAATAATCTTCTCTAAGGATGATACTACTTGGCTCAGCTATATTCTCATCTTAGGGCGGGATCCAAGTTATGTTTTGACCAAATGGTCCTATAAAATTGATAGGCGAAGCTACAGAGAGATGGCTCTTGAGGATTGTTTCTTATTATTTCAATTTCCATTTATTTATAGCTCCCCCCCTCCGTGAGTGAACAAAACGATTAGAAAAATCGCTATTTTTTGCCAAAAAACCCACCCTCCGTGAGTGAACAAAAATATTTTTAATACAAAAATTTTTATATGGAAAAAAAATTTGATATATAAATGATAATTAGTATAATGAAATCTATAAAATTTATATATAATGTTTTTTAAAAATAAAAACCCCCCTCCGTGAGTGAACAAAATTTTTTTGTTCACTCACGGAGGGGGGGGGAAGTAAGAAAATTATTCTCCATGAAAAATTAACTTGTAATAAGCGAAATCAATCCCTTACCTGAATTTAAAAATATTATTTCAAAGATGTAATTTATTAACTATCCCCAAGTAGAGATGCTTTGTAAAAGCTGAAAGATTTATCAACTTCGCTTTTTCTCGCTAACAAATTCTATCGTCCATGCTATTAGGCCAAAATTTTTAATGAAGTTTTGAAGTAATTCATGCACCTAAGTTCGCCTGGGATGCTAAAAGAGGAAATTACTTGAATCAGCATATTTATAAAGGTGGAATTTTCTTTGGATAAATATATATAAGAAACTCCATATTCTGAATAGAGAACTTCAGACAGAGTCAGGAAAATGCCACATGATGAATTGATGACAAAATTTAAGCCAATCGAAACTAATATAAACAGATTTTAATTAATAGAGTTGATTATTTATATGGTATTCTAATTATAAGGATATTCTATATGCACTGGTAAGCGGAAAGCCTTAGCTATCCACAAATCTAACTCATTATATTGAAAATAATCTTAATGATATCTTAAAATTGTTATGTTAAATAGCATATATAAAGAATAAAAAATTATACTTATAAATCTTATTATTATTTAAGATTATTGCTGTGATCCATCATTTCATTCTTTTTTACGATCCTTATAAATCTTCTGTTTGGAAATTTTAAAGCCAATTCTTGGCCTAACAATAGGGATCTAGCCAGGGAGAGTTTAAATAATTTTCTAAATATGCAAATATAATGCATATATAACATTGAGACTTTAGTTTTCCTTTAAGGACTATTAAAAAAAAATCGACCGTTTTCGTATTTTGATTGAATTATTTTATAAATAATTGCAAATTATATGAGTTATGAATAGCTTTATTAAAGTATCAAAAATTAAGCTCAGCTTTTTTAGATTTCAAAAGGAATTATTAAAATTTATCAGTCTTATAATAAAAAAGGGATTTATCTTACGCTGCTTAGTTTTCTTAGATATGATAGTAGGTTTTTCCTATGTTTTTGCTTACAATATTTGGTTTTCATTTAGCTTAAAACTTTCTAAATAAATCGAATTACTTATAATTGATTGCAATTATAGCCTGTGAATTTCCTAAATTAAGTACTTTAAATATTTGTTGAAGAAAAAGGCATTAAAATTTTGATTTAAATATCTCTAATTATTTATTTTAAGTATAGATACATATACAAAATCTCCCTCCGCAACCTTTTTCTGCAAACACTTATACGATTACTGATTATTAATGCATGCTCACCATATCATTGAATGCTAAACTCTAACTGTAGAAATCACAATTATAAATTTATAAGAAAATCTAAAAGAATAATGATCAATTTTAATTTATATTGGAAAAAAGTCATAACAGTGTTATATCATGCTTATATTTTTAATATCAATTGATGGAATATCATATTTTTTAAATAATTTTATGAGTTTAAATTAGCACCTTCTTCCAATAAATAAAAAATTGAAAAAATATTAGTGAACTTTATAACATGGCTAGCAAGGAAAATTGTAAATTTGAAGCTCTACATATAGGTCAATGCTCTTCACCTGAAGTTTATTCTTGTGAATTGCATTTCAGAAACCATCTTGTGCAAACCAATAGCACTCACACAATTGATTCTTCTGCTCTTATAGCCCTTTCAATCTATCAAAGATGCAGTTCTAGCATTTCTTGCTGAAGAAAAATTAAAGAAAGTGCTATCAAAGAAAAATACATTAGCAATATTGAAAATATTTTTCAAGCTCATATATAGTTCTATCCCTGCTTTGGAGCTCTACTCACAGCACACTGACACCGTATTGGGATTTGGTGAACCAACATTTTTGTCTGAAGCCAACTCCCCATATGACAAAATCTTCTTGCTATTGGAAATTTTGCCTTAGGGAGTTTGGCTTCAACAACGAATTTTGGCTCGCCAAGTCCTCATATGACACCGGGGGACCTCAGTCCGATCCAAAGCAGGATCAGACAATAACATCAAAGAAAGAGCAAGACCCAGTTATAAGCCTATTGATGCTACAGCCTGATAATGCATTTTAGCGTATTAAATCGATGATTCTAGCAGACTTAGATTCGAGCAGCAATTCGAATTGGTTCTGCGAGCTGAGTGAAGAAGTTGGGATTTTGTTAGAATCAATCTTCAAAGATAAATCTGAAGCTATTATATGTAATAAATTCTCCAACTTAGAAGGCACGCAAAAAAGATAGATAAAGCAAGCAGCCTTGAGCTCAATCATTTAGTTACTAGCCAGATCTGCAAGAACAATAAGAATCAAGAAATATTTGAAAAATCAAAAAATAATCAGACACAAAGCCAAGCTGCTTGATTCTCAACTACTTGATCTATTGAAGATTTCAATAAAAACCCTGAAGAAACGAAATATAATCAAAGCAAGCTTGGCTATTACCATATTAATCAATTGTTAGAACAGCAAGAGTTTCGTGATAATATGCGTGCGATTCTAAACAGAGCAAGCAATGATATAGAAATAGAAAAAAAATTAGGAGAATCTGCTTGATGCATGAATCAGCTTTATCATTCTGATCCACAGCTTAATAAAAATTTTCAAGATTGCATTGATACTTATCATAAGATCACGAGCCTTTATCTTCTAAGCAGGATACGATTTAAACAGTTTTAATTTGAATTCATTAATGCTATTTTTATGCCGAATTCAATAAAGATGAAAATAGCAGAACAAATTTAATTATTTACGATACTGAAAGTAAAAGAGAAGATTGAAAAGTATTGACAGCTCCAGAAGAATTAAACTATGGCACATGCATAACTCAACTGCCATGTGGCGAATTATTCGTTTTAGGCAAAATCCAGCTTCTGGGATTACACTAATTGTTGATAAAAGTTTTAAGGTCCGGATACTGCCATCTGGAAAACCTTGCTGTTTCTCATCAGCTATTTATTTCAATAGAAATGTCTAGGAAAAAGCTTGAGGAGCAACTATTTTTGCCTATCTAGTTAGATAAAAGTCTATGAATTAAATTAACTCCAATGCCAGAAATTGACTATGGCTGCAATAGTGTAATTTTTAACGGAAAAATTTTGATATCTGGGATTAAAAATAGGAACCTTTGGTTTTCAGAAATTCCTTATAAATTTGGAACAGATAAAAGAAAAATCCTAATAAACGCAGAGAGATTATATTTGATAGAATCTAATAGGGGATTGATATATGAAAGTGAGTTCGGGGATGAATATACTTGGAACGAAATAGCAGAATCAGTTATCAATGGTTTTCCACATCAAGTTTATTACTCATATAACAAAGGAGCAATCTATATTAGCTGCTTTGGGCTTCCCAATTACTAAGAGTTTAGCTTGAGTTAAAAAGCAATGATTAAACTATAAGAAGGTTTATCTTGAATATTAAAAATTCTATAGGCAAAGCCTATAAATAGCCCTTATGCGAGCTCAGATGGAGGATTGGACTAAATTAATAAGTTTTAATATATTTAATCTATTTTAATAACCTATTTTCAAATAATTCTCATTTAAAGTTATAATAAAAATATTATTATCACCGCTAAATTTTGATATATTCTAGAGCAGAGAAATAGAATATTTAATATATGAGCAAAATGATATAAATCAGCTGTCTATATTTTCCTTAATTTTTCAATTGGTCTGAATATTATCGATCTCAGAGATTTATGGCAAACGGAAATAAAATAGAGATAGCTGCAAGTGGAGCTGTAATTATTTTCTTAAAGAGCAAGACAGAAACTATGACTATAGTAACAACTGCAGCACTAAGTCCTTCAAATTCAGCTTGAGTTTATAATTTGTTTATTATTTCAAGTCATTTCTAACAGCTTCTACAGCAATAGTCCCTTTGATCACAAGCCCCTATCACATCTAGCATTTATACATATAGAGACGCTGTTAATGATACTCTAATCTTTGTGAAAAGCTCTTTAAGCAATTTTTCAAGTTTTTTTACCAATCAAAACTGTGGAATACAGCTGTTTCAAATTTCAATACCCAATTCTCAGGCCAAATATACCTTAATATATTAGAGGCTGCTTATTTTTCCAAATGATCAAAATTACTTCATATCTTTGAAAATTATGGAATTATTGAAATTCAAGCAGAAATAAAATTTAAAAATAGATCATTAGATATAAAAAGCTATTGCGCCAGGAGAGGTAATTTTAGCCCGAAGGCATTGTTCGATGAAAAGAAGTATCTCCTTGGCATTGAGCCAACTATAATTTGCCCATCTTTTTATAAACGTAAGTAAATATGAATATTTTCATTATGGGACAGCTTATAAAATCTAAATAAAATAAATTATTCTCTTGGCTTAAATTTAGAAAAATCCAAAAATTTAATACTTATTTGATTAAATTTTTAAAGATATAGTTAGAAATTGAAGGCTTGAGCACCATAATATGTTATTTATTTAAAAGTGAATTGTATAGTCTGAGAGCATTTTTGTTGAATCGATGCCAGCCAACAATCTTGAAAATTTGGCTTTGACTTTTGAGGAATAAGCCAATTCTCTGAGTTGACAAATATATACTATAAACTGGATTTGATAACTTGAAGAGAAAATTAATTATTCAAAAATTGCAAGATCAACTCCCTAAGGTAGTTGGGAAGTGTCAGAAACAGCCCAGCTAAAAAGTTATTTAAGCTATGCTTGAGAGGCTTTCTTTTTCTCTATGCAAACAGCGATATACCTCACATTTTCAGATATAAAGATAGATTTGAAATTTACAGTTTAAATAACTAGTTGAAAGAACATAATTTTTCTGGAATTTTTTGCTTTTCAAATTTAGAGCTTTTAGGGTTTTAATTGTAAGTATTACCTAAATTTAAATTCAATTATGTGCAGTATTGGAGATATGTCAAAAAAATTGTATTTTAAAGCTTAACTCCCTCCTCCATGAGTGAATAAAAAAATCTTGTTCGGACGAGGGTTAATTTTTTTTATATAACATATTTTTTCGAAATTTATTCTTTAATTGTGTGTTCCATTTCTTTTATTATCTCATAATAAATTCCAGTTGCTGCACTGCTTGAGGCTGTTATTCTGAAAATAAATTGACCAATTATCTGATAAACAGTGAAGGCATAATAATCTAAAGTACATTTGACACTATCAGCATTGGAGATTAGGCTATAGGCTAGTTATTGCTATCAAGAATCACACATGATATAAGTGCTTTGTGTACCAGGCAATAATAAATTTTTGAAGAGCTAGGAGTGCTAGGCGTCGTCCCAGATCCTGAGCCTACAATTACTCAATAAAGGCTGAGCTAATGTTAGGCCAGCTTTCTGCGTAAATCTGAGTTTTACTGTTTGGTTGATTGCAATAGAAAACTTATTGCTGTATTGGTCAAGTTTAGAAGAGCTAAAAGTGGAATAGTCAGATATGTCCCATCCTGCAGTTCTTGAGATGGCTGACTCAGGTTTGTAGAAACCTGTCAATTGAAGTTGGACCCTTGAGGTCTTTGCGGTCGCTGTGGTCAATGAGCTTGGAAAGGCAAGGTAAAGTTGCTTACTGACTGAGCATGAGGCTGCAGAACTTAAAGTATTGCTTGTTGTGGTGCTTATAGATTAGTATGATTGTTGATAGTTAGGGTGTTAGGGTGTTAGGGTGTTAGGGTGTTAGGGTGTTAGGGTGTTAGGGTGTTAG